GCCTACACATTCCTAGTCAAAGGACAAGGATAGCTGGCTGCACATACACCACAAGGCCCAACCATTTAGAAGATTTGTCAAGAACTGACCATTCCTTGGCAAGATCGCACAGCCCAGGGCTTGCTATCATCGTTCTTGTAAACATAGAGCTTTCCATTGGTGTCTCCCACCACGAGTTCATTCAGCTGTACAAGAAAATTGGGTTAGTTAGGAGAAATCCACAATTACATTAACAGCAAAAATTTCAGAATTCATCTCTAAAAATCACTCTGTAGGAAGAAGCAGCAAAACTAAATGAGTTAAAGAGACAATCTTGAATCAAAATGGAAGGTTTGGGAAAATATAAAAGCCCTAATTTTATTCTTGCAGATAAAAGAGATGGGGAACGGCTCTTTACAGCAACATCCCCATTACCCACTGCTTCTCCACTCATTGTTTCAGAGCTGTGTCACTGACTGTTTTAACACCATGGTTGGATGTTAAAACAATCATCATTACTCCATCTTCCATCCTTCAATCTAGACTGACTTGAATCACCTAAGGAAGATAATGGCAATGACAAAAATACAACCATCCAGGAAGTCAGTGCAAGAACACTTAAAACAGATTTACACAGGATGTTCAATCTCACTGCTGAAGGGGTAAAGGAATTTCAGAATGGTGATTATTTCTTTAAAGAAGATTTCTAAAAATCACCAGCCACCCATAGTGATAAGCCTACTCCCATTATCCATCTCCTGCATCATGCTTCTGTGTATTTAAATGGTGTGCATTTCATAACCCCCTGCACACCTTACCTTACAGAACAACTTTTTATGGGGAAATCTCTTTAACCATCGACTGGATTGCTAGCCATGACATTTTCCAGGATAAGGCTGTAAAACACCTTGACTGTTGAGGAGAAACAGCTGACATATGGCTGGCTAAGTTAACCTCTTCCTAGTTACAGCCAAATCCAAACCAGCCATTTCAGGGGCTGACAGCAACACTCCCAATGCACATCCATCCATCACACGGCTCTAGAGACACCGAGACGCGGCTCTACCCTGTTTGTGACCTGCTGTGCCCAGCAGAGCACCACCACACCCGCGCCCATCTGTGACAGGGGACTGCCTACTAAGCAGAAGTTAAGCTCCCAAGCCCTGACCCGCTGCAGCCCAGCAAACATTCCCTTTGCAGGGGAACTCCTGGGGGTTCTGACCAGGCGCCCGCCAAGCCCCGTGCGTGTGCCCAGGCTGGAATCCCCGACATCCCCTCCCCGCACCCGCACCAGCCGCTCGGTGCTCCCCCCAGCCCCGTCTCCGAGGCGGCCCTGGGGCTCCCCAGCCGGCCCCGCCCGCCCCACGCCGGTCTCCGGGCTCGGACCGTGTCGTTGTCGGCGTCCCCCAGGCAGATGGCGTGCGGGAAGAGGCTGCCCGCGAAGTCCAGCGCCACACACTGCACGTAGCTGACGGAGCGCATGGCGGCCGCGCCGGGCATGGCGGGAGCGCGGGGCGGGGCCCGCCCGCTGCCCCTCACAGCGACGCCGACACCGGAAAGGATTTACACACGCAGAGACAGCGGGTGCGGTTTACAAAGTCAGGACTGTAACTGTTTATTTTAAGCATTATTTTCTTCTTTTTTTTTTTTTCCTCTATAAGGACATACATAACGAAGTTTATAGTTGAAGTTTACATGCATGACCTCACTCACAAATACCAGCATTGCCACCTTCTGCCGGCAACCAGACCCACTTTTAGAGACAGCACGGAACATCTGTTCAGCTGCCTGGACAGGGCATGTTTAGTGTCCTAAACAGATTTACACTCTCAAACATTTCATAGTTTATGTAGTAACAACAAGGGCACAGTGGTACTTTCAAGACTGCTCACACTTAACAACAGATGCACCATTGACTAGATTTTTTTATAGATGTGCCACAGAAATCACTTTTTGTTTTCAGAAACATATACAACTATCATGCCTGTAGGAGATTTTTGATAACTGCTGTTCAACAATTAGAAATTTATCATTAGGACTTGGCCCTACGTTTTAGCAGCAAAACCAGTTTAAGCCACAGAGGCTTGTTTTCCAGGAATAATTAGCAACAAATAAAGGTATTTCCTAGCTGAATAAGTACTCTGGCTTGGCATTCCTGTCCCCTTTAACTGGTTTTCTAGGTCTAGAAATCCTTTCTTCTAACCCCAGTTGACACTCACAGTGTTGTTTCCCACAAGAGGGGGTAGTGCTTTGGTATAAGTTTTTCACATACACGGGGCTGTTGCTACATTCAGAGCTCATGAAAATCACCCCCATTACTTGGCAACCCTAAAGCTTTATTAGACAAATGAAATCAGCATTTCCTTAAGTGAAGTGACCACCCAGGCACCTCTCCTGCCTCTGTCCTATCCCACCCAGCCCATGAGATTCAGAGCACTGCAGCTCCCAGCTCTCTAACCAAGCTCCAGCCCAGCAGCAGGTGCTGAATTTGGTGTCCGGGGCCCAGGGACAGGACAGCACTCCAAGCAGCCCTTGCTTGGTGACAGCTCCAGGGCCCAAGCTGGGCTGGCACTGCTGCAGGACAGGTACTGGCACTCCCCCCCAGGCCCCACGAGTTTAAGTGCTTACACAGTATTTCTGTTTCAGCAAAGGAGACCAGGAATTCACATCGTATTACATGTTTAAACAGGGATACTCTCTGCAATATACACACAAATTCCAGCCCATGGCATGCCATGCAAAGACATCTTTCTCACCACAAAAAAATTCCATTTATTTTAATCTGAGAGAAACAGATTTTCTACCTTTCTTCTGCAGAGCAGGCAAAAAAATTGCCCCTTCTGCCCCTGTCTCTAAACAGGACACTGGAAATGCAAATTTAACACCACGTGATAGGATAAACACTTGAGTTTGAGCACTATGTTCCATGCCTTCAGACAAAAAAAGCTCACCCCAACCAAAAGCCCCCACAAAATTCAAAAGCACACCCACCCCCAAACAAGACACACAAACTGCAGAAAGAAGCAGAATACTTAGTAATAGCTTTCTTGTGAGATCTGGGTAAGCAGACATTAGAATCACTGAGGAGTTTGTAGGTCATTGAAAGTATTTGCAATATGTAAGCCATTATCCCTTACTTTCACTTCAAAGCCAGCCACTTTCAGATACACTGGTTTGGTTTTTCCTCTGGTCCAGTTTTACAATGTAGTGGGGTGAAGAGGAAGGTAGCAATATGAACATAGAACAACCTGTATGCATAGGTTACAGAGTTGCTTTATGCACAGTGTCCAGCAACATAATTTTTCCCTTTTGCAAATATATGGGTAAATACTGTATCAAATATTGTGGGAATTTTCTATGGTAATGAACAAACAACACAGAAAAATAATCAGGACACTGGTTCTGTGGACAAGAAAACAGTGATCAAAGGACAGTATATTCTCTTGATTCTGTGCAAATTCCAATAAAAACCCACGAAAAGTTCAGTTTTCTTGAGTTTAATTGGAGCTTTATTACTTAAGCTGTGACTTCATAGTCTTCATCTTCAGCAATTTGCAAAGAGGAGGCATACAAGAAAGGCTACAATACTTAATGGAAGGGACTCCCTACTGAACAGGGGGAAAGAGGGCAATCCCAAGGCAGAAGAACTGGGAGCGCTGATTTGTTCTTAAGTCTCGCATGAGGACTCCTGAAAAAAGCTGATTACTTGAAGCAAATCAAGGAAATAAATTTAGAAAGCAGAACCTGGGATTAAAGTAAGCTGGAACCAAAAAGAAAAACGCCGATGACAAAACGGGGACTACCCACCTGTCAGCCTCAGCTCTGTGCCCGGGAAGATCATGGAACCGATCCTCCTGGATGCTATGCTAAGGCACATGGAGGACAGGGAGGTGACCAGGGACAGCAGCACGGCTTCACCAAGGGCAAGTCCCATTTGAGCAGCCTAGTGGCCTTCAGTGATGGAGTGACTCCACCAGTGAACAAGGGAAGGGCTACAGGTGTCATTTACCTTCATTCCTGTAATTTTCTGCCTTAGACACAGTTCCCCACAACATCCTTCTCTCTGCATTGGACAGAGATGGATGCAGTGGGTGGACTGTTTGATGGGTAAGAAATTGGTTGCACGGTCACATCTACAGGCTAGTGGTCAACAGCTCAGCATCCCAAGGGACACCAGTGACAGGTGTGTCCCTCAGGGGTCCATACTGGGACCAGTGTTACTATCATCTTCGTTAGTGACGTGGATGAAGGGGTAGAGTGCACCCTCAGCAAATCTGCAGATGACACCAAGCTGAGAAGTCCCCTTGACACACCTGAAGGACAGGATGGCACCCAGAGCGACCTGGACAAGCCTGAGAAGTGGGCCCCTGTGAAACTCATGAGGCTTCAATAAGGTCAAGTGCAAGGTGCTGCACCTGGGCTGGGCAAACCCTGGTATCAATAAAGGCTGGGGGATGAACATTTCCAGAGCAGCCCTGCCAAGAAGGATATGGGGGTGCTGTTGGATGAGGCTGGACATGAGCTGGCAATGTGCACTGACAGCCCAGAAGGCCAGTTGTAACCTGGGCTGCATCCAAAGCAGTGTGGGCAGCAGGGGAGGCAGGGGATTTTAACCCTGTACTCTGCTGAGATCCCACCTGGAACACTGCATCCACCCCTGGGATCCCCAGCACAGGAAGGACATGGACCTTTTGGAGCAAGTCCACAGGAGGCCCACCAAGATGATTAGAGGGATGAAGCACCTCTCCTTATGAGACAAGGCTGAGAGAACTGGAATTGTTCAGCCTGGAAAAAGGAAGGCTTTGGGGTGACCAAACTGTGGCGTTCCAGTACCTTATAGGGAGCCTACAAGAAACATGGAGAGAGACTATTTACAAGGGCAAGTAGTGACAGCACAAGGGGAATGGCTTCAAACTGAAAGAGGGCAGGTTAAGATTAGGTATTAGGATTAAATTCTTTACTCTGAGGGTGTTCAGGCACTGGAACAGGCTGCCCAGAGAAGCTGTAGATGCTCGGGGGGGGGGGTTTAGAACTAGATCTTTGAGGTCCCTTCCAACTCAAGCCATTCTATGATTCTATGAAAATGCAAATAAACCAAGCAGAGCAAATCCAGACAAAACCCAAACAGTAACAGAGGCTGAATGAATAAATAAAGTCACTAGGATTAAACCAGATTTATGCTGCCACTCAGCTTCTTGAACAGCCACATAAAGCTGTAACTGACTGTGGCATGGTGGCTTCAGCCTCTGCTCCCTTGAAGCCACTATCCAACCAGGTAGAAAAATAAAGGTCTAATTCACTGGAAATTCTTTCATTTACAAAACTAATGGAATAGGGGTTTTCTTATGCTTCTGCTTCAACTTCTGATTTATCTTCAACTCCATTCTGCGCATCTTTCATTTCTGCATCTTCAGTGTGGCTTGTCTGAAGAGTAGCAGATGACTAAATAGAGAGACAAAGAAAATATATTAATACATTATACAAAATTGCTAGCACAAACACTGTTTGATTCTTATTACTTAGAAAGCTTGTCTACCCTGCCAGACTGAATTAAGATATTAGGATCTTCAGCCAAAAGACACCAAAAATTTTCATGCATCTGAGAAACCAGAAGCAGTGTAGAGGAGGCCAAAATATAACACTGGTATTAGGTGGTTATGATTCTTAATGTGGCCTGCACCCACTTGCCACCCAACAACTCCTCAGAAGTCTTTTAACTGAAATTCATTTATGAAGCTTCCGCAGGAACTGCTTTTGCCCTGCTTCAATATTAATGTCATCAATTTTCAGCCATTCCCATGGCCTACCCTGACCCAACTTGTATGAGGCACACCTGCACTCAGTATACAAAGTATCTTTGTTGGACAACCAGTTTTGTGAAGGGACACTTCAAACTCAGCAACAGTGATTTGGATGTCCTGTGCAAGAGCCTAACTGGAAGAAAATATGATCTGAATGTGGCTGCTCTAAAGCCCTCTCCTTGTGCATCTTCCTCATAAAAAGGTGTGGAAAGCAGAGCCATGAGGTAGGGCCCCAAGGTCAGCTTTTACAATAGGACATAACCAGCACATCCTGACCTCACAATAATTTTCAAGCACAGTAAGGGGAGGTAAAAATGTCTTGGCTTGCTCATTTCAAAACCTAGTGCAATGGAATTGCTATTCCACCTGTCAGCCCAGCATCTTGAGCCAGCTGTTTTATGATGATATTAGATGAGAACCAAACAAAACCAAGCAAAGTCTTAAGCATACAATGCTGGAAGAGCAGAATGGGGGGGGGGGGGGGGGAAACAGGCAGAATCCTTAAAATCTTACACCAATTTGGTTGCAACACAAAACCACATTCATGTATCAAAGGTCAATTTTTCATCCTTACAAGCATTCCACAAAGCACAAAAGAGTTAAGTCTTCTCTCCACAGAAAATCTGTTAGCTACCAATCCTGGGCTTAAGATAGGTGATAAACACCCTGACCTTCAAAAATTCACACTTTACTTATGTGAACTTTTCAAATTCATGAAAGGAACTACTGATGCAAGAGTGGCAGTTGAATTTAATGGACTGTGTCAGGAACATCAGAACTGCAGTTCAAGCTATCTTCTTAGCAATCAGAAGACATTTAGCAAACAAACTCTCCTCTCCAGAACTTTGAACTTCTACTACACCACCACTAACAGACACTGCTGGAGCTAGGGTAAAGCAACACTATAAATGCAGTAAGAGGAAAACAAGCTTTTCTTGCAAGAAAACTACCTCAAGACTGGCCTAGGGAGTAAGCATCCTTTACAGTTTATAGTTCCATCAATCCCATTTCCTATAAAACCATATCCACTTAAGGCAGGCCAGATGGCTCACAGAAAAAAAAAAAAGCCAGAAACAGCACATTGCACATTCCAAGATCATCTAACTTGCTAGGAAGAATTCACCAGGCCAGTGGCATCCAGGCCTGTATCTGTCCAGCAGGATCAGGGCAGGGATCGTCCTCCTGTACTTGGCAATGGTGAGGCCACACCTCAAATCCTGTGTCCAGTGTTATAAATCTCCTGTGTCCAGTGTTATATGACAAACAATAACTTTTCATTTACATTTGGTTGGAGTCCAACCTAAAGGATTCTACAACTTTAAACTGATTCTATCCCAAGCAGATAGGGAAATTGGGACTAAGTGCCATGTTTTTCCAAGATCCCAAACAGTCTCCAGTGCAAAGACTACGAGTCTGCCTTTTGCCAAGAATATTACTCTACCAATTATCTGTCTTAGGAGTTGAAGAAAGCTCAAGGCTTTTGAAGTTTTAGTGGGTATAGCTTGTTTCAGCAATCCACTCTTCCTATCTCAACAGATCTTGCCGTATCCCACACCTACTGGAGGAAGCCAAATTCCCAGCAGCTGTGCTAGCTGAAAGGATCCTTCACAACAGAGCCTGACAGCTGGCAATTAAATCCTGCCATTTCAGAAGTTAGGATGCCCAACATCTTAAAGTAATTCCACAAATTAATTCTAAACATCTAAAATAATTCTACTTCAGTTGCTGTGTCTTTGTGTTTCTGAGATTTTTTATTAAAGCCTACCAAAATTAAGATACTGTGTAACTTTACATCACTGTGTCTAGAAGGACAGAATACTTTCTTTTAAGCTCCAATACACAAGGACCATTGACATCAGGCTGTTTAGCCGTAAAGAGAAGAGACAGAGTGAAGCATTTCATGTAGGAAATTGTCAGCTGACACTCTGAAATGGCTGAACTGTCAGGATACACTCATTTGAGGACACCATGCCTCTGGAAATACTCAATGACACAGTTAACCAATGGAAATTAATGTACCAGTATCTGGCAATTTTTAACATTCTCCATGCTTATTCTGGAAAGGTGAAAATAACCTCACAAGATACGAGCTTCTGTACTCGCCACTGTTACTGAGGAAATTTGAGTCTGACATAAATCCCAGATTTGTCTGAGAAGTTACAGTTCCATCTTGTCCCTCTAGACCATCAGATTTAAGGAAAAGAACCAGAAGATTTTCTTAGGATATGTGATTCTCACCAGTAACCTGAAATGTTTGTTGCTAGCTAATACAATCTTGTTATAACCTGTATTCACTTACTGCCATTATTAACTGAACTAGCACTTAGTAAAATTCTAGTGAAAGCTTATTAGGAAAACCATCCATACAGCAGAATAATCAGTCTGTGATATTTGTAATGGAGACCATCAACCACACCCTAATGTCTCCATGAGAAGCAAGATGGTGCTCAGCACCCTCTGTATTACAGACACAAGCTCTCACTAGATGGGCACCCCAGGCACCAGAACAGCCTGTTCTTTGCAACAGGTTCTAGAGGAATAGGTGCTTTTCCCACTTCTAGAACATTGTCATGTTTGCATCTCATCAATTCATCTGCCTTCTGATTAACACTGGTCTGTTGCAAATTCAGCTGAAACAGATAAAAGCTTTCTGTGCCATCGTTGGTATTCCTGGTTCTCCTGTTCAAACAAGATGGCCTAATAATTTGGACTGCTGGCATTTTGAGATCCATCCCTGCTCCCCAAAACAGTGTTCTACTTGAGTGTTCTCCTGCTATAATTATCAGCAGTAAGAAGCAAGGTGAGTACCTAAACCACTGTTCCTTGTCTTACACATGACACCACCTCCTGTAACGTTCGAAGTAGCGTTACTTACCTTTAAGTCTTTGTCTGCGAGCCTTTGGAACATGTTGGCGTACATCTTCTTCTCCTTCTCATGCTGCTCCCGTATTTTTTGCTGACAAGTCACCAGTTGCACTTTGGCAGCTTTGTTACTTGGATAAAGTTGTATCACTTTCTGGAAATCTGCTCGGGCCAACTCAAAGTCATTGACAGCCAAGTGAGCTTCTCCACGCCGGAAAAGGCCTTTTTCATTGTTGCTATCCAATTCGAGGGCCTGCATTCAAAAAACCAAAACCACGCTCAGTAATTATTTTTCTTTTATAAAAATGATATGCAGTCAGAACACCAGTGACTGCTAGGAGCTGTACCTTCTGATGTAGACTTATGAGTCTTGTCAGGGCTTACTAATGAAAGTCAGTGGAATACAGCAGAAGTAAGGACAAAGAGGAATGAATATAGTAGGTTATCTGACAAGAGAACCAGCAAGTCTAAGATTCAGTCAGGGAGTAATCCTGCTCTTTGAAAGGCCTTTGCCAACATGACTACCCTCACCACATCTCAAGTGTTCCTTATTCCTAAATACTTGAATATTCTCAACGTGGCAGCAAGTTAGTAAAAGATATTCAAAGGGCATTAATTATGAAAATAATCTGCTGGATATTTTTAGTGCACTAAAAATTCCATACTACCCAAATGACAGCTGGTAAGAAAGACCAAACATCACACTGGCCTGTTGTCCCTAAAATGTTTAAAGCAAGACAAAATGTCAGACTGCTTGTGCAGCTTAAGAATAAACAAACTCCTACTACCTTGTTGCAGTTCTCCAAAGCCTGGGAGTATTCCTTTAGCTTGAGATGGCACATGGCTAAGTTAAGATGGGCAGCAAGCCTCAGGCTTTTGGCTTTTGATTCCTCCTCCTCGGAGAGTCCCAACTCATGCTCCAGCCATGACACAATCTTCTTATACTGTAATGCTGCCCGCTTGTATTTCCCCTCCTGTAAACAAGGCAGCTCAATTATCACACAGCTCACCACAGGAACCTTTATCTCCCTCTCCCTTTTGCCTGCCGTGAGCAATACATCTGAAAAACCTTTCCATTTGATCAAAAAGTAACGTCTATCATCAAAAATACTACTGAGAGCCATTCCTGCACAGGATCAGAAAATTTTTAGGAATAATTAACTGGTTCCCCACTAGAGCTAGGCATATATGCCAGCATTGATACTTCACTGAACTCCTACATTTATATTCAACTTTTGATGCAAAAATAAGGGAAGATCGGAAATTCTCAAAATGCAATACAAAGATAATAGGAAACTCTTCCTTTAGGTACTGAAATACTCTACAGTGTTATCTGTAGAGACAGCAAACAGCTCTAATAGAAAGCTCCCTGCAGAGTTAGTTCTTTGGATAATCCAGCCGAGTTTCTTTTTTTTTTTTAAGACACATTCCCCTCCAGCTCTCCCTGTAAAATCTCACAGAATACCATGAACACCACTCAGAAATTACAGAAGCTGTAAACATCATTATCAACTCATGGCATGGACCAAGAAATGCTATTATTACTTGGGGACTGTAACTCACCTTGAAGTACTGAGTGCCTCTCTCCTTCACAATGCTGCTCTGTTCCAATTTCTCATCTGTGTTCATTTCCCAGGACTCCTTAGCCTACCCAAACAGGAACAGTTCCAGTCAACTTCAATACAACTTCTAGGGAATCAAGTAGCTATGCTGTTTCCTACTAACATTATGGTTGAGATAAGTCTGGCAAAGCAGAGCTAATACAAACCAGCCTAGAGCATGAGAGATGGCAACAGACAGAGATTCAAGAAGAATAAGGACCATTTCAGCCAAGAGCTCCCAGCATGTCACCATCATCTCTGGCAACAGTGGCCTGCCTGTTTCACATTGCCATCCAAGGATTCCATTGTCATCATTTAAGCTGCACTCCCACTTCTTCCCCCAGCCCTGGATCTCTTTGGGATTTCATCTCTTGCTCTCACCTTTTCAAAGCTTTTGAGTTTCACTTCATACTGCAGCTCTGCATCTGGAGGGATCTTAAATTTCTCATTCCCAGCACTTCCAAAACCATAGCTGTAAAATGGAGGTGGGGAGGGAGAAACAAAAATTATAGCGTTCAAAACTATCCATCCAGCTGTATTTGCTATATAGGAAGATGGAGACAAAAACCCAAATTTGCAAATTTGGGATGCATAGATTATTATTACAAGGCAAAGGCTTGAAGAATTCTAGGTACAATTCTAAAATTAGCAAATACAAGGTAGAAGAAAGTAAGAGAAACATAGTATTGACTTCATTAATCTTTTAGCAGCTCCTATTATTTTATTAGTTTTTTAGTTTACTTTAAGGAAAAGCAAGTAATCCCTTCATAAAACAAAAAAAAAAGCCAAACCAAAACAACCAGCTTCCAAATTACAACTATCATATTTAATATTCATGGTCTGAAACTGAAAGTTGCATTCAGAGCACCTGTGCTTTAGCTCTATTCTTAGAAAAGCAAAGAGAATAAACACCAAGATTAGGTGAGCAGCTGTACACTTAACACACTGGTAACCAGCTGGTAAACAGGAAATGCTTACAGAAAGGTACTGCAATGCAACTCCAGTAAGAGCTGCACATTAGCAGGAAAACCCTCTAGATCACATTGCTTTCCTTTCCTGCTCCCATCAGGCTCAGTTACATTTAAAAAAACTCAATAAAAAATGAAATAAATTAAAGTTTGATGAAAACAGTCTATATAATTCCACTTGTTTCAGATGCAAAGAGTTTCTCACTGTAAAGAGAAAATTCTGCCTATATCCAAGTCTACATATGCACTGTTTTACAGTAATCAGTCATGAAGAAGGATCACAAAAATCCAAGTTAGAGAGCAACAATGTTTTCCAAAAATATTCAGAGGTCAACATTACAGAGACTTAAGTAATTTTTTCTGGACTGCTACTGCTCCACTGTGAAGTGGCAAAGCACAATACTTCTCATACATCAATTTTGGGGGCTGATCCAAGTTTTTACCACAGCACTGAAAAAAGCTGAAAGGCATTATAACAGAATATTTCTTTCTTGACAGATGATTAATATAAGCCCTTCCTGTATCAAACACCAAAAACAGCATACCTGGGCTTGAGATAGAACACAGATTCCTCTGATTTCTCCATTTTTTGAATTGCTTTCTCCAGACCATGAGGAATATCAAAGTTTTCACCTTCTCCAATCTCAAACCGCAATTCCCGCTTGTCAAAAACACGATCTCCATGTCGGCCTTCAAACTGGACTGGTAACAAAACCCAGAACAACAGAGAGAGAAATCAGGAGGTATTGATGTATGGCACTGGGCAGGTACCCAGGAGTGCACAGGGAGTTCTACACAGGCAGGCAGCACACACACAAGTGCCAAAGCCTCCTTCTGAACAGTCTTTTCTCTTTTAGCAGCTACCTGTGGCGTGGCAGCTACTGGCAGCAGACAGAATTTCTGCTGTTCAATTCAACAACCCCTCTTTTTCCTTTGTTCATTTAAGTGTTTGTGTTTTCCACTCTGACAACAAGTGCCAGAATGACTTCCCCTTTTGTTCCTCAGCACATGGAAATACTTTATGAGACTCAATCACCTTTTGTCATCAGATAAGCACTTCAACAGATTCAGTATCACCAGAAAACACAGTTGCTGCTGGAAAATGTAAACCTTGCTAGAAACAGGAGAAGGAAAGCTTACTCTAGGTTGTTAAGTTACTTGGTAGAGAAAAGAGAAGCCAAGTATTCCTCTCCCTCAGGACATGCAGCTGTAGATGGTGAAAAGGTTCTGCCATCCCTCACTGCAAATCCATTCACTATTTGTGTACCAACACACTTACTCTCTACAAGTGCATCCTCATTGGGCCTGGAGTAACCCTCCCCTTTTTTACGGATTCTTCGGATGATGCCACCGTCTTCTTCATCAGTGAGGTCCTCCCCCTTGAACTCAAAAAGTTCTATCTGTGGAGGGAAAAAAGCCTTGCATTTATTCTTGTTAGACCAATTTAGTAACTCACAGGATTTATTCTCCAGAGATCTTTGAAACTTTAAACCTGCTGCTGCAACAAATTGTTTAGGATTTTTAAGAGCTACTGTTAATGTAGGAGATGGGTATCCAGTCTGAAACTCTGAATCCTCACATGCCTTCCCAAGTAAATGTAAAACATAGTTTCAAGTGGGAGTACCACGATGACATAGAAAAACAGTCTAGTTACAAAAGGTATTTGTCATTGCTGCTATGAAGTGAAGAAAAAAAATACCATATCCTATTTTTGAGTAAAACAATAGTGAAAACTATTCCCAAGCACCAAAAAGCAAGCCATTATAATCAGCACTGTTTAAACTACCTCATTAAAAAAAAAATTCAGAGTTAATGATGTGGAGGTTCCTGACACTGAACTTGAGATAACTGGAATGCAGAAGGAACTGAATATCCAGCAGTACTTCTACTTTTTATTTTAATTGATACCTAGTAACAAATAATAGTCTGGTCTTTCTTTTCAGTCAGTCTTAAAAAAGTAATTCCTGAACATCCTACTGATGACCATACAGGTGTGTACCTCCCCTTTTTTTTTACCCCAGCCTGAACAATACTATTCTATGGAATAATCTAGCTATTTATATTGCTCAGCAAAAGTAATCACAAAGAAGAAAAAACAAAACCACCACCATATCAAAAAAGAAAAGGACTCCCAAATCAGAGGACATGCATTACTTCTTGTCATAAACGCTGGTGTGATGACACAGGTACAAAAATCTCCTAATGTAAGTTCTAAAGGGTCTTTTGTAAAGCAACTTGTACAAAATTTTGGTATGGGGATAGTCACTTGCAAAACAATCCTGCTGATATTGTGTTAAGTAATAAAAAATAAACCTAGGTAAAACTAAGAGTGGAAGCTTAAAGACTTTAGCTGCTTGAGAGTCATACTAGCCAGAAACTAACCTAATAAACTCGGGAAAATTTTCTGGATCTAAGTTCCAACCCACACCCCCAATCAGGACACACCCAGCACTGCTGACTTGTTGCAACCAGTGAGCCCCAGGCTATTTTGTTAGGGAAGCACAAAACCATCCCGGGCAGCTTTGGTCCTTTTCTTTCTCCCCTCTTCCCTTAAACATAACTGCTCAGGCAGGCATTAGGGGATATCAAGACTCATGAATGAAGCAATACTTTCATCTAAAAGCATACCCAGAAAATGGAGGGGCCAGACTGGCAGCATCAAGAGAAGTCCAGTGGGAAGTGAATAACCTGGGTGACTGCATGGGACGGACTCAGGAGTAGCCTGATGGACCAAATCCCATCTTGTGGTTGGTTCATGCTTTTATTTATCCCAATGTTAGGTATTACCTCTTGTTGAAGGACAATGCAAGCTTCTCTGCTTTCTGCTGTCCACGTGCATCCTCTGTAGTAGTGCTAAGTCCTTAAGAATGCCCCACTGTGCTGCCTAGGTAGAAGGTCTTGAGCTTTTAGCTTGCATTTCAATCCTCAGCTGAGCCCTGATTACACCTGGCATCACTTGCATAGAAGCACACAGCACTGCAACATGTGTAGTTTGATCCAATACAACTAAGCCATGAATAATGTCAGATTTCCGTGTAAGAAAATGCTGTTTACGAACAGCTCTACATGACATTCTTTTTCAGAAATGATGGTATTAATTTTGATGTACTCAAAGTGAGTAAGATGTCATCCCTTAGGGGACACTACCTGCTAGCAATATTTTTTTAATCTTTCCACACAGAACATCTCTTTAATCCTTTTACTCACAAGTCCATGGAAAAAAAAAAAAAGCAAATACACTACCCAAATGCAAAGCAAATTCAATATCCAATTATGTGAAGGCCAATGGCACCTGGCCTGTATCAGCAATGGTGTGGACAGGATCAGGGTAGTGACTGTCACCCTGTACCAGTGGACTGGTGAGGCCACACCTCAAATCCTGCGTTCAGTTTTGGCCCTTTCAGCTCACGAAGGACATTGAGGTGCTGGAGTGTGTCCAGAGAAGGGCAACAGAGCTGCTGAAGGGTCTGGAGCACAAGTCCCATGAGGAGCTGCTTGAGAGAGCTGGGGGTGTTTAGCCTGGAAACAAAGACGGGTTTTGGAGGGAACCATCTCATTTTCTACAACTCCCTGAAAGGAGGCTGTTGCCAGATGGGGTCAGTCCCTTCTTCCAAGTAACAAGTCACAGAAGGAGAAGAAATGGCCTCAAGGTGCACGTTTAGGTTTAGAATGTATATTAGCATTAGAACAGGCTGCTCAGGGAAGTGGGTGAGTCACCCTCCCCGGAGGTATTTAGGTGTAGAATTGGTACAGAGTTGGGTTAATGGTTTAGTGATGGACTTGGCAGTGTCAGATTTACGATTGAACTCAATGGTCTTGATGGTTTTCTCCAACCTAAATAACTCTATGTGTAATTTACCCTTCTTAACAGATGCTCGTTGTTTCCAATAAAATCTAAACACACTTTCAGTCTTTGAATAACTCCATGAGCTATTTTCACATTTCTCAGATATTAGATAAAACATTATATCTCAGTGCAATCATCATTTTTAAAGCTTTCCTTATACTCCCAATTGTAAGATTCCATTCCATGATTAAGTGCTTTAGAGCAAAGTAATTTTAAAAATTGCACTCAAGAAAAGAGTCTGCTTTTTTCAGACAGAATTTATTTTGAAACAACTGTTGGCAAATTGAACTCTTTCAACAGTAAGAAAAATCCATCCTCTCCAAACCCTGTTGAGACTGTCAGGGTATGCTCCAGAAACAGCTTTAATGTCATCCTACATGGAAAAATCAAATACAAGTCTCAGCATTCTAAGCAACCATTCTCACTTCTGAAATAACACACAAGAGATAGCTGCTGTTTCCACCCCGTTTGGGGAAGGAGGGGGAAGATGTGGGGGGGGGGGAAATTACTTTTAAGGTCAGTAGGAAATAAAATCTCTCCTTTCCTGGTGAGGCTGAGTGCCACCAAGGATAGCTGGCTCCATGCAGCTCATCTCCAGGAGAGCAGCTGGCCACATGAGCTGTCCAGCTGGGTTACCCAGCTGCCAAACTCAAGACTGCCAAGTCAGTCGCAAGCACTCAGTGAGTGCACAGGACTTCATCTACAGGGGCAAGATTGATCAGTGTAGCCTGGATGCACAGAGAGACTTTGGCAATGAACCAGCAACCTGAATCCAAACTGGTTTTATGGTGCTTTGAGGCTGACTGAAACGCTCAGCTCTATAGAAGAGAGTTCATAATTGCAGGGCTGTTCAAATATTGTATTCCAGCAGTTTACATGGGGCAATTACTCTTCTCTCCCTGAAACACCTCATAAGAGGTAATGTTAATGTTGTAAAGAAAACACAAGTATAAAAAATGTATGATTGAGGTCATTAATTGTTCTTCCTGTTGTTGAAAACCTCACGACATTTAATATAACATTACTTGAGTGTTATGAAGTGGATCAAAGATTTCATTTTAACAACTACAGTCTACCAATGAAATAGTTTGCCCTCCCAGCCTGCACTTTACTACTGCAAATTACTCTGTAACTGCAGAATTACAACTGAACACTGAAGATCATTCAAGTGTTTTAAAAACTCAGAATGGAACCCGAGCCATTACAGAGCAGTGGCAGCCAGACTAAACTTTTGTCCATGCTACCCAAATGGACCATATTATTTTCCTTAGAAAATGTACAATCCTATTCTGAAAAGATATTGCATCACACATATTTTCAAGCATATAGTTTTAGTGACCATCTCTCACTTACCTCAAAGATCAGTGTAGCATTGGGAGGTATCTTTGGGGGGCTCCCAGCTGAGCCATAGGCATATTCTGGTTTACACGTAATCCGACAGATTTCACCAATCTTCATAGTGGCCACAGCAATGTCCCATGCTTTGATCACCTCACCTGTACAAGTCAAATGCCAATCACACATGAAAGGCATGATCAGGTGAAACTGAGAATCATCACTTTTAGTATACAAAAGCTAAGGCAGCAGAAATACTTGTATTCACTCTCACTTATGTACATCAGATTTAAGGCTAATCAAATTCTGAAGCTTCCCAGGGATCCAAATTTGGCCCAAACATTTCTTCATTCCAGGTGTAACAACTCTTTTCATAGAATAACAGAACACAGACACCAGCTGAAGTGCTTGGCACAGTCCCAAGTGTGAGGAAGTAACACTAAACTCTTCCGAGAGGAAGGCCTTAGGGCGAGAGATTGCCTGCTCCTGTTTTGAAAACAATCCAAACCAACAGCCTTTTCGGTTCATACTTTATCAGCTGGCAAAAGAACAGCACCAGTGGTAACTAAAAGTTACACACATTTGTAACAGAAAGGGGGAAGAAAGTAGTAACATTCTTTTGAAAAGGAAAAACTGTAACAAACTCCCCTCTCCTACTCAAGCCGTCCTTAATTGCTGCTCCTTTTGACCCATCAAGTAGATTTTCTATTAGTCTTGTATTAATAGATGTGCTTAATATCATCTCAAATTGCAGTACAAATAATTTACCTCTTTTTAAAAAGCAGGTATTATCTATTTTTTAAAAAGCAGAAGGTAAGGAACTCGAGGGAAGAATACAAGATTGAGTAATATCGTTGAGGATCAACGATGCTCAGATTTTCAAAAAAGGAAAGATTTTTATAATGAAGAGATGCACTGCTCAAAGACTCCTATTTGTGTTAAATTGAGAATTTTGTGGAAAAGAGAGTGTGTTTCATCATAAGACAGCTACCACTGAGTACTCTGTCCCAGTATCTGGTCACAACTAAGCACTCCTGAACTGAGGGCTGCCCCCCCAAAAAAGCATATTCTGGCTATTTAACTGCCCTTCATCTCTACATTTCAGGACAGATTTGCTCCCCTGGAGTGCTTTGCTGAGGCCTGTGAATTCTTCAGCGGGCCTTTTAAGGGGCTACACAGTTCCCTTATTCAGAAAAATCTCCAAGACGTTCTGATGGGGCCATTCTAAGAGAATAAACTCTGAAAACAAGTTCAAGCAGCAGTTTTGAAAAGCAAAGGAGCCACACAATGAAATCCTGTCTCAATTATTATCAAAACTGATCAGCACCAAACACAAAATATTACCTTTCCCCAAGTCAAATGAGAATTTGTCTCTTCTATCCAGACTGGAGTCAAATTTTGTGCCATCGAGAAGCCAGCCCGTGTAATGGACAATCACCTTATCACCTATCATCGGAGACTCTGTCCCACTGCCTTCTCTCTTGACAACCTGGGGAAAACAGCAATTAGCATTAACATCCCAGAAATCAAGTCTGCCTGCCCACTGGACATGAATCACAAATACCCAGATATGTGTGTTATCATCCTTAGCAGACAAAGGATTTGCAGGTTTCTTTCAGTCACCTGGAAATGGACTGGCTGTTCTTTCTGCAGATTAGCAGTGCTGCAAACGCAGAACCTCAAGATGGCTGTGCTGTGATACAAGAATTTAACAGGAAACAGTTGGCACCAGCTTACAGATCTCTGCATCAGGCAGGGTTTTTTCTTCTTTATTCAAGCATTTGCCTCATCACCTCTCTATCATCACGCCTGAGTTCAGTGTTCTACGCAAAGCACTTCAACAAGAGAACGAGGTGGTTCTTTCCATGCAAAGTCTATTCCAACATGTAATCTGAAATTATTCAAGTCAAACCAGGCAGTTTAACAAAGGTTAGCGGTGTCTCACCCCAAGCAGGTCAGTACTATCAGCCTGCAGTGTAACACTTAAAAATTATTTATTGCAAGAATTTTGTCTCCCCACAATTCTGACACGGATGGCCAGCACCCCCGTGTCACATACAGCTGCAAGGATTTGATTTTCTTCTCAGGGGGTTCCCCAGCCTGCCCAGCAAGACAAGGATTAAAGGAATCTACACTACTCAGAAAGCAGGGACAATCTCTCTCATGTTCATTTGAAGCTTACATAAAATTAGAGAAAAATAGGGACAATATCTCACAGGCAAGGATATGTGAGGCCTTGCCCATAACAGGATTCCTGAGGTTCAGATTTGAATTTTGAATTTTTCCCAATACAGACTGAAACCAGCTAGCCCTAAGCCAAAGTTCTGCATTATCTTAGCCAGGCAAAAGGGGACCAATGGAGGACCCTATATGCTTGCACCATGGAGACCTGGAAAACATTCTGTTATAGAAGATAAACACCTATTCAAGGGCAGTTACAGGGCATCCCTCCTTTAAACGTCATGTTTCTATATCAATCATGTTTTTCACTGAAGGATGCAGACCTTTGGGAGTCTCCTCCAGAAATTTCAGTTTCCTGCAACCCACCACTGTCATTCTCCCACCTGGCCTCCCACCATCCCTTCCACTGACTATCCAACTGACATGCCAGGACCCTCATCCAAAACCAAAGCTTCACCACCGACAGCTTCTGTCAGACTAACAAGCTGAAAGCACCTCACTGAAAGCATAGAACAAAAAATACCCCCACAAACAAACCAAACCTAGAAAAAATCCTGGCTGCTTGTTTTCTAAGGGAAGGATGCCCAACATGAAAAGGGATGCCTGATCTCACACAGCACACCCTCCCTTTACCCCAGCACCACAGCCAGTTATTAGTGTTACAAAACAAATCTGTTGGTGTCTCCCCAAGGAAGGCAAAAGTTCAAGCAACCATTCTTCACAGAGATTAGGAAACATATAAGTATGAGAAAAACACATGAATCAGGTAAGCAACCTGACCTACATCATGCTGAGCAGATGCAATTTGCAAATTGCAGATGCAAACTAGCACTTTAAAGCAGCCAGTCTGATGTAATTTTGAAAAACTAAGTGCATTTAATGGAAATTTACACAACTTTATCAAATGACATATTCTTGTAGTGCCATAGCAAGATATTCTAGAGTAACAAATATCTCATTTGCATTATCTATACAGTTTATTCTTTTGCCTTTGTCCCATTTTGAAGAGACTGAAGTTTCACTTGTGAATATGGCAATCCTATTTTCTGTAAGGTTTACATTTCCTTTTCAGATGGAGAAACAGGATTTTTCAGTTCATATGGCATTTCAAATGGTTTCCTTCCAAATTTAATTGCTTATTCTAGGAATTGTGCAAGTATATGCAGCAATATCAGGTAAAAAAACATGGATACTATTCTGATATACAGCTAATGAGCAAATAAACTTGCTACTGGAATCACTGCAACAATACCAGTACAAAATTGGTGTAGGTTAGTTCAGAGCTAGATGCTTGATTTCAATAGATGCATTTTGCACTCCAGCAATTACATAAAAATAAAATCCATGAAGGCTGGACTTTGTGACCTCTCTGGTATTTTACTTATTGTGATATCTTATTTGTGATTTTCACAACCTCACTTCATTTGTTAGTGTTTTCTACTCCTGTCCTCTAAAAAAAAAAAAACCAAAAACAACCCCAAAACCACCTACTGCTTCTCCATCATCATAAAGTAGGTACTGCATGAATCAGGCAGACTCCACTGTCCTTCTACCACAGATTTTGGTAGAGGGATCTGGGCTGCGGGAAACCTGGGCAGCCATGCAGATGAGAACTCTGATCTGATACTGTACTATGAGCAAAACCCAAAAAAAATCACACCTAAACATGCTATCAGGAAATACTGAAAAGCAGAAATATAGCAGCCAACATCTTTAACCCTGATACCCCTCCTGAACGGGAGACAGCGCCTCCGTAATGAACTCAGAATTTAGAAGGCTCTAAAGGTTAAACCCAGAATTTTGCCTTTGCTGTGGCATCCCTTTCTCCTCCTGAACACCGTAACTTCGAAATATTACTGCGGTTGAATAACGCTTCTGAATAATCGCTGAAGTTTTTAGCAGAGCCTAGGGAAGTTTCTAGAGATATGGAAATAGGCAACGTCTGACAGAGGAAGTTCGCGCAACTCCCCCTCACGGTATAAATCCCGCTGCCCTTATCGCCTGCCTTCCCAGTACAAAGGAGAGCAGCCGCTCCGCCTCGGCCGCGCCGGGGACCTGCCCGGCCGCCGGCCCAGCGGCACCGAGGGGCGGACAGGCCGCTCCGGCCGCCGGACCGCGCTCCCGGGCCCGGGGCCTGAGGAGAGGCACGGACGGGCACGGCGGAGACGGGCACCGAGCGCACGTGCCCTGCCGGGGCTCCATCTTTAATTCCCGGCCCCGGACACGTGCTGGGGGGGCGGGGATGGACCCGGACCCCCACAAGCCAAGACAGAGAGCCAGGCCCGCCTCCCCCTCCCGCATCTTCCCCTAAACGGCGGAGGAAAGCCCAAAGGCAGGGGAAAGCGCCTTTTCGCTGCACAGCCCCCCACGACCCCGAGAGCTTCCCGGCGGGCAGCCCGGGCTCCGGCTCGCCCCGGGAGGAACGGGAAGCCGCCGGGAGGAGCGGGGAGCCCCCGCAGCCAGCCGGGCAGCGCTTGCGCAGCCGGGGCGCGCTCCCGCCCTCCGCCGCTGTTGTTTAATCGCCCGCGCTGCGCCAGCCCTGCCTGGATACCCGGGGACCGCCTCGTCCCCTTCACCGCTGGGCACACAATGGGCTCGGTAGGGCCAGGGCGCCCCCGGGAGCACCCGCTCGCAGGCTAAGAGGAATGCACCAGCTCCCCGCCGGCGCGGGGAGCCCTCCGAGCTAGTACTGAGGGTGGGGATGGGGAACAGCCGCCCGGTACCTTGAGGACGCCCTCATCCTGCTTGGGAGTGATGTCCACCCCTTCCAGGGGAGCCCCGTCCGCTTTCATCTCCTCCGCCGTCATGCCGCCTGCCGCTGCCACCTCTGCGCAGGGAAGGGCCGCCTGGCGGGCTCGGGGCTGCGGTGAGCGCCGGGATGAGGCTGCGAGAGCGCCTGGCTGCGCCTCCGGCTCCGGGCAGCGCGGCTGGGGGGCGGGCGCCGCACGCCTCCTTCCCTGCTGCTCTCGCCGCAGCGCCGGCCCCTGCTCGGCGAGGAGGAGGAAGGGGAGGAGAGAGGGAGGGACCGAGAAGTTTCTAGAGCTGCTGCCGCAAAGCGCCCGGCCGTGCCAGGGGCCGGGGTGAAAGTGTGCATCGCCCCCGGGGGCGGAGAGGACGGCGGGGGTAAGGCAGCCGCCTGGCCGCGTTATACTCCGGGGTGGCGGGGGCGAAGGAGAAGAGAAGGAGGAAAAAGAAGAGCAGCTTATTCATGAGAGGAGGGAGGGCGCGCTTTTACGGCGCCGAGCTTGCAGGGCAGGGCAGGTGCGCCCACTTCTCGCTGGTGATGCAGGAGCCCGGCCCGGCAACGAGGAGGAGCTGCTGCGTCCTGCGCTGGGGAAGCTTTACTGTAAGCTGCACTGAAAAGAAAAGGAACCCCTCTGGCCCCTCAGTTTTAGCAGCCCTGTGCAGATGCATGGCTTATATTCTTTTTGCCCACCACATGGTACTAGGTGGTCCAGGGAAAGGTGGTACAAGTGGGCACAGAAGCACCGTGCTGACAGCGAGCCCGGGGAGCTCGGGCATCCCTTGATCGGGGTCCCGTTGGGAGCCGTGTGTTTAAAAGTTCTTTGTTACCCAGGACCAGGAAAGTAACGACATGCTTAGGACGCAGAGTGTAAGCTCTGAGGCTTGCCCGTCTGTATCCATCCAGATAATGTAACACCGATTTGTGCGTCAACCTGCTGGTGGAGTATTTAGGGATGCATAAACAGAAATAGGAGCTCCCTCTTAATATGAAGAACATTAATACAAATATGCAGGAATTAGCAGACCAGTCTAATTGTGGAGTACTCAGCATCTATACATCCCTCCGGATGGTATGGTACATTCGGTCAAATCTTTTGCAAAATCCAGTAATAAAAAAATCAGGCTAGAACCGCATCCATCACCTTCGCCATAAATAAGGAAAGCAAAAGTGTTAAATGAGCTGCAAGCCTTGAACACCCGCCCCCCGGCCACGCAGCTGCAGCGTTGCCCACTCCTCGCATAGGGCGGCACCTTTCCCGGCTGTTCTTGAACTTTCCTTCCCGCCCGCTCCCTGGGCTTTCCCGGTGGGTGCTGGGCCCGCCCGCCGCTCCGCTCCGCTCCGCTCCCGGGCAGCGCCGGGGCCGCGGCCGCCGCCGCTTGTGCTGCGCCGCCGGCTCGGAGCCTGCCGAGCGGCGCGGTGCCTGAGCCTTCTGTGGCACAAGCGCTGACTGAAGGGGAAAGGAGGCTCGCAGGCGGGCAGTGTCCCGGAGCTGCCTTTCCAAGCCGCATTGGCGCCTCGCGGCGCTTCCAACGCAAATCCCTGGATTGGGAGCTTGTTCTGTGAGGAGGGTACAGGCTGCGTCTGACCTGACCGGAGCTGCCCTGTGCCCGTGTAAAGCTGCGTTTGTGCCTGGCGCACAACGACCCCAGCAGCCTGAGGTGGGTGGGCTCTGCCGGTTCCAAAGGAAAGGAATAGCAAAAGAGACTAAAAGAATCTATAGTTACTCTGGCAGCTGGATGTAAACTGCAAAATCTGCAGGTTTCCCCTGGGAAAGAACATGCTTTTCAACCCCACAAAAACATACACTTTAGTTTACTTTCGATCTGAGTAAGAAGGGAGAAGGCAGAGAAGGAGAGGATTGTGGTTTCTGCGTGCATTTGGTCCAGAAACTTCTAGCTGCTCACAATTTGCAATTTAACATGGATGAGTTATTTGATTGCAGATTAGAACTGTAGGAGGTATAAAGCTGGTTCTGTGCATAGACTCTGGACCTTGATACACTGAGGAACACAGAGAGAAGCATCTAAGTTGGTTCTGGTCCAGCAGGTCTAGCAGGTCTTGTTGGGGGAGGCACAGCAAAAACACAGGAGATAATTCTTCATCTGATGAGTCTGTAGGGTGCTAAATTTACAATCTCCAGTCAGCATTAGCACACGAGTTCTCCTACGCTCTCAATTCATCTGACGTCTTTTTTTCATCTACTTCTAATAATAAACCAACGATGTGTTGGTTTAAAATAAATCTTTGCAGGTCATTCTGTCTTATATTTGGCAATGAAGTTTCTGTTTGGTACTGATTCTTTTTCAGCTGCATGTTTTCTACTTCATAATCCAGCATTTGAAAATTGCAGTATGTGTAATTGGTGCCAAATTATCTACAACTGCCAAACATGCTAGAACCAAGTTTGATAAAGTGATAAGTAGTAGAAAGGAAAGGAGGTCTTTTAGTGGACATCATTTACAGATGTTATACAGCTCATATTTCCAGCCATCCCCTAGTTTTCAACATAGCAGTGCAAACCCTTACATAAGTAATTTAAACCAAGAACTGCAAGTTGTGTTTCTTAGTAACTTTTCGAAGACTGTTTAGATACTGTTTGAGGGCCTCCCTGGAGGGCTGTATGTGCAGGGCTTTATAGAAAAGGGGACAGAGACCGCAGCAAAACAACAGTGAGTGTCTGGGGTGATGTCAGTGCTATAATGCTTCCAGTAGGGCGTGGATGGAGGGAAGGCAGGTCAGAACAGTCTCTTTTTTGTGCCTCTTCTAAGGCTTGCTTATAGTGCCACAGCATTGTAAAGGCACCTCATGTCAGGCCTGTTCTCAGAAGGTACGTTGCAGACACAAAGGAAAGATTTCAGAACTTGGTGGGTACGCTTAGGTGAAGAGAAAATGAAAATTTTGGCTATAGCTTTCAGGCAGAGTGGAAGACAAGTGAGATGATTGCCTAAGGCAGCAGAGAACATTTCAAGCAGTAAAATGTCCTGAAAAAAACAACAAATTCCAGCAAGAGTCTGGAACAGCCTCCCAGGACATGAAGCCAACCTACAGCTGGGCAGCAACATGCTAGATTTAGGAACAGTTTTAATGTAAAGACTTGCTAAAGATAACAAGGCTTAGACTTAAAACACAGAAGATGGCATAGGGCAGCGCAGCTCGAACATCGCTTTATCAACAGGTCCTGCACAGGCAAAGGTGGGACTCAAGGTGGCCTAAAGGCCATCAGGGAGGGAGGAGCTCTCCAAGGGTTGGCTTCCCAGGCGTGCCATGGCTGGAGTCACTGCGCTGTGTGGGTTGACCAAAGCCCCACCATGACAAGCTGTGGCCTGGAAGTTCACTTGCCCAGCTGTGTTGATCGTGCTGGCACAGCAGACTCCCAGAACCGGGAAATAAGTGAGGAATTCGTGTCTGCACAAGCTCAAAGATGACATTTTGAGATAACAGCAAACAGAGTAACCGAAAAAGGAATGACCCTGGTTATTACTTTGTGATTGGAACAGGAACTGAAACCACACTCATCAAGAGCACTGGGTTCATGCTTGATTGGCTTGAAAGGGCTGAGCACGGGGTGTAAGGAATAAAGGCAGAAGCCACACATTCTGTGCTGACTGGCACTGGCCACCATCTGGCAGGTGGACAGACAGCCAGACACCAGCAGGGACACCACGATGCCAGCTGCCAGGGAACACAAAATCCAACCCAGCATGGCTTGAGTGTGGTGAAGACCTTCCTGGGGAAACTAGTACGAGTAAGACAGCTCCTACACCACGGGCAACAGTGATAATTTGTGCACCCATGTTATTTGAAGTAAGGCTTTAAAACAGTGATTGACTGTAACAAAGGGTTAAGTAAATTTGTTGGGTTTTTTTGTTTTGTTTTGTTTTGTTTTGTTTTTTAATTTGGCATACATTTCTTCTGAGGGATTGTTTGGTTACTGTGGAAATCCCAAGGAAACCCCAGATACTCATCTGTTGGTGTGTCACACTTATGCTGAGCTGGAAAAGAATGTGACATAATAGATCAGGGACAGCTTTAATTATTTCTACTTGCTGCATTATAAAAAATAATGATGATAAGGAGGAAGCAATGCCCAGTTTATGGAATTGCACATTTTTTTGTTGCAATAAGCAGTGCTGCCTTTGAAGTCCGCAATAGAGCACAAACCTTCATCAGTCCGACCCTACACTTGTATTTTGTGTGACATGTCAGTGATAGATTATTAAGCTGCCTGTCACCTGAGTTATGCCCTGCCTGTTCTTCAGTCTCAGCTTCACTGAGCTGTCCCAGTATCCCTGCTTTTCCTTGCCCCCCAACAGGATACAGCAAATCAAGTTCCATGCCATCCTTTGGGTTTGGGAGGGATAAAGTTATTGTTTTTCCATATTCATGACGGCGTCACTGCGCACTGCAGTGGATTGGCACGGCCTGCACACAGAGACCATCAGACCTCTCTGTTTTCTGCTCCTTTTCAACCTAAAGCAGTGGTGTTCACTCATCCCCTGCTTCAAAACCGAGCAGCATCTACAGGGGAGTGAGCTGAGTTGTTACACAGCAGGCATGCAGATGAGACTCAACCCTTCCAGCGCCAGGCTGGGAAAGGGCTCTGTGGCTGCGTTTCCTGGGGATTTCTGCACTGCTCAGCTCCCTGTTCACCAACAGATGTCAACGCTTTTCTAAAATTACAGACTGTAGGACTTAAAATTAGACGAGATCTCATTTTTTAAAAATTGTTCTCTAGTAAGGTTATGATTTCTTCTGTACTTCTGTACCTTGATTTCTATTATTTGGTGATTTCATATGCTGTCCTTTTTAGATCCCAGGTAAAGATTTTCAAAAAGACTAAACAGCACTTGTTTGTATAGGCATCTCTTCTGATTCAGTGTATCCCTGTCTTTACCAATTATAGCTCATTAGCTAACTTTCAACACACAGAAATTTAGTAGAATTAATTATAATTAAGATGTTATTTACTTTTCCAAATGCAAAATTAATTTAAACATACCTGATCATGTTTCATCAGTTGCTTTCATTTTGTTCTTTCCTTGCCTTGAAAGCAATTAAGGTAACTGGACAAATGTATGTTTAGATATTCAGATTTTCTATTTCTTTGCATCTCATTAGCCAGTGAGTGTACCCTCACATGTGCATGGTAACACCACCAGAAAGGATGGGCAATTCATGTTTTTTTTCCTTAAATCACTGCAACATTTTACTAGGCTTGGAAATGATAATGTTTTATGATCTATTGCTCTGAAGTGCCACATGAAAATAATGCAAATAACTCATGGTAATTGCCTAATTGATTCTGCTGCACTTTTACTAAAAATATATAATTTTTAGGCTTTATCAATTTTCAGTATCTTTCCTAATAACTCTTAAGACTGGCATTGTTAAAAATAAATAAATACCTGCAGTAGCTTCCTTTGGTAATTGCTATCTTGATCTAATTTTAGAGTTCTCCTTATTTTGCAACCTAATCTACTTTTTCTTTGGCTCTCCTTCCTTTAGACATATTTAACTTTGTTTTTTCTACTTTTATTATGTAACTCTGGAAAGGTTTTCTTAATGTATTTTTTTCCTAATTTTGTGTTCCCCAAGCAAGCTTTCTTGCTTGACTTCCTCCCACTTCCCCATCCCTTTTCTCTGTGTCAGAAGAAGGTCAGATTGGATGTTTGGACTGTTACACTGTCTCACTACTGTTACCATAAAAAATTTCTTCCTTTTAGCCAAATCTATGAAATACAAATCTACCCTCTTTCAGTTTAAAACCTCGTTGCTGATGAACAGACAGTGAAAATAAGTATTTTTGTCTCTTCAGCAAATGCCAAACGTCGTTCCTCTCCTTGCTCAATTTGTTGCTAAGTTGGGAAGAAGCAAGAGTCCACCAATTCCTTACTGCTTACAGACTTTGCAGCACTGCTGATTCTTGGTTACTGTGCAGATGGCTAGATTGCAAATCTGAAAGAGAGGAAAGACTGGAAAACCCATGGGCCCACCCTAATGAGGAAGAATAGCCAAATCCCTAGAAGCGGTGTGTCTCAGGCTGCCTGTGTTGTTGACAGGTGAGACATCTCAGTGCCTGTCTTGCCTCTTTTGTCCTATACTTCACAGATACTGCACAATCCCATAATTTTTACTCATGGAAGTCCTTCCATATTTTGTGGGAACCTTGAAGACTCGCCTGAAAATCACTGACCACTTAACACACAACATCTATTCCCATATTCACCCTCAGAACTCACCCAGGTCCTCTGTCTCACAGATACTCTTCCTGAGTGGACCAGAGGGTATTCCTTCCTTTGAATCATATCTCTTTTGCCTGTGTGTGATGGCTTTTGGACAGCAGATAATGAAATCTTAAGTTTGCATTTAATGAAACCCCATTACCTTCTCATCACATTTTTGTCCCTTTTCCACAGACAGAAGAAAGACGGATAGATTTAGTCACCTGGTAGGGTTTATAAATGTTTGATCCAATACCTACTCTCACACTAGTCTCAGCTCTGCGGGGAGTAGGAACTCTCTGGAGGTGAGAGGTGGAAGGTGTGGGATGGAAAACAAGGAATTCAGAATCTTGGTCTTGAGACACTGCCATGGAGAATTTTTGCTTCCCTGTTAAGAGGGGAGGCAGCTAGGAGCCAAGGTCTTCCTTCTGTATGGGCCCAGGTCTAGTGGTTGTTTCCTCCTAACTGATGTGAGAGACAGCCAGCTCAGTCTTCTGCAGCTTCCTTCAATTCTTGTTAGACATGTTCTCTGTATGTTCTCTGTTCCTGCTGAATTTTCTCCCTTCTCTCTCTAGATAGAGGAGATCATCTCTAGTTGTGTCTGCTCAGGGTCTAGTATGTGCACTTCTCCTCTCCACTCTGAAATGCTTCATACAATTTAAATAGAAAAATTTTGATTGCATAGGAATTGGGAATTCTGTTGTATGGTCACAATTGCTTTCAGTCAAGAGAGTTAACATCCTTTCCAAAACAGCCACTCCTTGTTCTGGATAAATGCCAGGGAGCAGGAGTGTTCCTAGGCTGAGAGCTTAGGATGTTAGCTTTCCAATCCTGTGATAAGAAAGGTGGGGGCTAAGAAGTTTGCTGATCTTACATCAAACCTAGTCCTGTGGTTTGTCCCCATGTAAAGTAACTGAGGGACAATCCCAAGCACAAATACAGCCTGGGTGGAGAATTAATTGAGAGCAGCCCTGCCAAGGAGGACTTGAGGGTGTTGGTTTGACCAGAAGTCCAGCATGACCTGGCATTGGCAGCCTTGAAAACCAACCGTGCCCTGGGCTGCATCCAAAGCAGCATGAACAGCAGGGCAAGGGAGGGGATTCCTCTGCTCTTGTGAGACCCTGCCTGGGATGATGCATCCAGCTCTGGGGTTCCTAGTAGAAGGAAAACAGAGACGTCTTGGAACAAGTCCAGAGGAGGCCACCAAGGATCAGAGGGCTGGAGGACCTCTCCTATGGAGACAGGCTGAGAGAATTGGCGTTGTTCAGACTGGAGAAGGCTCCAGGAGCACCTTAGAGCCCCTTCCAGTGCCTAAAGGGGGCTACAAGAGAGCTGGAGAGGGAGACTTTTTGCAAAGGCATGTAGTGACAGGACAAGGGGGAATAGCTTGAAAGAGGGCAGGTTTAGATTAGATGTTAGGAAGAAATTCTCTGCTGAGGATGGTAAGACACTGGCACAGGTTGCCCGGAGAAGCTGTGGATGCCTCATCCCTGGAAGAGTTCAAGGCCAGGTTGAATGGGGCTTTGAGCATCTGGTCTAGTGGAAGGTGTCTCTGCCCATGGCAAAAGGTTTGAAACTATATGTTCTTTTAAGTCCCTTTCCAACCCAAACCATTCAGTAGTTGTGATTCTATAGTATAGCTTAATATGAGTTGCTGAAACTATCCACCTGCTTTTCCTCTCCCTTGCACCATGGTCAGTGTGTCAGCATAGGTACATTAGTATCAAATCCACAGAAACCACCAAAAAAAACCTTCAGTATTTTCCAAGGCTGTGTTACTGCTTTGCCGCATGATTGGTAGTAAAACACCCTAAAGCACTTAAGACCTTGTATTTGCCTTTACATGTAGGGCTTCTTCAAACCCAGCGACACAAAACTGTGGCTCAGACTAAGCCAGCAATCAAGCACTTGGTTACTGGGCATCGTAGTTTTTATCCCATGTTAATCAGCAGCTTTGACTCATGAATCATATGCAATAGAATAGTGGACTCCCCTGATAGTTTTGGTGAAAAACAGCACTTCCAGGCATGACCAGAGAGGATAAGCAGCACTGTCATTCTACATCAGGTTGCTGTTTCCAAGGACCCTGGGTCTTGTGACAAATCCAGATTGAGGATGCAGCTTCTCCAGGACTTGCAATTTTCCTGTGTTTGGATGACAAGGGTTTGCTTACAGGGTAGGCAAATGTGAAGTGTGTGTGAAGCCTGGTGTCGGCACAGGATGCTGCCAGGGAAAGGTCCACGCCCCTACAGAGCGGCTCCTTCCCTTGCCGTAGGTGTTGTGCTCAGTGTCGCTCTCCTGAATCCTGAATGACACAAGCTGGGTGGGACTGGGTCAGAGTCTCATACCTCACACCCTTCCTGTTTGCACAGCCGCAGCTGCCCCAGATCAGCAGAAGACAACTTCAGGAGAAAGCTGAGCCAGACTTTCAAACCGAGGGAGCCTTAACAGAGCAGTGTCACTCAGAGACCTCAAAGGGCTTGGCAGTTGAGGTCAGTACACTCTCCTTACTTCACAGGTGGGAAAACAGATGAAACGAAGCTATGGGAAAGAGGAATTATTTTATTGAGATTTAAAACAGTTTGGATCAGGGAACTGGGTCATTAATCTCCTGTGCCCAGACGTGCTCTCATGGGTACTGTGTGCTTTAAACTCACAGTTATTGCAGGGAAGCTGGTCATCTCCATCATTTTTCCTTACTTTCCTCTCCCTCACAGCACCTCCTAATACTAAGCACAGGCTTATAGTGCCTAAATGGAGGTAGAAAAGTACAACATGTTGCAGCAACAGCATGTAGCTCTGTACCTAACCAATTAGGAGCTAAAATGTGAACCACATGTTTTAATTATACTGTGCATTGTGTTGATAGTCTTTTCATTTTCTGGCTGTTCCTGTGTAAACCACCTCTACCATACAAGTTCCTAGTAGACTTCCTGGAGCCTCTGGCACTCTCCCTCTTCAAATAAATTGTTAATGGGACAGTGAATACCTTTATTTCCCCGTTTTCCTCCCTGGTGCATAACAGAATTTGTTGAAACAGTCATTTTGTCCCCATAATCATGGTATACTTGTCACTTCTATTTAAATGTGTAAATAGTATGATAACAAAGCTAAAACAAGCAAACAAACAGACAAAACTACAAACAAACCAAATCCCCAAAAAAGTTGTATCCACAAATCTGACTCCTCTTTGTTTGGAGTTCCTACTAGCCAACAAAAAATTTGCTCCATGGGGTTGTTACAGCTGTTCCTTATTGTTGAACTTCACGGTAATGGAGGTTGTTCTTCTCTCCACCAGATAGGAGTGTCCTGGAAATGCAACCCTGTGCCACCTATGAGCAGTTAGTGGATGGTGTCGGGCTATGGGACTTCACTGGAGGTTTTGTTCCCTGTGAGATGCTCCTTGTTGGAGAGGACGCCTATCCTGTGCTCCTGAGCGCTAAGAAGCAGGTCCTGATTGCGGTGTCGCAGTACGGGAAGGGCCGGATGGTGGTCGTTTCCCATGAAGGAATCCTGAAGAGCCCCAAGTTCTCCCAGTTCCTCAGAAATGCCGTGGGGTGGCTCAAGCCTTGCCCCGAGGCCCTGGTTGGGGTTCATCCTCGGTTGGACTCCCTGTGCCCGGTGCTGCTCCAGGCTGGCACCCGAGTGCAGGTGGGGGCAGAGCCCGGCCCGTCCCTGGGGGTGTTCTGTATGGACGCCTATGACAGCTCCCGGGCCAAAGGCATCGTGGACTTCGTCAAAGGGGGTGGAGGGCTGCTTGTTGGAGGCCAAGCCTGGTACTGGGCCAGTCAACACGGCAAGGAGAAGGTGCTGTTCGAATTCCCTGGGAACCAGGTGACCAGCATGGCTGGAGTGTACTTCACAGGAAACGTCGTGGAAAAAGGTGTCTTCAAAGTCGCCAAGAAGATTCCCAAGATCCCATTAGTTGTCCCGTGAGTACCTGAGTTGCCCTCTCTTTAAACCACCAGTTAGGTTATGTGGGTGAGTTGTTTGTAGAAGATTTGGGAGGTGGGAGGTGAGGGTGAAGATGAATGCTGGTTCTTTAATAACCAGCATGGAATTGTTGCCTTCCAATTTAAAGGGGACTTTCCCATTCTTTACAATTGGAAAGAATGCTATCTTCAAGTGCTTCCAGGGCAGCAGGACCAGGCCCAGGGAATCCATGCTCAGAGAAGGAAATGAGAGGAGCCATCTTTTAGAGCAGCCTGTCTGATCAAGTGTACTTGAGTGAAATGCAGCAAAACAGAGACAGGAGGAGGAACTCCTCGTCCTCTCCCCACACATCCCTGCATTCAGGGCAACTTTCCCACAGCTGTAAACCAGGTTGGAGATGAAGCAGAACGACAGCTCTCTGGGCCAGGCTCTGGCTGACATCTGCTAAACCTGTTTAGCCTGTTCCTTGCAGGAATTTGCTTCTGCAGGTAAGGCCCTGGAGCTGGCCAGAGCTGAGGCTGCGTGCCGCCTCCCTTCTCAGCTTCTGAAACAGGCTGTGGGCAAGAAATCTCAGTTTGCTTGGGATTCCAGCCTGGCTCTTTGGGTTCTGGATTGTCAGGTGTAAAACTCAGGGCTGTTATGACTCATATTGCACAACTGACCAGGCACTGGAGACCTGGATGGTGACCTGCTCTCTTCCTCCCCTTGCCAGTGGCTATGCCAGGCTCTTTCTCCTGCCATTTTCTGCTAAGTTACATAAGGCACAGCAGGTTTTCCAAGAAGCATTGGTGCTGCTGCACTTCCTCTGTGTGGCAGCTTCATTTCACTGCAGCGACAGCCACAGCAATTACAGTAAAACTCCCAGCAAGTCTTTTCTTCACAGCCCTTTCCTTGTGGATGTGGAGTGCTAAATTTCTAATATTTTCAAACAATTAATGGAATTTGATAGTTTCTGTTGTTTTCTGGTAAAGGTAGTAGAGAGCTCTGCTGTTTAATTCAGTGAAATGCTTAGGGCACAGCTAACAAATCAGGTTGCTTAATTAAAATTTGCTGGTTGCTTCTTGTTACCACCTGCACTGCACAAGCATGTTCCCACTGCTTCATGCACAGGGCATGGAAGAGGGAAACGGGTGGGGAATTCAGAAGAGAAAAAATACATTGCAATTAGCGAGACTTCAGATGGTAACTAAGGGTGTATTACATCTTGTTTAGGTTGTTTTTGTGGGGGTTTTGTTTGAATCCAGAGCCACAGAGAAATTTACATCTCCAATTTCTGTGTACATCTGAGTCTTCTTGCCAGATTTCTGTGCAGAGAATCAGGCTTCAGTCTGAGACAGGAGCTGTGCCATATGCCTGGACACATGCTCTGTGTGACAAAGGGTCTCAGTAAAGTAATAACCAAAGAAGAGCTGCAGATTTAATTCCTGTCCTACAGGCATGAAGAAAGGCAGCATAATTTATTCTCACTGAGTTGGAAGCAATGGCCACATAACAACAGATCCTTCGCAGGTGTTGGGGGAAAACTGTTTGGCAGAACCAGGGGAAAGTGTACACAAAGCAAACAAGAGTAATTCAGCATGTCTTTCTCCACAGTGACACACAGGAGTTATATGAAAATAGCAGAGATAAGAGAGCCTTGCACAGACTAATCTCTTTTTATTGTGGAGACCGGCAATGTGAGGTAATGTGAGGTGTATGTGTTAAGGCTCTAATTCAACTTCCAGTCACTCATGATTTGTCTAGCTGTGTGTCTGCCTGTCTGTGTAGCCCATCTGTCCTAGCACTCCTTTCTTCAGTTCTCAACAGTGGCAGAGCTTGGGAAAAGGCACAGAAATCTTTTGGGCTTGCCTAGTTCATAAAGGCTAGGGTGGGGCAAATAGCGAAAGTTTTTCTTAAAGCAGATATGCCAATTCCCACATTATGTGCAGTTTAAATCTGCAGTTTTAGAAACTATGAAGGGTCTGATTTTTTAGCTTCTGCAGTGTATTTAGATTTTCAAGTGGCTCTTCAAAGACGGAGGTCTAGAAGCTTCCTTTTGACCTATTTATTCCAATTTTTAAATGAGGACTGAGATTCCTACAGATTTGCTTGGCTTTAAACTGAGGCTTTAAAAGAAAAATGAGCCATTGATGGATTTTTTTTTTTTAAGCGGAAGAACTGACAGCATGATGTCCTGGGATGAAGGAACAAGAAGAGGCAAAGATGGCCACTGAGAATAGCTCAGTTGGTTAGAACATGGTGCTACTAATAGAGTTAAGGAGGTGGGTTTGTTCCCTATATGGACCACTCACTTAAGAGTTGGACTCAGTGATCCTTCCAACTCAGAATATTCTGTGAAATCGAGAACTCCTTAAGTTTCAGCTATGGCACCAGTCATTTTGTGCCAAGGATTTTGGGCTGGGGGCTAACCTGGACTCTCTTGGTTGTGCAGGCACCAGGCCAACCTGAGCCTCGACGCCGAGTTCCTCCTGCGCGGTGTGTCGGAGCTGGATTTGGTGACGGGGGGCATACCCTCCACCTTGCTGGTGCACGGAGCCCTCTCCTTCCCGCTGTGCCTGGACAGCTCCCAGCGCTGCCTCTTGGCTGCCGCACGCTACGGCCGCGGCCGCGTGGTGGTGGCCACCCATGAGAGCCAACTGTCCTCCCCAAAGCTGGCCACATTCCTGCTCAATGCTGTCTCCTGGCTGGATGCTGGGAGGAAGGGGCTGGTGGGGGTGGATCCCAGCCTGAAGAAGCTGTGTAGCCTGCTGTCTCAGGCAGAGGTGAAGTCGCAGGTGTCGCAGGTGTCGCAGCTGGCAGGTGACATCAGTGTGTACTGCTGCACTTCTTACAGCGCCGGAGAAGCCGAGAGGATCCATGCTTTTGTGGCAGAGGGAGGTGGCCTGCTGGTGGGGGGCCAGGCCTGGTACTGGGCTTCCCAGAACTCTGGCAAAGCCGCCGTGGCAAATTATCCTGGCAACAGGATCCTGAACCGCTTTGGGCTGAGCATCCTGGGGCAGAGCGGCCAGGCAGCCAAGTACCCGCCCGTGGGGCCTGGGGAGCACTACCACTTCCGCAGGGCGCTCCTGCTCTTCAGCACGCAGCTGCAGGGGCATCAGGAGCTCACGGAGCCCCTGAAGGGCTGGCTGCACCCCCTGGCACGGGACTGCGCTGCCTTCCTGCACATCCCAGCCCACGACTGCCCGGCGTACGCCTCGCTCCACCGCATCCTGACCAAAGTGCTCAAGAGGACCGGGATCCCGCAGGTCAGCAGGCACTGCCCCGTCAAGAGCAACTCCAAAGAGGTAGTGCTGCTCTGCATGGCCACCGAGCTGTCCCTCACCATGACAGACAGCTCAGCCCTGGTGCAGAAATCTGCTGCTGGGGGCTGTGCCTTCCCTGTCACTGTGGAAATCGATGGCACAAACCCAGGTGAGTTATCTCTCTTCCTCTCAAGGTGTCCTGTTGCTGGTATCACTGGGATGCCTGCCCTCAGTGTGCCTGTGTCTGTGTGTGCCTGAACATGGGCACAGATGTGCAATTTCACCTCGGGCTTCGGAGGAGACTGAGCTCAGTGCAGTGGCAGACAGGCTCCTTTTGTGGCCAGTCCTGATTTTAGCACCTGAAACCCCCATGGAAATCTTGCTTCCTCCCTGTTGGTGCACAGGCACTGGTAGAAGAACCCCCAAAAAGTGGTACCACAGGGCACTTGCATGGCACAATGGTTTTGGCAAGAAAGTTTCTCTGAGAAACCCTGGACTCCACACTGCACGTTGCTGTTCCCATAGTTGTGCTGATACAGCCATCTATGGAGCCATCCTACAAACAGGCGGGAGTTAGAAACAAAAAGTTTGTTATCTAGATAGGTAATTTCATCCTGAGTTATAGCACAGTCCCACAGCTTGGTGTATCAGCACAATGGAGGGAAGATCTGGTTTTGGGGGTGAAAGAGGCTGGAAATACGGTTGGAACTTCTTGGGCTGACACCACCACTGAAGCCAAAGTATTGAGTAAATACACCATAAGTTATTTGTCTAAGCTTAGGTCTTGCATCTGTACCACCTTGCTGAGAATCCTGCTCACAACTGATATGTTTAAATTCTGGGTTAAATTCCACTAGTGACTTTTGTTCCCTGGACAGATTTTTTTTGGTACTAGAATATGATTTAGAGGAGTTATTTTCAAATTGTTACAATGAGATAAAGGAGGCTGTTCTGGAGTGCCAATGTCTGAGTGCAGTGGCTGTACAGAGAGAAAAGTTGTAGAAAAACTTCTCACTGGTTTTAACATTAATGAGTTAGGACAAAAGCAGAAAATACTCAGAATTTGTATCATTTCACATAAACGAAAAAGAAAGAAAAGCTCGCAAACCCTGAGCATCATTTCAAAATTGCCTTTGGTACAAATCCAGTAAAACTGAGGTGAACTCAGTAACACAATGTCATATAGTCTAATTTGCATTGTTCATTGGATTAGGTTTTGCTTGACAAAACTGGTTCTGCTGTCTAGGATGACAGGAAAGGTTGTAAGTTGGGTGCTTAATGACAGTTCAGCTCTTTTTAGGTCTTCTGGTGTTTGGATTGACATATGCCTTAAGTAAACTTTGTGTCAGAACTAGGGAGTGGAATCTGCCAGTACAGTAGAGATGGATCAGTTTTGCCCTGTAAATTCTGTAAATTGCAAGTGTTTAAAGAGATTTTTGCTGAGGAGACTTGCATTTCCATGGGAAGACTGTCTAGAAACCTGCTGAATTGTAGTGGTACCCTTCTTACAGGTACACCTAGCACAGAATGGTCTCTTGAGGTTTTCTCATCACTTCAGTCAGCTAGAAATTAAAATTCCTGTGGGCTCCAGTTTTCTCCAGTCACTAAGGAAAAATGCAATGCCACCATCAATCTGTTATTTGGGAAATGTTTTATGACCATTGCAACTTCAATTGTGTAATCCCACCATAGCTGGCACCTCTTACAAGGTCTTTAGGATAAGAGGGTCTAAGTGTAGGAAGTGTTGAGGTTTTGGCTTCTTTTCTTTTTCTTTTTTTTTCCCTTTGAATTTTTAGAAGATATTACTAAGCACATTTAAGCTTGTGGTTTCCAGAAATGTAAATCTGGATGGGCTTGCTTGCTAATGGTGTGATGATTTTGTTCATTTCTTTGAAACTGTATTTCTGACAAGTTGGGTAAATGCGAGATGGTTCTGTGAGTGTAGAGCAAGGGAAAAGGAAAGGACGGAAGATGATTCTCCTGTTGCAGCTTGAAATCTCCAGGATCTGTAATGCTCGGGAGAAAGAAGTGCTTGACTATTCAGGGACTGTGTTCTGTTACATTTTAGGAAAGACAGCCTGGAGAAGCACAGGGCTCTACCTCCCCGAAGGTCACACAGCAGTGATAACGTGCCCTTGCTTGGTGGTCGGTGCTGGTCTGAAGGTAAACTCTCTCTCCTTGGCCTTGGTTTACACTGGTATATTTGTCGGGTGAGCGCTCAAAAATAGCACTGGGAAGGGTTTTCTCCTTTATGGCTTTTTCTGCCTTTCCCGCCCTTTCCTACTGCTGCCACCCTGTGGCACTTTAAATGCTTTGTCATCATTTCTTCACCTTGTGTCCTCAAGCTTTTCTTCTGCATTCCTCCCTTTCTGTGTGCTGGTGGGGTAATTGAGTGTGGCTGCTGCTTGAGGGCTGCTGGTTTTTGTTCTGTTATGGTGCAGGAAAACCTGATCAAGATGATTTTCAGGTCCAGGATAAGTACTTGGGCCCTTCTATGAACCAAACTTGATTCCATCTCTCCAGATCTCTCATAAATTCCTTTGACAGTGCTGTCACTGCTGCTCATGTAGATGTATCCAGACGAGATAGGCACTGTTACTTGGGATCCTGTTCTCTGCAAAATACAATAGAAGCAAATCCTTACCTGCTTGGATATTTTTTGCAGTGACCTCCCTGAAGCTGAAATGCAAAGTTAACTCAGGTGCTTCTGTCTGATCCTGCAGCCACATGCTGTCTGTTTTATTATAAGAGCTCTAAGGAGGAGGCACAATAAAAGAAGCCGGTCATGACCACATCTCTCCAAATCATGTTATAGGAAGTGACTCTGATGCTGGGGAAGGGTGGAGGAATGATCAGTACAAGTGCAGTGCAGTGGAAGAAGTCACTGCAGGACTCTGACCTGCTGGTGAAGGATGCGCTTGAGCCAGGACTAGTGGGAGGAGAGCTGTAATACTGAGATGGGACCAGGCTGGAGTCAGAAGGCTGCTTCTGTGCGCGTGCTGTGCCGGGACAGCGCTGCAGTGGAGAGCTCAGCGGGTGCTGAGGTCAGTCTGCCAGGTCACACTGGCACACCTTTGACCAGCTGTTCCTACACTTCTGCTTGCCAGGTGCAGGTTGGGTGTCACACGGATGACCTCTCTAAAGCCAAGGAGCTGAAACGGGCACCAGTGGTAATCCGCACCTGTGATGTTGCCTGCCAGAAACAATCCATTTCCTGCCTCTGGGGTGGCCTCATTTACATCGTAGTACCAGCAAAGAGTGTCCTGGGCAAAGTGCCCATCACGGTGGAAGGGGCAGTCAGAGCTCCTTTCTTCAAGCTTGGTAGGTTTGTTTACCTTGGTGTTTTTTGCCTGAGGGCTGCTCACAGATGTCATTGTCCTAGTGACTGAAAGGAAGGATGGTCCTGTGCTTAGGAAGGTCTTAGAAATGGCTTGATTTAGGTATATCCAGATTTATTTTCCTTACTATGTTGTCCTCTGGGATTCCCATCTTTCTACTAATTTTTAAGAAGGATGGAAGGGAGGTCCCCAAGAATCACCAACCTGTCAGCCTCAGCTCTGTGCCTGGAAAGATCATGGAACAAGCCCTCCCTAGATGCTATGCTAAGGCACGTGGAGGACAGGGAGGTGATTTGGAACAGCCAGCACAGCTTCACCAAGAGCAAGTCCAAGAAAGATGGGGACAGACCCTTTAGAAGGACCTGTTGCAGTAGGACAAGGAGCAATGGTTTTAAACTAAAAGAGGATTGATTCAGGCTATGTGTAAGGAAGTTTTTTACAATGAGGATGGTGGAACACTAAAATGACTTTGCTCAAAGAAGTGTTGATGGATGCTTCATTCCTGGAAACATTCAGTGTCAAATGGGCAAAGCTCTGAGCAACCTGATCTAGTTGAAGATGTCCCCCCTGCTCATAGCAAGAGGGTTGAAACAGGTGATCTTTAAGATCCCTTCAATCCAAACTATTCTACAATTTATGAATCTCTGCTTCTGAGTAAGTCACTCTGAACCTGCTGCGTGGCAGGGAGTAGGTGAAAGAACTTTCACAAAATGGGCAGGCTTTGTCCACAGCAACATTTCTTGGAGCTGGAGTTGTTATCTCTGATGGAAACCATTGTGCTAGGGAGAGGGAGACTGATCTCTGCGCAGCAAAGGATGCTTTGTGCTCTGCCTGCGTTACTGTGCCCTCATATGGCCATCTCTAGATCCTACAAGACATCTCCACTGAATTCCCCATGTTCCCAGCAGTCCTCTTCTCTTCTCTTCTCTTCTCTTCTCTTCTCTTCTCTTCCTCTTCCTCTTCCTCTTCCCTCCCCTCCCCTCCTCTCCTCTCTCCCTGTCAAACTGAATGGAACCAGCATTGTTATGTGAAACAGCAACTCTGCTGGACAAAAAGAAACGAGACACTGGAGAAACTTGATGCTTCTTGCTCTCTGACACAAAACAGGGATCTGTTCTTGCTATGCTGCTCTGTTATATGCCAGTCCTTTTCTGTTCCCTACCTATTAAAGAGCCTGAGGAGGCTTCTCAAGAACAGATTGAGCACTGGCTGTTTAACAGCCACCACCCGCAGTCATGCAACTACCGCATACTGTTTTCCAAGAAATTTTCATGACCTGCTCTCTTTCTCTGAGACCTCTGTGAGAATGCTCAAAAGTCAGAATTGTGCTTAACTGGTGTTCTGTGTTGCTGCTGTAGGGGAGACCTGTGAAAGGCAGTGGGAGGCCTGCATCCGGCACTACCCTGCTCCCTGGGCGGAGCTGGCTGTTGAGAACCTCATCCTGACGGTGCCTTCTGACAGCATCCGCCACATGGAGGACCCGCGGCCGCTGCTGACCCTGTGGGACGAGATCATGGTGGCGATAAGCAGGCTGGCAGCCGTGCCAGCAAAATTCCCAAGGCCGGAGAGGATTGTAACAGATGTCCAGATTTCATGTGGTAGGTACAATGCCATATGGCCTTCTCTGGGGCTAAGAGGCAAGTGGCCTCTAGCAGCAATGTCTGTTCCTTCAAGGTTATTTTGCTAAAACCAGACTGGGAACATATGTGAGGTGTTAAATGACTGTGACCCTTGCATAATTGTGAGCTACTCCATCAGGGTGGAAATGTGGTAAGGCAGGGCTTGAAAAACATACTGACCTTTCCAGATGCCTCCCTGCTCTCGAAACTGGTGGTGTCTCCTCAGCTGTTGGGGTGTGTTACGATGCAGAGCTGCTGACTGCAGTGGCTTTAGCTCACATGCAGTTATCCGTCCTCCCTCCTGAATGCACTGCAGAGCCAGTACAGCTGGGAAGCAGTGACCTGATTTCTATTTTCTCTCTGGCTCAGCCACAGGACTGTTCTCATGTGTTCAGTGACAATTTTTAAACCTCCATGTGCCTACTTGCTGGAGGTGCGCTCCACAAAGGTTATTGTGGGCAAAGCTTAGCCCAAAAAGATGTGTGCCTGAGATGATGGCACACATCTGGAAGCAGATCCAGTATTGCTGTCAAAGACCAGCAGTGTGTATTTTTGCAGCTGATGTTCCCCCACTCCAGCTTTTCCAGTTATGAACTGAGTGATCAAGAATCAATTATATAGTAAACATGGAACTTTGCAATAAACATTTTGCTCAGTTTTAAAAAAAATAACTTAAATTCATCATGGTTAAATTCATCGTCCCACAATGAGACAAGGGCTTGGCATGAATCCTGATGCCCTAAACTTTTGCTAAGCTACAATGGAAAGAATTTGTGGCACATCTTGGGAGTGTTAGGTTCTGCTATGCCGAGCAAATGCCTGTTAAAAATACCATAGTCTACAGACATAATTTTTTTTTGTGCTTGAATGGACTAAATGGTTTCACTCACATTTCTGGATCTGAACTTTTTGGGTGCTAGTGGTTGCTAATTGCATATATCCCTCTTATTAAAAAGGAGGAATCTCAAGATCTTCACTAGTTCCTGCAGAAACTAGTTCCAGGCCATTCATGTTCTATGTTCACTAACTCCTGCAGGAAGGGGATTGCGATTCCTGTTCATTCACCAGGCTCCCTCTGTGTAAAGGGCTGCTTATGCCCTGCTAAAACAGGTATTTGAATTTGGGGACATTGCTCTTGCATGAAGTTTTGGGAATCTTCCAGGAGGAGCAATTAGGGAAGAAGACACCAAAAAGGCATAAGTAAAATCCCTTGCAGTGCATGTTTCTTGCCTAGTGACCTGCTGGGAAGTTGTTTATGGAATAGCTGTCCTTCAGGGTTAAGAACAGGCTTAAGTATGACAGGCTTTGTAGTCCTTAAGCATGACAAACTGTTTTCCATCTGTCTCATCCACACCAGTGACCACTGGAGTGCAGGCCTGCAGTATCCACACTCTCCATAGGAGCACTCAAGGAGTGCCATGGTGCTCAATCACATCATTGCATGGTTGGTGTCAACTGTGCTCAGCCTGGGGGAGTTCAGGTGTGTTCTGAGTGGTCAGGCTTTTCTCCTCATTCTAAAACCTCAGTCTCAGTCCAACCATGAGTGTACATTTGTATATAAAAAGGGAAAGCAGGCGAAACTGCACTTGACTGATGGTTCAATCCTGCCTTTACTTGTTTGACTGTTTAAGGGTGACTGTCTGTTAGGGTGAAACGTGATGTATTTCCTTCTGTCACACTGGGAAAAGTTGGTCATTCGTGGAAATAAAAAAGTGTTATTTGTGAGATGGAGGAAAGGCACTAGAGAAATGAAAAAAAAACCCAATAATAATTTACATCTAAGAAGCACTGAGGTGAGCACTTAATGATGTGTGTTGCTACCTGTCTGTCCTGCAGGCTGGATGCATGCTGGCTACCCCATCATGGGCCACCTGGATTCAGTGAAGGAGATGTTAGACGTGCAGCACATGCAAACTACTGGTCTTTGGGGTCCCATCCATGAGCTGGGACACAATCAACAGCAGCAGGCGTGGGAATTTCCCCCTCACACCACAGAGGCCACGTGCAACCTCTGGTCTGTCTATGTGCATGAGGAGGTGCTGGGCATTCCCAGGCATGAGGCCCATCAGGCACTCAGGCCACAGTGCCGGAAGGAAAGGATGAAAGACTATCTGAAGAAAGGTGCTCAGCTAAAGGACTGGAACATGTGGACTGCTCTGGAGACATACCTGCAGGTAACAGGGGAAACGTGTGTGTGTTCCTAGTGCAGTCACTGAAGCCTGTGTCAGAGGGATGTCTGCAGCCTGCTGACTGTAGTTGTGAAGCCTTGTAAGTGTTTGATTACTGTCAGAGGGTTTATCTTGGGCCCAGAACACACCTGAGAGGTAAAGAGGCAGAGTGCCCAAAGTTCACATCTCCTGAAAACCTTCCTTTGTCAGATTTGGGCTTAGCCACCCAGGGAGATAGCTCAGTGCAATGTACTAATCTTTCTCCCTGGAAGAGAAACAGGAACTGCTGCTTGTTATACAACATGGGAAAAGGAGGATCAAAATTGGGCACAGCTCTTTAATCCACAGCAGATTTCCTGTGGGATGGTGGGCTAGTTGTCAAAAAACCTTGGCACTGTGAAGTGTCTAGGAAAGCCAGACTTTGAACAGTCTCCTGGTGAATTACATGGCCTTTTAAGAAGCTTACAGAGAGGAGGGTGTTCATATCATCCAGTGCACTGAGTGGAGCCAGTGTAGTCCATCGAGTAGCAAGAGGATGGGCTCAGCCTATCCTCCTGCACACAGAACTGAATCCCTCACTGTGGTTGAGACTCTGAAAAGTGAACCCTATCCTAGATTGAAATGCATTCTCTTGGGAAGCATGCAAGACAGATTCTCCTTTTCCCTTAATCCTCCTAGAAACTATTAGCCTAATGGAGAGAGCACTCAGCCTGATTTTAACTGGGGAGTTCAAAGCAGATGTCCATTATGATGGCTTAAGCTACTGACTGCTGTGAGATGAGTGTCCCTCAGCTACCTTGTCTGAGAGCTCTCACGCTTCATATGAGGAAAAGAATATTTACTGGAGGAGTATTAATCCTGACTTCTCCACATCCCAGAAAAGCATCTGCATTCTCAAGCTGAAGAGTCATCCTCTGGGGATTTTTGGTGCAACCAATAACAAAATATTTATACAGAAGGAACAGTTTTAAGGGGAGAAATTTTCCCACAATACCTTACCAGTTTGGCCACTGCCTCACCCATGCTTGTAGGCTGGGATGTCTCATCTCCTGCTTGATTACTAACAGGACTGCTGGAATAAATGTGGCACGGAAGAACAGTTCTAATTCTGCAGCAGCAGTTCTTTTGTATGAATTCCTTTTGTTCTTATTCTTAGGCAAAGCATACCCTGTTCATAATCTCTCCCTCTTGTTTTCTCAATGCTCCTTGTTCTCCTGTGCCCCTTCTTTCCAGCTATTCTGCCAGTGTCCCCTCTGATACTGCTTTCACTGTCTCCAAAGCAGCAGCTTGTATAATAGGTTGCTGACACTTCTGGCTACTCCCAATGTATCTTTGATCTCTGTTTGTTTTGGGAGATCAGTGTAATGGGGAAGTATTTTTCTGTACATTAGTGCTGTTAGTTATGCTCTGAAGCCTGAAAAGCCTAGATGATTTCATCTAAATATACATTCATTCTAAAAGACACTGCAGAAACCCGTGGAGTTTTCTACTGTGTGTAACACAGGAATAATGCCAGTGAAATGATAACTTAACTATTTGTATGCTGTATTCTTTTTCATCAGCTGCAGGAAGGGTTTGGTTGGGACCCCTTCACCCACCTCTTCTCTGACTACCAGAAAATGTGCACGATCCCAAAAGACAACACTTCTAAGATGAACTTGTGGGCACAGAAGTTTTCTCAGCAGGTGAATAAGAATTTGGCTCCATTCTTTACAGCCTGGGGATGGCCTATCAAGAAAGAGCTGTCTGTGGAACTGTCCTCTCTGCCCAGCTGGGAACAGGATCCAATGAGATCCTATAGACCATAAAGGAAAACTACCTAAATCCTGGTTCTTATACTAGCTATGGCCTATCTTATTCTCCTTGTATGCTACATGATAGCTCACTATGTGCTTGAATTTATGCTGGATTCTTCAGGTTCTTGCTGCCAGTGGAGGCCAGCCCCAACAGAATTTCAACAGGGATCAGCAGATCAGCAACCACCTAAGCTGTCTTTTGAAGGGTTAAATAATCAGTGAGCTTTGTTCCAGGTGCTTCACCTCAGGAAGAATGTAATTCTAAGTCGATTTAGTTGCTACAGAACCTTTCTGTGATGAAATGGAAGTTTTCTAGGTGGAGCAGTCGCTGGACCAGTTTCAAGGACTTTACCATGGGAATAGAGATCTTTAAAGCAAATAGTAACCTCCACAACACTCTATTTTTACATTATAATCGCAGTAACATGAGATTTTCATAATTATTTTTGTTACCCTAAAATTCCTAATTTTTAATTCCTCTTATTGCGCAGAACTTCACAGCACCTTTTGTGAAAGTGGCCTTACAATGCTTATATACAGGCTATATAATGCATAGTTGATACTGAAATGCTGTAGATTTCTTTCTACATTCTCTGACTGTGTGACCCAGCGTCCATCTTTATGTGAGTAAGTCAATTATAAGTTTCAGCTGTCTTCAGCCATAGCCTGACAGCAAGATACATGCCAATGAAGATGAGAGAGTGGAAACAGGGAGGTGAATTGATTGTAGTCAGTAATGGTTTAGCTTGTGGACTCATCAAAGGTTAAAATACAGGCATTGAGCTGGCAGCCTGAGGGAGCAGAGAGAAGGAAGACAACAGTTCATCAAGACAGAGGGCCAGCCTTTTCCAGATACAATAAAAGTTCATGTTACTCCCAGCTCTTTCATAATTGCTCAGCTGTTAAGGGTTTTGGCAAGCATGTTAATGCTTAGCCTAAGAGCGCACTAGTCCCAGCCTATTCCTTATGTATCTGTAATAAATAAATAAAAAAAAAAAAATCACTGTAGACTCACAGGTTTTGTGGTCCTGTTTTCATGTCTCCATGCCCTAATGACCTCAATAGAAGTTGCCTTGGTGGTAAAGTTGTTCAAAGTTGAAAAAAAACACCATGAAAGTCTCTAGTCTGTGGTGTGGCCTCATATATAGTGCCAAAGGAGGGCACATTAGGCCAAATATCAGTCACAGTTAAAGAGGCTGTGCAGCTTCCATTCTTCAGGCTTGGTAAGTGGTGCCAAAACCTAGCTGTAGTAAAGAGGCATTTCTGCATTTATGGCTTACCCATATTTTCCTGCTTTTCTGGTTTTTGATTTTTTTTGTGGTCATGTGTGTAGAAAATGTTAAAATATGTAATGTCCCAAGAAAACCTTTGCATTAAGCTTTGCATTTCTTAGCCCAGAAAGTATATTGATAAGACCTTCAATTAGGGATTAATCTCTTTCCATGTTCCCAGTGTAAGTATGTCTGAGACACCTTTAACATGGCTTGATATTAAAAACTGAATATCATCAGCTCTCAGCAGCAGCAGACATGAGGTCACCAAAGATGATTGAAGCCCTTGCCAGCATCCCAGGATCTCCCTGTGATTCAGTAAAACACAGTTACATCCAGATTATTGTCTACATCCAATTTATTGTTTCTAAGGCCATGCAAAGGGGTTTACCTGTGGTGATCGTCCTCTTTCTTCACATTTAAAAGTTATTTTCAAATTGGCTGCCTTTTTTCACCTGAATGCTGGATTAGGGGGAACTGACATCTCTGCCTGGTTCTGAACCATCTGTCAGTAGCGGCTCCCTGGGCTGAACTGGCCACTAGAACATCCTCCTGACAGTACCAGCTGCTGATGTACACCACATGGGCAGCCCAGAGAGTCTGCTTCCCATCTGCATCAAGATGATGGATGCAATTGCCAGGCCAGCAGCCATCCCAGCAACATTTTCCAAGGCCAGAAAGGGTGGTGGCAGATGTCCAGATATCTCATGGCAAGTATAATAATTAGGACATTTTGTCTGTATCTGTGATGGATATTTGTAAGGGAAATACGCAAGATCCTCAAATCAGCAGATCAATTCCACCATATCCAAGAAGACTGCTGGAGGGAGTAAGAATCTTCTGTGAATGTCAAGAGCTTGTATGCAAAAGTAGCATATTCTGCTGCTGAATGTGACACTGTAAAACCCAGTGAAGGGAGGCTGGCCACCAAATGATGTGTACCATGTAATCATGTACCATCTTGTTGCTGTGGGAGTGAATTTATTCTAATTGCAGCAGAAAGAAGGGAAACACAGGTAGCTGGTTTAGGCAGGACAAAGGAGATTTCGAAACTTGAATTAAGGCATGCAACAGACACATAGGCAGCCTACTGTGTAATAAGACCCTGGTGTTAGCAGGCATAGGATTGCTTCCATTAGTGGGGAAGTGAGGGCAGTGGTAGGGGGCAGAGTTGGTTGTAAGCAGCATTTGGCTGTCTGTCATTGCAGAAATCTGCTGTTGAAAGACAATTCACTAGGCTAGTGGAACTGAAGTTTGTTATGGCTGATGAGGAGGCTCCTAAAGGCCAAATCTCAGCATTATTTTCAGTTAATCTTTGTTCAAGTGCTGCACTTTTCTCAGTAGGACTTGACTATAGCACTAGAAGTGTTTTCTACCACTTGAACTGATAAATTCATCAGCTGGCCAGGGCAACACTCAATAATTCACAGCAGCTTGATTCACGTCAGTCAAGTAGAACTGATTCAAGAGAGGCTGGCCCAAGTATAAACACTGGCACATGTTGCCCAGAGCCAGAGCTGGTTGATGCCCCATCCCTGACAACATTCAAGATCAGGTTGGATGGGACTTGGAGCAACCTGATCTGATGATCTTCCTGCTCAATGCAGTTAGATGACACTGAAGGTCCCTTTCAACCCAAACCATTCCATGATTCCATGAAAAGTGGGTCTTGTGTTTCCATACTGCATTTGCTTCTCTAAACATGTCTTTCTGTCAGGAGGATTTTATTAATCAATCATCATATCTGGCCTCATACAGCTCTGAATCCAACAGTAAAGTTGTAATCTCTCAGTGGCTCTTCAACAATTGTGTTGAGATTACCTATCAGTTGCTTCTGGATTGATTTACGTGGCTCCTTCTCATAAGATAACCTATATAGCCTATAAGATAACCTATAATCTCATAAGATAAAAAGATTTGCACAGACACTGCAGATCCTCTGCGCAGATCCAGGCAGCACTGTGTGACCCAACATATAAAACTCTTCCTGCTTCTCTCAGACTTGCTAAAACAAGTGGAGTGTAGCACCACTTCAAATATGTGAATGGCTCTGTATCCCTCCTGCACTACTTTGGAGCTATGAGGAACCAGTTTAGCCTGTTGAATTGTCCCTGAAGGAAAAAGAACCAAAGATAAACTAAATTATATGAAAAGCTACTGGAACATGACTTTTAAAGCTGGTTATGGTTGTCAGCAATACCGAGGAGCTCATGGAAGATGTTAAGGAGTACAGTAACTTCATCTTTACTGAAAAAAGAGGATTTTCACAAACAGCATGAAAAACAGCAAAATTGGAACCAAAGTGATGATAAATACAGTGAAGAAGTAATGGTGGCCATCAGCAGCAAATGCTACCCAAAGCTCAAGTGAGCTGTGGAATAATATTCCATATTTCCATAATATTCAATAGTAAAGAGCTACTTTACTAAAACAAACTGACAAGAATCTGCCTTCCCTAAAAAAACCAACAAAATAAAATGAATCCCAGTTCCTGATTTGCTTTGTGGTACAACAGACACTGTGAGGGCACAGTGGAGGCGGCTGCTCCCCGAGGGCCGGTGGCCAGGAGTCAGCTGCAGTCACACAGCCAGCAGGACAGCTGGGGACCAGCCACAGCACCTGAGTGGGGCAAGCAGGGCACACCTGGCACAGCATCCAGGGGCTAGATAGCTGGGCAAGTCTCCAGGGATGAGGAAGGTCTGAGGTCAAGCATGGAAATCAGTCCTCAGGTCAGTGTTGGGTCCTGTGGTGGTGACCAAGGTCAGACATATTCCACTGGTTGCCAGGCAGGCCCCTTGTGATGAGGCACATCTGAAATCAAGTGAGGAAGACCATGGATCTGCAGGTAAATTAAGCTTACAACACATTTACAGATTTATTATTTTAATCCAGGGAAGCTTCTTTCCTTTCCTCACTTCCTGCAACCATTTGATCCCTACCCCAGATCATCTTGTCTGTTGACTCTTAGTCTCCAGCCCTGTGTACATGTGCCAGCTCACAGGATTCCACAAATCAACATGAGTCAGTCCTGATCTGTCTCCAAGTAGCACACTTAGGCAGGAGAACCAGAGCTTCAGGGAAAAGTTTTTGAAGCAGTCCTCAGAAAATGTGCTTGTTTTGAGTCATTTGTGATCACAGCACAGTGCAAGGCTCATTGCTCTGTGGAATGCATTGGTTTGAGATGTAATAGTGAACCACAGCCTTTGGGCAGTACCAAGGGTGACTTCTGATCACTGAAAATAGTTATTTTTCTTTTTCTTTCTCTTTTTTCCCCTAATACTACATTCAAGCCAGTCTTTCAGTGTTGTGGTGCAATTCCACTCAGTAGCAGCCAGGGTTAACTGATACATCAACTGTGCAGTCTCTAGGCAGGGACCCTCTATTTTGTGCTGTGAGGAGAGTCTTACATATTTTAAGTATGAAGAGATATTTTAAATATGCATACTTATAAGCATGGAGAGGTGGGTTGATATTTTTTATCAGTTTTGTTTTGAACACTTGTAACAGTTGGGGGGAAAAAAAGTAGGGATCAAGCCTGTGAGCACAGTCCTGCCCTTCAGGATGAAGAGCACTTATATAAGTACTTGATTTTTGGTTTTGTGTGAATAGTAGACAGATGAGTTTGTTGAATCATCTGATGTTGTTAAAGGGCTGCTTTGGTTCTTCAGTAGGCACTTAAAAATTTGGGGGTAGCTACACTTAAAAAAAAGAAAAACACCCCATGAAAAGATCAAGAATTGAATTTAATACAAGATTTTGTTAAGAATGCAGGAAGAATAATTGTAAACTTCCATGCATGTATTTTGTACTGTGTCACTTGTGATTCATAGTTGCAAGAGGCCTTTGCATAGGAAGCCTTCACCAAGATATTTTCTGAACACCAAAATATGACTGAGCTCCCAGATGATGATGACTCAAAAATGAATCTGCAGGCAGAAACATTTTCATATCTGGTCAGGAGGAATTTGACTCGTTTCTTTAAGGCCTGGGGATATCCAGTCTGGGCAAACCCTTCGCAGCAGCTGGCTGTTTCTTTCCCCATCTGATCAGATGATCCCACAAAGCAATATATCTCCTAAGCAGGTTTTGACTCATGAAAATGTGATTGTCTGTCCTAAAGCCATTCTCTGCAGTAGTTTTAAATGGTGTCTGAATGGTGTGCTGTTCTCATGAATCTGAGAAGCGTCTCTGCATTGTACATGTGATACAAGAGTTCGTTCTTGGCTTCCTCCCAAATCTGCCTTTTTCTGTGTAGGTCCCACTACTTCCTTTCCCAACAGGAGCAATTTTAACCACAGAAGGGGAAACATTGGCTCTCTTATTACGAATGAAACCAATCAGCCCCTTTCAATTTTTTACTTTCTCTGTTTCCTTATCTCCAAAATGTTCTCTGTTCCAGACTTACTCTGATTTCAGGTATGCAAAGTTTGTTAATTATAATCATTACGAGAAGAGTTGGAACAGGGGGAAATGTCACTTTAAAAACAGACACATTAGGAGATAATAAAGCTAGACATAAATGGAAGAACTCTGGTGAAATTATGGCTATAACCATGAGAAATGAGGATGACAATTTAAAGGAAAACCTTGATGGACCACACAGGAGAGGCCTTGATATGTGTTTAATTGTTCTGAAAGAGGTTGCCTTCATCCTCTGCTTTCAGAGTTGGCAACTGTGTTGTGAGAATCAGCGGCTTCAGCTCATGTCAGAAGCAAAAGAGTGTTCAGGCAGTGAACTTACCTCCTTGATCCTTAGCTAGAGTAAATTTGCAGACACCTAAAATTCTGCATGTATTATTGTGGCAAATCAGTCTGCATGAGGATCTAAGACAGCAGGTGCCTCACCTAGCAGGATTGAATGTCATGGGAGGAGCAGAGCACTGGAGTGTGTTTACAGTGGTCTGTTTTGATTTCGAATCTAAACAACCAGATCCAAGTCCAGTTCTTAAATGCTACGCTGAATTTCCCCTATGTTAAAACATGGACTATAGCACAAGCCAATTTTTATGGTGCATTTTGAGATCCTGAGCTAAGTAATTCCATGTCTTATGGCTGTGTTTTCTTTTTCTAGTGAGTGTTACAGAATTCTTACCTTGATGTAGAGCCATTGATGCACCACAAGGGACTGCAGTGACAGAGTCAGAGGCACTCTGCATCTCCTCCTGATCTCATGAAGATAGATCACAGTGACACTGAGAGAGTGCAGGTGACTTGCTGTGAGCAGGAGATGGTGCTGAAGTGCTCATGATCAGCTGAGGCATTTCCAGGAAACAGCAGATTGTCCAAAAGCCTGTCAAGATAAATTATTTATAATTAAGCAGCAGGATGTGAAAAAGCTTGCTCAGGTATGTAAACTGATTCCATATAAAATAAAAAAGTGGTTTTATTCCCTTGTAACCAGGTACAGACATAAAGGTTGTCTTAGACAACTTGAGATAAACAATGGATAACCAGCATGAACTGGACAAGTGAGCAACTCTGGGTTGTGGATCTCTTCGAAAACAATAACCTTGCAAGGAAAACAATGCCTGGGTTAGTACTAATACCTTACACAAGACTGCTAAGGAAATAATTTCAGAACACAAAATTTTAAAAGACAGAACAGACGTGTGTCCAGTGCCAGAACTTCTTTAAATGCCATTTCTCTCTTTTATTTCTCCCACACAACATTGTATGCTCTTCATCTGTGGTCTAGCAAGAAAAGGTAAAAGGAAACAAAATTTAAAAGGAAAAAAAAATAAGTAAAGGGGGAAACAGTATGAAAGACAGCAGGAGTGCAAAGAAAATAAAGAAGTGGAGAAATAAATGTTGTAAGGGAACCAGAGAGAATCTGAGGTGGGATAAAAGAGAAAAAGAGAAGGAGTAGAGGTGTAATTCTCTGCTTTGTCTAAAAAAAGAACAGACACCCTTGGAGGAAAATTTATAAAAGATAGTGTCTGCCAAGAAAAACACATACATTTCACTTTATTTCATCACTTGGCTTGGCAAGGATCATGATTTATTAGAGAAAGTCAGGCACATCCTATAAAGGAAGACTTAGCTGTCAGAGCTAAACATAAGGAGAGGAGTATGCTCAGTGTACAGATGTAATTAATAAGTCTGACCATAAGAATCAACACTGGATGTCCTTCCAACATGGCTCTAATTATGTTTTTCCAGCTGAAGACAGCATCTCAAAGACTGGGCACCGTGACCTTTCTGGAGGAAAACCAGAAGCTAGCTCAGGTTTGAACCACAAGAGAATTTTGCTGCAACAGTCAGAGTACCTGCACTCAGTGGTGTGTGTATTCTCAGAAGTGAATGTCACTGTGGCTCCTTTCCTCAGACCTGAGTTCCATTCCAAAAGCAAAAGTTAATGTGCCAAGGAGTGGTAAGCATGCAGGTCTTGTTGTGAGAGGCAGCTGGGATGTGTAGTCATGATATTATGAAAAATCCTTTGCTAGGATTTTTCCCTCCTGAGAAGCTGAGGAGCCTCAGGAGAGAAATGTAAACAATAACTATCTGCTGCTGTGGAATGCAACAGGTGCATCTGTGATTGGTCTGTGTGGATTGTTTTTAATTGATGACCAATCACAGCCACCTGTGCCAAGGCTGTGAGCAATCACAGGATTTTGTTATGTATTCTATTCTTGTTTTTTGTAGCTTTCTGATTTCTTTGTTCTCTGTGTTCTTTTAGTATAGTTTTAATGTAGTATTTTAGTATAAGATTTAACATAATAAATCAGCTTTCTGAGAAACATGGAGTCAAACCTCCACACACACAGAGAGTTCATCGCAACAGGGATGTGGCCAATATGTCCACCTGAAAGCAAGGACTGCAGGTGTCATCATGCAGAATGCTATTCTGATAAACTGATAGGCTTTTTGTCTGATAGACAAAAACGTTTTGTCCTTCCCACCCAAGCCCTGGGCTCAGTATGCAGGAATGTCCTTCTAAAGCTTTCTGAAAGTGCTGTACCTAGCTGTCTATTGTCACCTCTTGCTGTGGCATCTGCTGCCTCCTGAATCAAGACAGACTTGAGGGGTAAAGACTGATTCTTATCTGTTGGAGAGAGGCACCTCCATCAGCCAAATCCATATTGAAGAGGGGATCAGGAACATCCCTTCAGCAATGCTGTAGGCAAACCCAGCATCATCTCCCAAGATCACTCTTTTGTCATGGCTCTCTTTTGTCATGACCTCTCAAGAAAAACTTTGTTTTCTAAATTTGGGGCAGGGAGACTGTTTCTAGCAAGTTACGTGCATTTTCTTGCAAACCAATCTCCTGGTGTGGGTTTTGCTCTGCCCCATCAACCTTCCAGGAACCAGAACTGCAGCACCCCTAAAACCACTTGTAAAATATTGGTCACTCTCTGCGTGTCTTTTCTGCCTCTTTTTCTTCCTCAGAACCCTGTTGCTGTAAGTTGCAGAACTGAGCTGGGAGAAATGGAGAAGTCCATTGCAATGTTTGGGTGTGTGGTCACGTTGGACAAAAAATAATTTTCTCCATTGTGAAAGTATCCAGCAACTTTAGAAACTAGGAGGCAAACACTTTGCAACAGCCAAGCTTTTGGTCCAGTGGCTAAACGAGAAACCTGGAAAATACACTTCTTCAGGCAGAAATGACAAAAATTTGTATTAGTATTCACATTTCTGATGGAGAAAAAAAAATCACCCAGAACTGATTTTTCAGGTTGTATTTTTAGTCCCAAACTGGAAACTCCCAGCTCCTCAAAGAATATGTGTATCATTGATGAAAGGGAGGAACATACAGACTGGAGTTTGGGAAATTTTAGGGAAGTAGAACATTGCTCAAGACTTCTGTGTATCTGATTTGCAGTGATGCCTCTGATAGGGGTCTTCCACCCTTCTCTCTCATTAAAAATTTCTCCTTAGGGGACTCTGGCTTTTTTCCTTCTTGTTACATTTAATTGCTTTCTCTCCCCTTCATTGCCATGCCTCATTCTGCCACATCTCAGCAGAATCTCCAGCATCCATCATTTTTTCTGCTACATCCTGGGCAAACTGCCTGGCACTGAATACTACACAGCCTGCTCTGTTTCTGGCTTCACAAATGATTCTTCAAAGTGTTCAGGTCCTTCCTCACACGCTCTACAGATGAACATTACATTGTTCCTGCTCCCAGCTGGTCCAGCACACTCAGCAATATTCTCATCTACAGGTGCTGAGGACACTGAAAAGTTAAAACCTCTGTGTTGGAAGGCTGGACTGTGGGAATCTGGGACACGTCACTCAGAAGACATCCTCATGCAAAGAGCAGAATTAACATTTATTAAATTTTTTTTTTAAAAACTAATCAACACACAATGTGCTGAAGGAGAAGGAAACACTACAGCCATTAATAATTTTTCCCTTAAGAGGAGGGACAGGGACACTCCACTGAATGCTCTTCTTTCAAATTCTGCTCCAGTGATTTGATGGACAGGTATCCTTTCATGAAACAGTAATGGCCTTTTCTACATCATTGAGATATTATCTGGACCAGGAGTCAAGGAAAGTGATGGAGAACCCTTAGGACCCTTGTTTTTGAAGGAGGAGAGCAGAAAGGTTCACAGTAAGTCCTTGACATCGGCCTGAGCTATTTCATCCAGGACTGATCTCCAGCTTGTAAAGGGATGAAAGGGCACAGGCTGGAAACTGAGGTACTTTGATGATTGGATTTTATGTCCTTTCTCAGAGAAGTTTGACTGCCTGTTCACAAATTCGATAGCAACTTGTGATGCAAAGGACATTATTCCAGTTACTGTAAGTGTTGGGGTCTGTGTTTCCCTTGACATGAATTGCAGCACATTTTTCTGCAAAGAGTAAATTTGGCTCCCCAGGCTTCCAGAACCTGTAAAAGAAAGTTCCTTTATTGGAAATGCACTAGCATGACAGTGGACGTGAAGTCACCTCAAACAGTTGTGGAAGAGAAAAGGAAAGTCACTGTGACAGAAATCAGGAGCCATAGTTGTGAATAGAAAATTATGTAAGTTTTCTGACTTGCAGAGAAGCTGAAGACAGAAATCCCACTCTGACAAATACCTGCCTTACACAATGTATTGGTCACTTAGACTGAGGGCATGAGTTTTAGGGCTCTCCTCACTCCACCAGGATACTCACATGGCTGTATTCTCATATGGAGTCTGATCCACCCATTGCCACTTCCCATTTTTGTAAGCAGCTAAGCCTATGTAGAATTTTGTTTCAAAGATTCTAGTAGCTTTTTCTTTTGCCAAGTTGAAAAGGAACTCCTGGAAAAAAAGCACAATGTCCATGAGATGCAGGACTGAGCACAGAGAGTCATCAGGAATCCCTGTGGGGTGGGGCAGGTGCTGCAGAGGTGCAGACAGGACCTTCCCCCTCTCCTGCAGGACAAGGAGGGGCTCTGAGACCCCTCCAGGGCCCAGCACTGTGCCTCTGCCTGCTGGGTCCCTCTCTGAGGCCTGGGCACTTACCTGCTCTGCCTTGCTGTTGATCACCACCAGCTGGGAGCCCATCCCACTGCAGTTCTGTGCACTCTCAGGCCATGACATCGTGTCAGGGGACAGGAAATAGCAGCTTCCTTGAAACCTTCTCCAGCCCTTAGGGCAGCACATCCAGCCATCCACTGTGGGGAAAAAAAATCCTGCTTTTGAACAAGATGTGCTGTCCTTCATGGCTGTGAGTTCAATATAGGGTCCCAGGTGTTAGGAGTGGGGTTTGAACCTAAAGCCTGGACAGAGATAAATGCTCTCTTCTGCTCTCCACAAGTAAAACTGTCAGCAGCGTAACAGGCTCCTGTCACAAGGCTCCTGCCTGAAGGGAAGCTCCCTTCCCTTTCTCTCTCTGTCCTGCCATGTCCATGCAACCTCTCTTTGGTGAGAGACATGGTTTTTGCCTTAGCCTTCTTGAGGAAGCAAGATGAGAAGTAGTTGGCTTGTGCTTTTCTAGAAACACCTCTCTGACAGCCTTGCTGCCACCACAGGCAGTTCCTTACACAGCCAGCTTATCCAAGAGATTTGCCTTGTGCCCACAGGTTCAAATGGTGGATTAAAAGCTACAGATATGTTCTCACAAAGGTCAAGGCTACATGAGAAGGGATCTCTGACCCTAGTTTGAGAACTTGCACTACCAGCATTCCAGCACTCCATATTACCATCATTTCGTGTGTGACTGCAGCTCAGCTCCCCAGCTATTCTGAACTCATCATCCTCCCTCCTCTGTCCCTCACACTGACCATCATGCTTGAGTGAACAGGCAGTGAGCCAGCACAGGAGATGGAGCTGGATTGAACCAGCCAGCATAAAAGCACTTTCATCTAGATCAGTAGACCATACTTGCATTAGAGGGGTTGTGTGAGGGGAAGAGTAGGAAGGTTGGTGAAATGCAGGTATGGAATGACCCACCCTCTTTCACTGACCTGGAGCATGTTTTCACAGCATTCTTAGTAAAGATGTACAATAGAGTGTCTTCTTACCTCAATTCCCCAGATTCCTTCCTTCAAACAATCCACTTGTGACTGACAGTAATATTCCCCACCTCAGAGGTTGAGGGGAAACCAAACAAAATTTTGGTGAAGCCCTTTTGTTACTTATGAAGCTCTCAGCATCACTCACCTTTCTCTGCAGAACTGCTGGGGACACAATACCACTCTGTAGAGTTCTGGAGGAGAATCTTGTAATGGCCAGAGCTTCCATCAAGTAAAGCCACTGAGAAGAGAGGAAAGCAAAGCAAAGTGCTATTGTCGTCTGTTACTGTTAGGTCGGACGTGACATACACACACCTGATCAGGGTCCAAGAAGAAAAAAGTTTTTATTCTGCATGTTACCATCTTATATACCCTTCACAAAGTGTGATCTTAAGTCATTAACTACATCACAATAACTTACTATATTCATTGGTGCAAAGCAATTAACGTCAATATAACTGGCAAAAGTTTTAGAGAAATTTAATAAGGCATGTATACACATCTACTTTATGCATATAGCCTAGCTTACAAAAATGTTCATGTAACTTTTCTAATCTGTTTCCATGCTGATGGCCTTGTCTTCTTCCATGCTATGGATACACTCGAAAATCATCAATTATTATTTCTTCAATTAACTCTGCTTTGCTTGCAAACCAGCTATCAAGCCCCTCCATAGTCATCCTTCTCATATTGTGCATGAACAACCTGTGCTATCCTCCAACTTCTGCTTTGGAGCCCTAACAGAGACTCTGTTATAGTAACAAGCTATGAAATCTGGATTGAGCAATGAGGTGAGAAGAGCAGGCCACTTCTCCCACTACCAGTCATTCCTTCCTTCAGAAGAGCTCCTCTCATCTCAGTTGTCTGAGAGACTCACTTGCCGAGGTGACAAACCCGGATTAGAAATCCTCTGAGGAAGGGGCAAGGAAAGGGAAAAAGAAGACATGGAATAAGCTAATAAGAGTGGAGACGCCTGTTTTGGTGAAGGGCATTTGCCTGCCTGGAAGAGGGACTAGGATATGGGTTTTCACCTGAGAAAAAGCAGTCACTTGAGCCCTTAATCTTGAGGGAATTAAGACACCGTGGAACTCACCAAGGCAGATGGTCACAACAGCAGCTTTGATTGCAAGGGCAAAAATAAGGAAGACCCAGATGTTCAGCCAGGTGCAGCTTCTCTCTTCTGCAGGGACTGAAAAACACAAAGCAAGAGTGAGCATGTCCCAGCCCAGAGTTAGCAGCAGGATAACCGAGAGTGCTCCGAACCCAAACAACCCACTTCCAAGGACTGGGGAGCCCCACAGGTGCTGGAAGCAGGTCCTGCTGCCTGTCCCTAGCAGTGGCTAGGAGCCACAGAGTACAATACACAGGACCTGCCCAAAGGTTGTTTTTTTATTTCCCTGTTTATCACAAGATGTGCCTGTATTCTGCCCAAACCTCACTCTCCCTTTGTCCTGTCAGACCTCCTTCCTCCTCAAAACATCTTCCTGCCTACCTTCCATTATCCTGTCTGTCACTGAATGCCCTTTCTGGATCTCCCTCCTCTTCCTCTCTCTTTAGGGTTTCTTTCTCTCCCTACCTGCATTTTGCCTCTGTACCGTGAGCCCCTTTCTGCAGTGGCCCGGTCCCCCAAAGGAGTGACTGCCCTGCTCAGGGTGTGCACAGCCAGACCCACAGAAGGGATTGTTTCCACAGGGGTAAAGGCACTTGGGAGCTCTTGGGAGAGCCCTGGCTGGGTTGTCCTTGGAGAGAGCAGAGATGGGAGCAGGGACTTGTGCTCAGTGTGATGCAGAGAGCTTTAGCAGGGCAATGACACAAGGAGAGCACCCTTCAGCCCCATTGTTTACAGACACAGCACTGAAGGGAACAGCAGGGCACATTCTTCCCCCTGGCTCTAGGAAGAGGTCATTCTGCCAGCCTGGCACTGCACACTTCCCTCATCTGCTGCTTTGCTCTTGTCCCAAGCCCCATCTCCTGGCAGGAGATCCGGCCACCGCACCATGCCCGGGATCCATCCCAGCCCTGTCTTTCCCCCAACCCCTTTGACAGGAGGACAGACAGGAAGGAAGGTTTGGGGGTTACCTGCACTTCCAGGACTGACTCTCCCTTGGCCATTCATCATCTCTGCAAGAGGATCACTCTTCTCCAACTGTCCTTGTTACCACTGTGGCCACCAACAGCCTTCCTCCTGCACAGGGCACCTCCCACACTGGTGCACCCCACAGCACATGGAGATTAGGGAATTTTCATCATTTCCCTGCCAGGACATTTCACAAGATGCTCATTGCAACACACAAAGTCACCAAGACAAAGGAAAACAGATGAAGAGGAGCATCACTGCAGCTCACACAATCTCCCTTTGTACTCAGGCACAGGTCATACATACATGGCCTTCCCTCTCTGCTGCCTGCTCTCTCCTGCTGAGGGTCCATGTGTGTGAAAATACAGACACAGGCAGGTATATTAGGCATTTGCTAGAAATGGGTTAAACTCACTGAGCACAGTGTGCAAAAGGGAGCCAAAATTGAGAGGAAAGCCTATCTGTGACAGAGTCTGGGCAGTGCCCATGTGCATCCTGAGTCCAACAGAGAACTTGCCAACACTGTTTTGATCTAATTGCATTGGAAAGGTGGCTTGGACTTAGAGCAAAGGGGTTCAATATGAGCTGGCATGGTGGGGCTGAAGGATTGCTTGCAGTGCCAGAGTCCGTGTGCATGACAGATCATGAAGCCTCACTTCTCACTTGTGACTGCAAATGCTGCAGACATACATGGAACAGGCTGAGATGTTCCATCATATGCTCTCTCCCTGTGGAGAGAAATGCATGGCTGCAGAGACTCAGGAATAGGAGAGCTCATAGCAACAGCACAGGCATTTCAGCTGAAGCATCAGAAGATCAGGGCACAGAACTGCTTACAAGGGAGGACAAGCCTGAGCTCTCTGTAGAAAACATCCTCTGATTCTGTGACTTGGTGCACAACAGGCTGCAGGCAGGGTCAGAGCCTACATTTCTCCACATCTTTATGTAACTGATATTAACAAGTTCCCATCCCACATAAAAACACATTCAAAACAAGACTTGTGGAACCTCCAGCCTCCTCCAGCCATGCAGGAAATGCAGCTGCACGAACACATCCCCTTTGTAGAAGCAAGGCTTCCCCTGGTCCCACACACTTCCCGCTGCAGATGTAGGGCTTGTGAGTATCCACAGCTCTTCCAGCAGCCTGTGAACCACAGGTGAAAGCACAGGGTCACGTTGTCACACTGCAGCACTGTGGGTCTGTGCCTGCGGCACCTCTCAGTGCCACCAGCGAGGTCACCCACTGACACTGTTGTATTAAGGACAGATGAATGGTGCGACGTACACTCCTATGTTCTTAGAATGGAAATGTGAATTTTATTATATATCCCATTCTTTTTATAGACAGTTCCGAGAAGGCCGTACCTGATTGGTCCTCAATCAACACCCGTCACACCAGTGGCTAATAAGGAACAACACCCTTCTTGCATCCCTTACAATTAAATAACACATTCAAAACACCAGCTGCAAAGATTAAGGACGGTTTTAATTCTTCCTCTGAGTTTTCTCAAAACTCCCTAGGACAATGCCTGGGGTAAGTTTATCTGACTCTCTCTTACCAGACAGGCAGCATCTGCAAGACACAGCACTGAGCTGCCAGGGAGCTTCTTACAGACAGAGGGGCCAAGCTGCAGAGCACCCTGGGCTCGATGGCCACTTCCTTCCCACTCCTCTCTCTCTTACAATGGTCTTGCTTCATCTAAACTTTCTTTCCAGACTGTTTCTTTGGTGCCTCAGAAGCCTTTCCCTCATGCCCTGGTTACTGTTAAGCTGGTGGTCATGTTCTTCTTTAACAGCAGCAGTTTGGGGCAAATGCCCCCTCACCAAGTTGCAGCTATTGAATTCACACAGCTCTTTGCATTCACACTCCTGTCTTTATCACTTGCTGCTGACCAGACCATCTGAGCAACATGAAATGGGATGGGTAAGGCTGGAGAGGCTTCCAAGTAGAAAAAACAGCAAATGCGCTCTTGTTCAGAAATGAACTTGGTGGAGGATGTTCTCTCTTTCTCAGTGGTTGGTGGCCGTTTCTCCATCAACCTGAATCCCCTGAGCAGTCCTGCTATCCAGTTTTCTTGAATTCCAAATGATTTGAAGGGAGAGACTTATCTGCAACAATGCCATAAGGGTAAGTATCCTGGAAGGAAATATCAACAAAGAGAAAGGCAGAAAGCACACCAGCAGTGCTAGCAGCAGGGACAGTACAGGAGGAGAGAATTAATCCCAGAGAAAGTTGCTCCCACTGTGCCTGGTTTCTTTGCCCTCTCACAGCCTGAAATCCAGCCCCACAGCCCTGAGCCCCAGCACTGTGTGAGGGCAGCTCACAGAGGCAGCTGTGAGGCTCTGCAACTTGTGCTGTGGTTTCTGAGTTGGTTTTCAGCAGTAAAGTACAATCAATCCAGGAGGACACTGGAGGTTCCTTTTCAGGGAGCTTTCTAAAAAGGGTATGGAGGAACCAAAGATGAGAGGGACTCTGTTGGATCTCACTCTCGCCAATGACGCTGATCTGTTGGACATGTAGAGGCTGAGGTCCACGTTGTCTGCAGTGATTCTGACATTTTGGGATTCAGATTGTTGTCAATCTTTGCAGGGAAGGATGAGCTCCAGGGCCTGGGGCCTCAGGGCTCAGAGGGACAGACTCTTCCGGTTCCTGATTCATCCCAAACTCCCATTCCAATCTCCCTTGTTCTCCTCCTGCCCTGTTCCTAGGCACAGCAATCCTGCATGGAATCCTGCCTTCTTCCTCCAGCCAGGAGGAGGGGGCTGTGTCCAGACCCAGCAGGGGCTGCTGCTCACCGCAGGCTGACCCCAGGAGTGGACAGCCAGCAGAGGAACCTGCTGGTCAGCTCTGTCCTGCAGGGACTGTGCACCTTCAGCTGGCTGCAGCACAGCAGGCCGCAGCCTCCTGTGCTGGGCTGCCTCTTGCGTGGAGGAGGAGGGAAGGCAGGAAATGTGCTCCTTGTCCTGCTTGTGTGCTAAGAGTGATGGCAGAGGGGAGGCCTAACGGGGATCCTGCATGGTAAAAGCCAGAAACGTGTGGCAATGGCGCTCAAGATCCCAGACAAAGCATGCCTTTCCAGCCATTGGCAGGCCCAGCAGCCCAGGCTGCTGCTGGGAGAAGCTGTGGCACTGCAGGGTGAGGTTTCTAGGTGCAGATGGAGAGGCCCTCACTCGCAGGGCCACATTGTACAGGTGTAAACAGACATTTTCTCTCCAGAAGGATTTCATCCTGCTGCAGCCAGGGAGGGGAACAGGAACAGGCAGCTCTGTGAGTTGGGATCTGCGCTTACTGCTGTGCTGATGTGTGTGGTTTTTTGAATGTATATATCCTCTTTCTTCCATTTGTCCCTAGATATGTAGGACCTACTGTCCCTACACACTGTGTGTCCCTGCTGCCTTGAGCTGTGCATGTGGACCTGCAGCCACCTGCAGCACCTGCACTGCTGTTCATACACCTGCTCCCCCTGGATTATGAAGCCAAATCTCCTGGGCACCTTGTCTCCAGAAAGAATTCCTCTCTCTCTCTGGCACACAGAGGGAGGATTCACTTCCATAGGTAGGACAGAGGCTCACAGACAGGAGCTGTACACCAATTGCATTCCCTGTGGGGAGCTGACACTGTTCCCTCAGGGTGGCTTGGGCACTTGGTGTTTCCTGAGGAAAGAGAAGCGAGGACACAGGAGGCAGGAAGTGGGAAGAGATGGAGCAGAGGAAGATCCATGGTGTCCCATGCTCTACAGCAGGACATGAAGGCAATGCAATAGGCACTGATGTTCTGGATGAGATGGCATGTGCAGCAGGAGCCCTGTCTCGTCAGCCTCCTCTGCAGCGTGGTCCGGCCTGGGCAGGCAATGCCATTCCAGGCACCACTGAGGATGTGGCTTTCCAGGACTGCTGCTGCTGCCTCAGGCCTGCTGCCTGGGATCCGCTCTGAGTCAGGAAGAGGACTTTTTCCTCCAGGTGGATCTGAAGGCCCAGTGTGGATTGTTTCTCCCGTGGCAGCAAGTCCAAAGGGAGGGCCACAAAGATGAAGGCAATGAGGATAGAGACAGAGGGCTGGAGCACAGCTAAAAGAATTGGGATTGTTCAGCATGGGAAAGAACAGATTCCAAGTTGGTCTTTTAGCAGCCTTCCAAGAAGATTCCAAGAGGGCTGGAGTGGAACTTTTTACAAGAGCATTTAGTGCATAAGCCCAAGGGGAATGTTTTTAAACTGAAAGAGGGCAGGTGTAAAGCAGGAAGAAATTCTTTTCTGTAAGGGTGGTGAGGCACTGGCACAGGTTACCCAGAGAGGCTGTGCATCGCCCATCCCTGGAAGCGGTCAAGGCCAGGCAGCATGGGGCTTTGAGCAACCTGGTCCAGTGGAAGCGATCCCTGCTCAAGACCTAGAGGTTGGAAACTTGATCCTTACAGTTTCCATACAACCCAAACCATTCTGTGATTCTAGGTCTTTAGCTTTCCAGCTTAGATATGGGGGAAAAAAGAGATACAGAAACAGGGTACAGAGAATTTCTTGATTGGTGTGATATTCTATTTTATCTGGTCTAAGTTTTCAGAATTTTTTCAGCACAACCAGTACAGCTAGAGGACATTTGGTGTGTCATTCAACAAGAAGCAAACAGCTCTGCTCAAGGAGACAAAGGACATTGAATCTCTGGATATCTGCCTTCCATTCCAGTGTCTTCCTCCTGGAAAAGTCCATCTCTTTTCAGTCAGAGGCTCCTGGACTCACTCCGAGAGAAGAGGACACAAGAACACAGGAGCTGCTTCAAAGAGCCTGAGCCTCCCTGTGTTCCCTGAGCCACCACACGCACTGGGGATGCTGGACAAAGTTAATTTCACTTCGACAAACACATGGTCCCACCCCACACAGTGAAGATGTGTCAGAGCTCCTGACCCCTCCCAGCAATGCTCCCAGCTTTACTCAGGACAGGGGTATTTCCATCACACAAATACTGCTGCAGCTTCACAAATTCGATGATGAAGCATAGTTGCTTTGACGTCATTCCAGTTGTGGAAAGTTGGTTCAGGCACATAGATTACAGTGCAGTTCTCATCATAGTCTGGACTTGGTTCTCCTTCTCGCCAGAACCTGGGACACAGACAGGCTTGTTACTCCTCAGGGACCACTGTAAAGCACTGCTGGAAAAGGCCACTGTGGGATTCAAGACTTGAAGGGAAGAGACAGAAATTCCCAATGCTGATTCATGGACTGAAGCAGTGCCCTTCCTCTCACTCCATATCCCACTGCCACCAGTGTCACATGGAAACCTGCCTCCTTCCCAAAGCCTTCCAGCGCAACAGGGCCCTGCTCCATCCTGCTGGGAGGAACTGATCACCACCACTCACCCCAGGCACCTCACTCCCTGCAGAGGCCAGAGCTGGCCTCCAGGGCAAGTTTGTTCTCCAGAAGAAGGCACAGCATGAACAGTCCTGGTGCTCTCTCCCTGTGCCCCATCTCTTTCCCTGCATTCCAGCAGAGGCCATTTTGTGCATATAAGTGCAGAGCAGGCCAGGCAATGCCAGGCATGTATTAAGGGCTCTTGCTGATAGCAAGATGCAGCTTTTTCTACACCTACTGCAATGATTTCACATGTCACAGGTAGATATTTCATAACAAATATCCAGCACAGATGGGGCCAGGTGAACCTGGTGTCCTACACAGCCCTCTCCTGCTGTATCTTTGATCTCCCACAAGGAAGCAGAGTGACAACCCTCTCTCATGCACCTGCATCTTCCATACTTTGTTTCCCTACCAGGAGTCACACCAAACATTCTTCATCCAGAGATACTCACGCTGCTGTCACATTGTATGGAGTCTTGTCCACCCACTGCCACTGGCCCACCTTGTTCTCAAACAGACCAATGTAGACATTCATTCTTTTTGGAGTTTGTTTTGTTTGCTCAGAGAGAAATTCCTGGCAATCAGAGAGAAAGTGTAATGTCCATGAGGGGCAGGACTGAGCACACAGAGGCATCAGGAGTCCCCGTGGGGTGGGGCAGGTGGCAGAGGGGGCTGGTGCTGCAGAGGTGCAGACAGGACCGTCCCCCTCCCTGCAGGACAAGGAGGGGCTCTGAGACCCCTCCAGGGCCCAGCACTGTGCCTCTGCCTGCTGGGTCCCTCTCTGAGGCCTGGGCACTTACCTGCTCTGCCTTGCTGTTGATCACCACCAGTTGGGACCCCATCCCAGTGCAGTTCTGTGCACTCTTATCACAACTCAACTTATCAGTGGACAGGAAGTAGCAGCTTCCTTGAAACCTTCTCCAGCCCTTAGGGCAGCATGTCCAGCCTCGGTCTGTGCAGGGAGAGGACAGAGAGATGAAGGCTACTAACAAGAGATGGTGATTGCAGAGATCCTGGTTTCCCAGGGACAATGCTCATGTCCTGCTCAGTGACTTTTCCTGACAGAAAGGGATTGAATAAACAGGGATAGTACAGACATTTCTTCCCATTGCTTTGGGGTATGGCCAGTGAGCTTTGTGTACCCAAAGCTGTGGTAATCCTTGTAAGGGAATCTCAGGTCTCTCCAAAGCTCTCTTGGGGATGTGGTTTGACTTGCCCTGCTACAGCCTCCTTGAGGCCCTTAGCCCCAAGGAAGAGGGGCCATTGGGAGCACTGACCTGTGCCTTGTGGCACCGCTGAGTCGCACTCCCACTCCGAGAACTGCTGCTGCAGGGCTGAGGGCTGGCCACTGCTGTGGCACAAGGGAAGCACTGCAAAGGGAGAGCAAAGGCAGCAGGATTAGCCCTTGCTCCCAGCTCCTCACACAGCATCTCTGGCCCCTTGACTCTCCTGCCACCATCTCCCCAGCAAGCATTGTCCCAGCTGTCGCCTCTCCTGGCCCACACCAGTGGCACAGCTGCCTTCCCGGCCAGAAAGAGACCGTCTGCCAGGTCAGACAGCAGAGGGACCCCTGGAAGCACATCCCACTGGGCACATGCCACACACACGGCAGGAGTGAGCCCTCCCAGCCACAGCCACTCTGCCGTGCACAAACCCACAGCCCAGCTGCCAGTCTACAAAGCAGCCTCTCATTGTCACCCTTTGTCCTTTCCTCAGCTGCACAGCAACAGGCATTTGGAGGAGTCACCCTCAGCTGGGCCTGTTCCATCAGCAACACACAGTCCAGGTGAAGGGAATCACTTACAGCTGGAGCTGCTGAAACCAGGGTGCAGCATAAAGCCCTAGGACTTACTGGCTCCAGTTTGTGGGGAAGAATGCACTCTTGCTGACAGGCCACAGCCACAATCCCAAGCACTTCCTAGTAACTCAGACACTCAGGATTATGAATTGCAGGCTGATCAGGGTGTGCTTAACTATCCAGATGCCTATTTTCATCAATCATTTAATTTAGAACTATTTTCACTTATGAGCAAAGCAAATCCTAGTGGTTCCAGTGCCTGATTAGTGAGTGGCTGTAATGGAAGAAGGCTCAGAGGAGATGGGCAAGGGCAATGCCTGGCTGACCACCCATGTTGCCAATAAATGTATCTCTATCTCTACACAAAGATAAAAATTAGAAAAAATTTGGCTTTTAGTTTTGTTCAGCTGAGGGAAGTGAGCAGGTGTGGAAGTGTTCATTCCCTCAGAGATCAAAAAGGGCATCGTCTTCCTAGTTAGCCAAACCAGCACAGCACAAGTCAGTACCTTAACAAAAAATGGCATGAGAATCTGAATGACTAACAAAAACTTACCTGAAGAAAGCAATGGGCCTGATCTGGCTTTAACTCCCCTATTTTTTCTTGGTATTTGGGGACATTCAATATCTTGATGTGGAGCATACTGCAGAACTATGTTTGGCCCCTCATAATGAGGATATTGAAGTGTTGGAGCATGTCCAGAGAAGGGCATGGGCCCTGGGAATGGGTCTGGATCACAAGTCCTCTGAGGAGCAGCTGAAGGAGCTGGTGGTGTTTATCCTGAAGAAAAGGATGCTCATGGGTGACCTTATCGCTCTCTACAACTCCCTGAAAGGAGGTTGTAGCCAGGTGGGGGTCAGACCCTTCTCCCAGGTAACAACAAACAGGACAAGAGGAAATGGTCTGAAGTTGTGCCAGGAAAGATTTACATTGGATATTAGTAAAAGCTTCTTCTCACTAAAAGGTGGCCAAGCATTGGAACAGGCTGCCCAGGGAAGCGTTGGAGTCACCATTCCCGGTAGTGCTCAAAAGACAAGTAGATGTGGCACCTGGATGTTTTAGTGGTGGACTTGGCAGTGGTTGGTTAGCAGTTTAACTACTGTTAAACTGCTTACCAGTTAAAAGACAGACTGAGCTGTCTTTTCCAAGATTAATGATTCTATCATTCCGTGCTTGTATGATCAGCAATTTTAAAAATCATGTTCGTATTGTGATCCACCTGTGCATTGCAGTGGCCACTCTCAGCTGCATGCAATTTGTATTGGTGTTTCCTTTAAATGCTGTATTGCTATGCTAAACCAAAATCCTGTGTAGTGTCAATTAACTTGGATAAGTAAAATTTCACTAAAAATTAAACCTTCCATGTGTATCAGAAGGTATCAGATGCTAACATCCCAGCCTACAACTCCCCAACCATTCGCCTGAGTACCATGAAAGGTTATACATTTAGGAACAAAGCAGTACAAATGTCAGGGAATCAGATGCTAATGGCAGCAAAAGGAAAGACAGTGATTTTTTGTAATAAGATGCCCCTTCCAGAATCCATTGTGGTTATTGGCAATTTGTGCAAACATGCCGTGAATTATCTTTAATAGAAATGAGAATGACATAGTGATCACAACCTTTACAAACAGAATGCACAGGAATAACCTCTAATGAACTATTCTGCAATCAACCCTAAAAAGTTGTGAGAGTTAATTAACTGCACAATGCAGCTAATCCTGGAAATGCCAGGACTATGAGAAGCCATTTTTTCCACTAGGACACAAAGCATATCCAAGTACCTTAGAGAGCCTAAGTGCAGATTCAGCTGCTTGTATAGACACTTGTGCCTCTGTCTCCACTTTTTCCCATGTGTCAAATGTAACTGAGTTCTTTTTGTGGGGAATGAGGGTAGAGAATTGTTCTACACTTTCAAAAAGACCATGCAAGATTGGAATGTGCAATCTGGGCATACTGACGAGGCCTCGGGGTAAACAGTGGAAAATTTGGGGGATGCATGCAGACATATACAAAGTCAGGGCAGGAAAACCTGAGACCTTACACAAAGCCCAGACAACCATGAAGCATGGCTTCTCTTCTTTTCTCCCCCCAGACCTCTCCCTTGTAATCTCCTTGCACATACTCACCAAGAAGGACGACAACAAGGGCAATGCACACCAAGAGAAGCAGCAGTGAGATCAACCATGGCAGCCAGAGTGGGTACTTCTGGGGATGTTGCTCAGGCTTCTTTGTCTCAGGGGGTCCTAAAAGTGACAGAAACACAACAAACAAAACACTACAGTCAACTATGGGTCTGTCACTCCACAGTCCACATACCAAGGATACTCAAGGGAGAGCTCCTCAAAAGAAAAAAAAAAAAGAATTTCATTTCTGACGTGGAAGTTACAAGGTTTGGGAGAAGGACAGACTGGGACAGAGCAGGGAATGTCTGTGGTTTCTGGAGAAAAGTCAAATTCAGTGAGTGTGTTCCCAGCCCAGCCAGTGAGCCAACAATGATAACTGTTGGTGTTTGGAGGTGAACCCTTCACAGGGCCTCAAAAACTATAGTGAAACGATGTCTTTCTAGATTAAGCCCAAAACTGCTAAATGCAACATTGCTCAAACCGTGATACTTAAGACATAAGGGAAGAATTCATGTTGACTTCTTCCCAGAAAACTTTTCCTGTCTTCTTCAGTTCCTTTAGCTTTTTAAACTTCCTGTGCAGAAGATTGGTGTAATCTGAGTGAGGATTGTGTAAGGCTATGATCACACGTCACTGAAATATATATTTTTCCTTCCATCTCTGCTTTCCAAGTCAGGATTCAAAGATTTGCTGTAATAAAACTAGGTTGTGCTAGGCTGGATACTTGGGGAGAACAGAGGGCTGTGTCCGGAAGCCTGAGTAAAATACTCAGATTAAGATTTGCCAGGACCTTGCTTTTGTCTAGAGGGATATTGCCAGTACTGAGGAGGTTTGGGAGCAGGCAGGAGAGTGGGACACAGGGAAGGAGAAGCAAACACGCATTAAGGGATTGTTCTAGCTTGTGGCAGGTACAGAAGCCAGGGCAAATAGGAGGGTAAAGAGACAGCAGCACTCACTGCAGGGCAGGAGTAAAGAAACTTTGGGAGAGACTACTATTAAAGATAAGATTTAGAGAGCCTTCATTCATTGTTCACTATGAAGCTCCCAGGTCTGTCAGCAGCCAAGTGTGCATGCCAGACACGCCTAGTAAGCAAGACTGTAAGAAACCTGCTCTTTGTGGAAGCCTTCTGACTACTTCCCAAAGGCTTGGGAGAGACTGCCACAGCAGAGGAAAAGGCATGATCTTTCATAATCTGGAGAGAAAATATGTGTGGACAGAGAAGGTCCAGGTTTCTCCAGTCAAATAATGTTTTTCTAGCCAGCTTTTGCCTTAGTGAAAACAAGGAGCCCCCTCAAGAGCTGGAGTTGAACCACCTACTTCAGAAATAGCTCTAACCAATCCAACTGATTTTTTTGATATGCAGCACATCCAGAGATTGTTCAGCCTGTGCCCAGTCAGAGCCGGGTGGCACAGAGAGCACTGCATGCTGTGCACCTCGGCAACACAACTGAAGTGCAGTAATCTCGTGCACTCTTGATGGGTTGAACTCCCTACAAAATGCTTTCCACAGCTGGTCTGTGCTCTGTAACATGTCCAGCACGATCACAACACAACAGACTTGATGTCTTTGGAATACTAATTTGGAACACAATGGGGAACTTCACCACCCGCACCTCACCACAGTGGAAATGCTAACTACATCCAGAACCAACTAATCTTGGTGCACTGAAAACAGTGAGCTTTCAAGACAGACAGGACTATGTACACTATTTATTTCCATGACTCATGCCTCAGAGCAAGAAAAGTATAACTTGGAGCTGATGCCTGCTCTGTTTGGGATTGTAAAACTGAGATAAAGCTGTAAATAGGCAAGCTACTATATATCCTTAGACAGCAGTAATTATTTATTTCATTTAAAAAAATATTATTTATTGATTTATGCACACATATATTTCCTGCCCTAGAACCTGCTGTTGTGTAGGCAGGTCAGGCAAAAGCAGCCTTACATAGAACATCTCTATGGGTTTCTACTTGTGGAATAATGACTACAGAGTACATATTAACCAGAAAATACCTTAAATTTGCACCAAGTCTGGTAAAAGAACCATTTTATCACTGTAATTTTTAATAGGAAAAAATAATTTGTTTGTTTGGTGCATTAAATGTTTTTCAGGAGTGGCAGACATCAATAACAGATTTGGATCTCCCTCCAGATCTTAAATAATTCTTCTTCTCTATATTTCAGAGTGTTTAAGTTTTGGGTCTCTCTTCTCCAAGAGCCTTTTCCCAGTCTGCCATGGACAATGGGGCTATGTTTCTGCAGCCAGTACCACTTCTCATGAAGCTGCAGAGTACAACTGACTGCTCTACTATAAGCAGGCATGTTGATTCTCCTACCCTCTCCACAAGCACCAATCTGTAGTCTCACTCAGAGGCAAGAGCAGCCAGGACTTGGGCTTATTTGCTGCTTTGGGAGCCCATCCACATTTGTGACAGATCAGATTGTTTGTAATAAACCATAGTCTCTACTGTTGTACTCAGCATGGTCCAAAAAATTACTCTTTCAAGACTACATAACATGTAGGGTACTGAGGGAGCCCAAACAGGCTCCTTAATGAATGCTCATTTGAAACCTACTGTCTGTGCTCCCGGCAGTTGTTCATGTTGCAACTCCCATTCGTCTTTCCTCTTGGAGATGTTCCTCAAGACTCTTATTTCAAAACTCCTTCAGTCTCCTGATCGTTTAGCTCCTTTTTCTTACCAATCCATCAAGATCAGGTAGAAACCAAAGTCACAGAAGGAAAAATCTTCTTCAGCCCTGCTCCCCCCAGCTCCCTTTCTCCCAAATAACCCATTCATTCCTTACCTTTGACCACTGGAGCCGGCGATTCATTTTTGAACTTCACCTCAGCATAGGTGATTTCTGATGCCATTTAATCGTAGTGTGACCCTGTCCTTAGTTTTGCCACGTAAAAGGTGGGTCTTTTAGATACTTGTTTCCAGAGGGTGACAGGAATAGGTTACTGAGCCTTTTCCATCCATTCATTCACCCTCTACCCATCAAAGAAGGCTGTGCTGAACACTGGAAGCACTGGTGATAACCCGAGAATTCCTGAGAGCTCAGAAATGCTCCAAAGAGATCTTCAGTTTCTTAGCCCAGGAAATCAGCCCTGGCATCATGGAAGATTTTGAGACATAAAAGAAAAATGAGAACCTAACAACTGAAAAGGAAGTTGCACTCCTTCCTCATATCAGATTCTCAGCTGATAGGCTTCCTTTTCAAGAAATTTATAGGGTTTTTTCCTCTTTTCAACTTTCTTTCTTAACTATCTCCCCATATTTTCATGTGTTTCTTTGTCCGTTAGTAATTCTACCATTGCTCTCACATTTGCAGCTATCACAGGTCCTAGCCCAGTTTAACCTGCAGTCCAGAACAAAATGCATTCTGCCCTATTTGCCCCTTGTGGTTAAACTGCATTTGTTACATCAAATGTCACAGCTATGTCTCATTCTTCAAAGTCAGCCCAGCTGGAAGCTAGCCCTAGAACAAATCTCAGACTAGGAAATGTTCCTGTAGAAGTGAGACTGAGGAGTTGCAGCCTTAGAGCAATAAAAATAATCAGAAAGTTGATATATCCATGAAGAAATAGAAGGATCAAGTGGGAGTCAGAGAGGAGAACAAGCAAAGTGGAATTTTAAAAAACATATGTTGATGGTCTGAGAGATTGCTGGGAAGAGTACACACAGAAACTTTTCTGTTAAAACCTGATTCACAGCTTGTGGAAGTTCAGAGCAGTGCTTGCTTCAGGCTCCATTTCAGAGGCTGAAAAGGGATGGTTTACAGTTTTCTGCTATTTTTCCAACACTGTCATTTATCTCCCTTATCTGCTTTCTGGTAAAAACCTCTGATATTACCTTGAGCAAAATGTCAGTGCTTAGTCTGATTTCAAGCTGGAGCAGATCTTGAAAGGAGACAAGGGAAATGGCTGCTGAGGTACATTCTAAATCAGGAATACTTCTGGGAACAGAGGCCAATAAGTCAGGCAGGGTGGGGAGGGTTCAGTCAGCAGATAGGACTAAGGTTTGGGTTGGAAGGGACCTTCAAAGACTATCTTCTCCAGCCTACCTGCCATGGGCAAGGACATCTTCAGGCTGCTCAAAGCCCCTTCCAACCTGGCCCTAAACATTTTCAATTAAGGGGAATCTGCAACTTCTCTGGGCAATCTGTTTCAGCATCTCAGCACCCTCATTGTAAATGATTTCTTCCTTATAGCTAATCTAGATCTGGCTTTTTCAGTTTAAATCTATGACCCCTTATCCTACCACTACCAGTTCCATTAAAAGGCCTCTCTCCATCTTTCTTATAAGTCCCCTGTAAAAGCCTGAAAAAAGCCACAATAAGGTCTCCAAAACAACCAGAAGGAAGAAGCTGGTTAGTGTGGCTACCTGGAATTCCCTTAAGGCAGAGCAGAATGAGATGCTCACAGAACATCCAGAGAGCACAGAGGGTAACCAGAGCAAAGCTGGAGCTGAGATAGGGCAGTAGAAGGAAGAACATTCACCAGACAACAGAGAACAACAATGTGGCAGAAGATAAAGGGAATCTGAACACAGTTTATGGAGAACTGCCCCTAAGCAGAGTGAGGCAGTAACTGGATGTTTTTACCAAGGATCTTCTTTGCGTCTTGTGTGTCCTGAGCTAACTTTACTTCTCCTTTACATATTGTGTAGAAAGAAGGTGACTTTCACACAAGAATAAGAACAGCTACAGAAGAGAAACCTGGTCCCTCAAGCAAGAATACTGCCTGCTTCTCTTTCCAACATCCTTCCAACACTACCCTTTGTCTTCAGTCTTGGCCCTCTCACTGGAATTAAGCCTCCCTAAGTCTCTGCTGAAATCTAGTTAAGCCCTCAAATTTCAGAGAATTGAAGTTGAGAATTCTGAGCAACTCTCTGCATGCTTCCCCCTGTCCCCACCCAAGCCTCAGCAGACCCAGTCTCATGGGAAAAACGCTTACTTCCTTGCAGGGTTTCAAGATTTCCACTGCGAAGAAACAGGAAACAAAACCAGCAGACAGAGAAGGAAGTTACAGAGCAGCTTCATGAGCTTTTTCCACTGAAACGCATCTCCAAACACAGCTGAGGCATTTCAAATGCAAATTCAGGCTCTAGCTGCTCTTTTTATTAGATTACATTAGACTGCACCGAAACATCAATAGACAGCTCAGTTCTTCTCTGTCAGCCATCAGAGTTGTTGCTTGTTATCAAAATTCAACCCTGAATCATACTTGCATGGCATGCAGTGCTGAGCCAATGTGTAACAAAAATCACGTGATATTCCTGAGGGAAAAATTTGTCCTTTGAATTTCATATATACTGATGGCATGTGAATGAGTGGGAGATAGAAACAACTGGACCCTGCAGATGTGGTGCTGAAAAAATAAGTTTTAACAAAAATCTTGCTTAAAAACCCCCAAAACTCATGCTTTGCTCCCTTGCATTCTCACTGCTCTTCCTCAGTAACTTCATTCCCCCTCTTCCTGTGTTCTGCTCACTCCCTTGTCCTCCCACAAATACCTGTGTTTCCCCACAGATGTCTTTCAGCTCAGCCCTACCCCACACTGCCAAGTGCCTCCCATGCTCTCAGCCCCACGTGCCTCACAAGCCCCAGCTTCTTTCTGGGACTCTCACAGTTCTGCTTCCCCTCCTTACTCACGCTCCAGCTGCTGATAGCTCTGCAAGATCCATGGCCACCCTTTGTCCTTGACCTAAAGAGAAGGCAGCAGAGCCACTAAAGCTCTTTCTCCCCTACCTGTCAGTGAGGTTTGAATAAGGTGGTATCTTAGCCTTTCACCCCACAGCCAGCATCACCCAATTTAGCAAGCAGATCCATGTGAGCAGATGAAACTGTGCCATTGCACATGCCTTACTTCTTTTGAAAATCCAGCTGAACCTGAGGAGTTAAATTCAAATTTATAGGCAAAGAGTAGGACTGGATTCCTAAAGCTGTGACCCCACACATTGCAATAGAAATCCCATTTTTAAATTGACCACAGCTGTGGTGGAAGCTGCAGGGAAATGACACACTTCTTACAAGCCAGTTTGAATACAGAAGGGCAGCTGAGAGAATTGAGCTGAAGGCTGTGAGTCATCAGAAGTGACATGGAGGTTACACAGGGACATCACATTGGCCACCCAAATAACTAAACCCTCTTTAGAAGATATGACAAAAGGCAAAATGAAGCTGACATGACTAAAATAATTTCCTAAAGGGATTATCAATATGCATTTTTCAGGAAGCGACCTTGCAGCCGAATGAGGAAAATTGAAACGAGCATGACCTCCAGTAAGTGCAGAACCATAACAAAGCAAAGGTGTCAGAACTTCCTTGAACCCTTTATATTTGATATACTGCCTTGAGGGCAACTTAAGAGCAGGGTATAAAATAAGCAGTCAGAGAGAACAAGCACATCAAAACAAAGATAAATTAATTATTTGTCACAGTGGAATAGGTGAAATTCTCACGCAAGAACCCTGGTTTGTGGAGGACTAAACCAAAGGATCTGTCCAAAATAAAATATTGATTGTGCAAAATGTACGGAATTAGCAGCCTGGGCAAGATGGTCCCAGGGATTCTCAGGAGATTCAAAGGTGAAACAGTTACTAATATCAGTAGGACACCTTTTGCCTTAAACTATCATTTAATCAGCAAATCCCAGACTGGCAGGGAACATACCAAAGAAGGAGAAGGGGAGAAGTCTCAGAGAGATTTAGGAAGTTAAAGGTTTGACACCTCTAGTGGTCAAGTTAATATAACAAAAGAATTAATGGATGGAGATGCGTGTAAGTATGATGGACTTTGGGGAGAGTCACTGTAACTCTTGTAAAGAAATCCTGCCTGTTGTGGGTCTTTGCCTACAGTCCTGGCATCACCTACTCTTATGGCACTTGTAGATAGCACAGACTTCCAAGACACTTAGATAAAAGCCTAAACCAAATCCAGGCTTTATATCCCTGCACCTAGGTGAGAAGAGCATCAGAAGTGAATATATGCCACCTTCTTGGTCTTCCCTCTCCACACCACCTTTTTGGGGATTAAGGCTATGGAGCAGAGCAGCCAAGGGAAGAGCATTAAAAGGCACTGGAACATGGAGAATGGGGACCCAAGGCCTGACGCTGAACAGTTAATAAGGGATGTCAGATAACAGATCAAAGAGATTCAGGCAGCAAGAGTTCCTTGAGGGCACCTGAGGGATTTGGCTGGTTAGAGAGAGTCTAGCAATAGGTAATCCCATTGTGTACCCTGCTGCATGGAACTGCTTAGGGAAGGGAGGGGAGGGGTAGGATGCTGCAGTTCATACTGCTCCAGGGGACAGTGTGGGAGCACAGCAGCCTCCTGGGATCTGAGAGAAAGGCACCCTATGCCCTTCTCAGCCAAGGCTGACACTGGGCAGAGCTGCAGGGAGAAGAGACCTCCTCTGGAAGGCAGTCAACCCCTCTAATGATACAAGGTGAACCAGGGCTCCATACAGGTTGCTAAGAGACCAAGTAAAAAAATGGCTTCTACGGAGCTGTGAAAGCACAGGAAAAAGACATTTGAGCATCCAGGGGTGAAGAGGAAACAGGGAAGTACTGAATGGACAGTGGAAAAGGGGAGTGAGAGCCATGAGTGGGATGAATTTAACAGAAGGTAGCACTGTAAAGCCACACAAGTTTCTGGCAGGTGGCAGCACCTCACCACAGGCAGGCCTGAGTCAGCAGAAAGACAACGCTGTGGTTACAGTACCATGCACAACACAGGGGAACGAAAGAAAAGTAGGAGTGATAAAATGTTCCTCCCTAAAACAGGGATGTATTTCTCCCCTGGCCACATCCCTGCCAAATTTTAGTACGTGCTGAGAGTTTCAAGCAGGAGAGATCATGTCCCAAAGTTACCTGAGCTGAGGGAGCTCAAACTCAGTGTGAATTGCAAAGGGAAAGTCATGTGCTCACTCTAGTGTGTTGATAGGTTACCAAAATCCCTCAGGTGTAAGGGAAGGAATAAGAGAAGGAAGAACATGATCCAGAGGATCTTCAAAGAGACAAGAAGCCCCAGTCTGCCTCTTTACATGTAGCATTAACAGAAGATTTTATTCAGAAGAGCAAAGATATGTTTTATTTATTTATTTCCCCCAATTAACAAATTACCAAATCAAAGCCAACAGAGACCACATTCAGCTGCAGTTACCTCAGAGCTTTGTTTTATGCCATTACTGGGAACACTTCACCTTTGTCTCCTTCCTCTTTTGGATCTGAGTCATAAGTCTCAAGACTTTGTTGGAGATTAGAACCAGATACTGCAGTTGCCTGCCACAGCACCATATCTTGACTTCAAATCTGGGCCAGACCCAAGTCTTGCTCAGACCCCAGTGGCCTGTTTTCAGAAGTGGGGCTGTGGAGTATATCTTCTTAGAGTGGGCATATGGAATCCACACGGACAAGTTGTAGCCACATAACACCTGTCCACAGAAGCAATTCTTCATGCTTCATTTCCAGTTCTAAGGATCGCACAGATCTCCACAGCCTTGAATTCTGTTTGGCTACTCTCTGCCCAGTGAGGTGAATGCACATGATCTCCCTTTCTTCAAGGGGGAATGGAAAGAAAAGCTAAAAAATGGAAAACAACCACAGTGACCAAGCAAGTATGGAGCTGTCACCCAGACTCATGCTGTAACATTAGGGCCACTCCTATTGGAACTTAAACTGTTTCCCTCCACATCCTCTGCATGCATGTAAGTGGAATGTAGTAAAAAAATATTCTCATAGGGAGGTTCTGGGGTGAGCTGTACTGGTTAGGCTGTCCAAGCAGGTGGTACTGGAATAGCAGCACAAACCTCCCTGGCCCTGCAGAACTCCCTCACCCCCTCCTATCCTCAAGGTTGCATTTATCAGGAAGACTACAAGTGACCTCTGCTGCCCCTTACCCTGTAGCCAATGGCCCTGCAGCCTCCCAGCCCAGCTTGTGACGGCCAGCAGCGAGGTGATGGGACATCACCTGCCTCCAGGTGTCCAGTCAGAATGGGACAAAGCAAAAGCCATCTGGAAACAGCCATAGAAAGCTGAACTAAATCCAGGGAGTACAGTCAGCTCAACCAAACACTCCTTGGCACCTCATCAATGAAACATGATGGCAAAGTTTTAATGCCAGGCAGGGAGGCCCCAAGCTTTGGGGTTCAACCATATGCAGGAACCTCCTCATGACACAGATGTCAACACCATCAGAGGGGGAAAGGCAATTTTTTTTAAGAGCCCACTCTCCAGGCCCCTGTGTCACCCACTTTTACCATGCCAGGACACTGAAGTCAGCAAAAGGAAGCAAAGGGTGGGCAAATGGCACTCTAGGGTGCCAGCCTCCAGCACAGAGCTGGCACTGACCCAGAGGCCAAAGGGCCCCTGCTGCTGACTCCCTGCCGGCTGGGACTGACAAAGAGGGCAAAGTGCTCCTCAGTGTGTCTCAGACTCTGCCTCTAGATCACAGTTATTTGCCTATTTAGCATTTTAAGACTGGACAGGACAGGCTCAGCACACCATCCTGCTCTTTGCAGAGCCTCTGCCCTTTCTGAGGTGAAGGATGACTGTCAGATCTCAGCGTTCCTTTTCACTGACCAACTCCCCAGGTCAGACATCTCACCACACTGCTGCCCAGCATGGGACCACCACACCACAGCTGAGCACAAAAGTTGTGCTAGGAAATACTTCAGACTGGAGGTATCTTGTTCAAACCTTGCTCAAATCAGGACTACTTCTGGGGCTAAACCAGGTTACCAGGACACATTATCAGCTTACAGTAACACTGTTTCTGTATGGGATGTATCACTTAAGGGCTTTTCCTGTTTTTCTACCCCAAAAAAGAGTGATTTCCAAGCACCCATGGTATTGACTTCAGCTTTAGGTACTGGTGACAGCAGCGCCTAAGTCTGGGCCAGACATACAGCTGTACCTATACCCACTTAGCATATATTCTCCAAAGAAAATGCTCTCCTACCCCTTCCCTCTCACTTGAATCCAGCTCCTTGTCCCTGCCAGCTAGTCAAAAGGACGGTTTGAGTAGCACTACCAACAGAGCACCTCACACATCTTTGAACAGTTTGCTTAACACCATAAACATGGACTCATGAACAAGTGCTTAGCCACCACTTTAAAGTTAGGCCCAAAGGAATGGAACTCCTAGTTTTCTTAAAGACAACAGACATCCATAACAGACACAAGAGGGGATGTGTGCCTGCCCTGGCACGGCTCAGTTCCAAGCCCTACATTACCGTGTTTGTGCAGGAGGGCACTGAAGCACAGAGGGCAGCAGAATAGCAGGACACGGCTACATTTGGAAACACCAGCTCCATCATTGCTAAACTATCAAACTACAAATCACCAGCTACGATTTCTTTTCAGAGAGCACCCCCCCAGGGCTAGCCAGGTCTCAGGTGATGTCTGCTTGCATCCCATCTGCCACCCTCTCCCTCTCCCTCTGGCGCCCAGCCAGACCCTGGAGACGGAGCCCAGGGATTGCGGGAAAGCCCGCAACAAAGGGATTCGGCAGCAGATGGCAGCACACGGCCACGGGTGAGATGAACTCGGCGTCTGCTCGCGGGTGTCACCAGCCCAGCCAGGCTCGCAGACCAGGCTTGGGAGGGCAGGGAGCGCCCCACCTCTGAACATGCCTAACACACAAGGCTCGACAAAAAGGCTGCAAGTTACAGGCGGCTCCCTCTTTTAGGGAATGCCTCTTCAGACTGCTTCAAGGCTTGAAAGCTGCCTCTACCTCAACATGCAGGAGCTGCCATCCTACAACGCCTGGGAAAGAAAAGGGAGAGCAGGCCATTCATTGCAAGCTACCTGCCTGGCCTGCCCCAAACACAAATGATGCAAGGAGTGCACCCCAGGATCCCAACAGTGACTGGCAAACATAGCTCTGGTCAGGAGCCACTACACAGTCCAGCTGTTGCTGGCTGATCTTCCTATGCTCAGCTTCCAGGAACATCCATCATGGCCCCAGCTCCTGGATGGGGACATACAACTATAGGTAATGGCAGGTGGCAAAATTAAGCTGTCATCCTGCAATGTGCTTTCCCTGACTATTAGCATGGACAGAGCTATTGTCTTGAGAAAAAAAGATCAGTAACAGTCTCCAGAGCAAGAGTCTATTGCTCACATAACGTAATGAACACTCATCAGACTACCTAGACCTGGAGGCATTACAATGTGTGTTAACCACTTGGGCCACAGTGCTCTGCTTATATACATTAACAGCCCCCTTGTTCTTCCTCCTAGAACCTTGTAGGTTTATGCTGATTTAGCAGGATGACTTCAGATTCAGATTCTTTTACCTCATTATCAAAGCTCAGGAAGACTTTGAGGGTTTTGGTTTCCTGTTTGGTTTTCGTTTGATTTCCTCCAATGTACAGCCCTTCTTCTCCAATTCTTCAGGAGTCCCAACACAGCATCAAGGCTTTGTGAAATCTGGCACGTTTGTGTCTGCATTCCATATTGTGTGCCTGTGTTAAGAACAGTTGCTGCATGGCTCTGAGACACAAAGTCACAGAACACAAAACATAATTAATGGGAGAAGGGGCAGGGAAATACACACATCCCACCTCAACTACAGCTCCCACAGAAGTATTGACAACCAAAAACCAGACAAAACTGGGATCTTCCCTTTGACACTCGTTTCCTGATTCTTTCCACGTGCTACAATCTGTCTCCCGATAGGAAAAAAGGGAAAACTTGCACAGGACTCACCAAGCTGTGCATTCTAGCAAGTCTTGCTGTGAGGAAAGGCATGGGGCCTGGGAAGATCCCCACACATGACTAAGCTCTCCTCCATGAACTGTTTTCCAGTCTTCTGTGCTTCTTTATGCACAAACAGGAATATATCCCAGCACTTCCCTTAGGTGAACTTCATCTGAAAATTCTGCTCTGGAGAGACCCTTTTAGGCTTTTTAACTCTTTCTGCTGCAAGTACCTACTGAAAGGTCTGAGAAGCTCCACCACAGCTTAAGGGTAAAATGCTACCTTCTTCTCCCTGACCTATACAACATACCCATCCTATTTACAAAAATAAGGTACAAGCTTTGGTCCTAGAGCTGAAAAAATGTCTTTTTTTTTTTTTTTTTCCCCCCAGCCACTACAGATAATAGAATGCTTGACAATTCAAATAGCTGACTTAAAAGGTTAAGACTTCTTATCTTTACCTAGGCCACAAGACTTGTGTTGTACTTCCAACCTGCCATATACACAGCTTTGCTGTCTGGCAGAGGAACATGAAGCAAGCATTGCTGTGCAAGATGGCTGCAAGCAGGCTTGACAGAACAATGTCAGGGCCTGAACATATTCACCTCCTGGGGGATTGGCTGGACTCAGGTCCAGCTTAAGTAATAGAGGTGTTTGGCTTTGAGAAACCTCAGCAACATTGGCCTTATCATAGCTAAGTCTCTCACCCTTGGACCCTGCCTGAGCTAGCACAGCCATGCGTGGCCATGTACCCTGATATCTAAATTCTCATCCTGACCTGCTCTGATCTTTGTGCTTAGGTACTTCAGGACTTCTCCTCTGCTGGTGAGGCCACTGCCCCTGCCTGCCCTGCTGTGACTCATCTTCCTGCTTCCTCTCTTTCCAGGCAGCCTGTCCTTGTTACTCCTAACAAAGGGCCCACTTGGCTCACCTTGACCATCTCTCTAGTAGGCAGAGACTGTTTCCCATCTACAGGCATGGAAAATACCTGCAGGCTGTAGAAGCCTTTAATGTCTGAGGTGCTAAATACCAGGGCAACTAAGTCTTCACACTTGCTTGTTTTATCCACACTCTTACCAAGTCCCACAGTAACCTACACTCAGGCCTGTTTCCATGTTGATATGTGTTTGGTGGTGTGTGAGATTTTTGCCGTATGGGGAACAGCCGTGTCAGTTTTGTGTCCTTTTTCCTCTCTCCACCAGTCCTACCTCTTTGCCCAGACAGAGCCTGAACCCATCACTCCTGAGGTTGCTCTTGTTCAGTCTGCAGGCCACAACAGATATGCAGAAGGATAAGCAGGCTGTGAGGACCTTGCTGGAGAGACGAAGACCTTCAACCTATAGACTTCCAAAGCAAAAACAATTTGACAACTTAGAAGACTCATGACATTTTTTCCCCAGTATTACTTGTTTAATTACCATTTGCACCAGTACATCTTATGCTTTATATACATATATTTTTAATTTTTGCTTCTTCAGCTTTTCAAATACATAATATATTATCTCCAGAATACTAAGACAATACAGAAGAGGCTCCTAGTTCGTTGTTAATTGGTGCCATCAACTTCCTTGGTTGGGGAATTGATACATAGTTGAAATGACAGGACCTCACAAGGATGTGAGCAAACAAAACGACAAAGAAAAAATGCCAACCCAGGAGTCTGTGATGTTGCTTGCAGACTACAGCCATCCACAAGTTCAGGAGGCAAGGAGCTGAAGTACAGTGAGACTGCAGGAGTGACTATGAAGGCAGGGGAGGGCTGGCAGGGGGAAACACCAAGAGAGACAGGGCATCAGGGTTAAATGACTACTTAAAATACATCCAAGAGCAGTCTGGTCCCCACTTCCACAAGTGGAACTGCAGCAGCTTTAGAGCTATTTCAAGAATGTTGCTTCCCAGAGGGATGGTCTAAGTGAAACTGTCTCCAAAATGCCCTCACTGTAGCCAGACAAAAATGACAAAAGACCTTTGCCAATACAAGGTGCATACATCTAACTACTCTTTTAAAAGCCTCACCAGAAAATTTTTGCCCAAAGGGAAACATTTTCTTGCGAAGGTGTGCTAGAGACACAAAAGTGTTGCTGTGTTGAGTGTTCAAAACAGGAAGAAGCCTTCCAGCAAAGCACCAATGCCCTAGTGTTCCAGTAACTGGGTACAGCCTAGAGTTACTGAGACAAACTTCCCAGCTAGTGTTTTGGCTTCTGTGCCAGCATGAAGGGTAGCAATTCAGCAGTGCGAGGTTTCCAGCCTGCCCTGTGAGTTTGCCCACAGTAATCAACACTTACACCCCAGATCATATCCACAGCTGCTGAAGATGAAGTAGTGTCCACACTGCCTCATGAAACTCTCGCAAAGAAAAAAGTAGGAAGTCATGGCTTTTTACTTCTTTCTAACTCCCTTAACCACACAGGAAATAGAGGGGGCTTGGATACATTAAAAATAAAAATATAAGTTCCAATAACCAGCTCACATCCCTAAAAGGTGGACTCAGAAGAGTCATAATAAGGAACACAGGTGGGAGAATTTTGCTCCCACAGATCTCAGGATTGAGCCTACTATACATTTCTTGTTCAAATGAGTTAAAAAGGGGAAGGAAACTGTCCCTTCATCAGAGAATAATCTATTGTCCCACCATAATTCTTATTGTAGATATGCAATACTTGTAACACAGCGCCAAGTCACAACACAAGGCCAGGGCTCAGGATAGTGATGCAGGAACATGAAATGCTGAGTGGTGGGAATCACCTGGTTGTCATCTAGTGCAAGTAACTACCAAATTGTAAAAACAGGCTTTTTTTTCCCCTAAAAGCTATTTCCAGTTAAAACAGCTCAATGACAGTGAGGCCTTTGCCTGGGGAGAAAGGAGTTAAAATGAGAGGAAGTTCCTCCAGTGAACCTGGAGGTTCCAGGCTCCAATCCAAATCAGGAGCCTGGAGATAGGGTGCCCACCTGGAACTACAGTGCAACAGCAGCAGCCCTACTCAAGGACTTGCATGACTCCTCCCACGGGAGCACAAGGACATGCAGCACTACCAAGAATTGCACCGAAGACATAAGAGTGGTGTGTGCATGGGGAGTCACTCCTCACCACAGATGTCATTAATCCAAGAGGGTTTTGTGTTGAGAAAAGATCTATCTCCTTAGAGGTTCCATTTAGCAAGTGCAGCCAAATGCAGCTGTTCTCAGCACCGCAAGCTGTAGGGGCTGCAGTCACTACTGAAAGCAGCCACAAAAAGCAACAGCCTAGCCAGAGAAAATCTGAAGGACAAGGAACCCAGAGGCACCTATCCAGCCTCCTCCTGTACCCACTTTCTTCAAGATTCTTGCTTTCCTTGTATGGAAAGACAGGGAAAAAGAGCTGGGATGTACCATGTAATGGCCAAGTGGATGGAGGTGATAAGGCTACCTCTTTTCTCCTTGCCCATGTTGGGAGGAGTCACTATGTTCTCTTTAGGTTCAGTGGGATCAAAAATAGTAAGTTTAAGTGAAGGTCTGATCTAAAAATGAAGGATTGTCCCAATTTGATTGAAGACTAGAGAGGTTTGTGCCCCCTCTGATCCCATTTGGTGCCTCTAGGTCATCAATTTGTCCCATTCCACTGCTTTGATCATTCAGAACTGGACCCAGTTGGACTGCTGAGGAGCCTGATTGGGAACAGCACTGAAACAAAAAAGGAAAATCAAATGAGCAGATGCAGCAAGACTTCTTAACTTCTGGTTCTTCCCACACCCATCAGGACACTGCCCTTCTTGTGCTCCATCCATCACAGTTTACCTGGATGCAGTGCTGAAGTCTCCCCAGAGGTCTGTGGTAGCTGATACTGGTGCCTTGGATGCAGCTGCAGGAGCATCTAAATCTAAAAGAATATCTAAGGCAGAAGAGAGAGAGAGAGAGAGAGAAAAATACATCAGCGTGTGCAGAAACCCTACAGGTATTTTAACTGTCACCTTACACAAACTCCGGGATACAGGGGCAGATAATCTTTGAAGGGACTCCAGCCTGCCCTGCAGAAGTCAGACTTTTTGAGGGGTTTGTTACAATGGCATCTCCTTTTGCTGAATGTGCACAGCTCCAGCTGACGTTGAACCTCCAGCAAGGATACATTGTCTTCAGGAACTATTCAGTCTCCACTCAGCACACCACCTGACATTTGTCACTTATTACCTCTCCCAGCAGACATAAAGCTCAGACTCAACCCCAGCCCAGCAAACGTAACAGCTGCCAAACAGGCACCACCTTAACAGTACAAACCACACACTGGGACCGCATGAGCCCTTCTCAGAAGCTCGTGTTTTCTTCTCACTCAAACCTGTGGACAACACTGCTGAAGTCTCTGCCTTCACAAAATGATCATCAGCTCTCCAGACACCTCTGCATGGTCACACTTTTAACACAGCATCCAGAAACTGCAGCAACCTCTTTGTTACAGGATCACAGGACGATTTAAGTTGGAAGGGACCTCCAAAGATCATCTCATCTAGTCCTACTGCCATGCCATGAGCAGGTACATCTTGCACTAAATCAGGCTACTCCAAGTCCCATCCAAACTGGTCTTGAACACTTCTAATGAAGGGGTATCCACTGCTTCTCTGGGCAATGTTCCAGGGCTTCACCACCCTCACGGTAAAAATTTCTTCTTTATATCCAATCTAATCTACCCTCTTTCAGTTTAAGCCTCTACCTGTTGCCCTGTCACTACAAGCCCAGTAAGAAGTCTTTCTCCATCTTTCTTACAAGCTCTCTTTTTACAGTGAAGCGTCTCCCCAGATCCTTGTCCTCTCCATGCTAAACAACCCCAACTCTGTCAGTCTTTCTTCACAGGAGTTGTTCCAGCCTTCTGACCATTCCCATGGCCTTCCTCTGGACCCAGTATGATAGGTCCACATCTTTCTCGCACTGGGGACACTGGAGCAGCCAAAGAGACCAAAAATCCTTGGGACACACCATGTCTCAGAGGGCACTGCTGGCACTAGGCTGGACACAGTTTGCTCAAGCAGCACCTGCCAGTGTGTTACAAGGTGCTGGCTCAGTGCTAAGGTTTACCTGCACTGCTTGCATTACTGGATTTCTGCACAGGTGGTGGTGTGACATGGTTGGCAATGGCTGTGGAGGAAGGGGGAGGTATAGGAGGGACTGCAATTTTTCCTCCTGGTGGGGGTGGCAGCAGGCTTAGGCCCCCTGATCCAGACACACGGGGCTTGGCTGCTCCTCCTTTCTTTGATGTCATGTTCTTAAAGAAGAGCTTCCATTGGCACATCCAGTGAAAGACACAGGGTAAACTGGTCTGCTTACCCCAATGTTTAGCTTGATGGTCTGCCCTTCCTTAAACCCTAAGTCTAATTTGGGACGTGTGTCAGCTTCCTGGGACTCCTTGGAGATTTCAGTCTCCTGCTTCACCCACCTAAAAAGAAGAGAGGAAAACATGAGGCCCTGTGGCAAAAAAGGACAGTGTTTCAGTGTTTCAGAAAAATGTGTGGTTTCTCTCTCCATCCCACCAAACTACTTTGCCTTGCCAAACCAGCTACCTCCCTACTCCTGGTGTCACACAGCACAAAGTCGGGACCGCCACAAACCCATGAAGCTGTTTAATACTGCACTTGAAGCACCACAGGACCTAATCTTAAGACTCACAGATCTGATCCTGAAGGGGCTCTCAGCTTGCACGACTGCTGGCAGCACACACAAGTGTCCCTTGCCAGAGCAGGGCTTCAGGGCCACCCCAAGGAAACCTGTGCTAAATGAACATGCACCACCACCCACCATGTTCTACAGGCCAGAGGAAAAATAGCATTCCAGAAAAGCAAAACTCACTTGAAGTGATCCTGCAAAGAGACGTTGAAGTCAAAGGCATCACCCCGATCTGTGAAGCCAATGCCTATAAAAGCACTTCGTCCTAGCAAGGAGACAGGAGGAGTCAATGGAGGTGCCCTGCAACTGGGCCACAAATCCCTCTGCTTGTCCTAAACCACTCTGTGCTTCCTCTCTCTGACACACCTGCAGATGGATGCCAGCAGCTCACAGCAGTTCATTGTCCCCAGCCTTCAGGATGCACCCTTCTTCCCACGGGGTGTGCTTGGAAACTAAATGTTCCTTCCCAGCCCGGCCCCTGGGCACTGTGCAATGTAGAGAACCTCCTCTGTTTACCTTGTCCTCAGACCCCTCCAGGCACACCACCTGGTCTTTTCAGCATTCCCAACACCATTTTCATCCTCCTGGCACACTCCCAGCTCCACCTGGGTCTCCTCCACCCCTAGAACTTGGCACTTACATTGACCCCCAACTCACCAGTCCCATCCTGAATTCGAATGACAAAGTAGCGGCTGGAATCTGCCACAGTCTCCACTGCAATGCCAGGGTACTGATCTATAGGAGCCTGGGCAAAAAGTTCTCCTGCAGACAAAGAATCAGCTGTTAAGAAGAGCAACCCCTTCCTAAAGCATGGCCAGGGCTGCCATGCACAGCTCTGGGCAATCACAGTGGCAGCCTTGGCAGGGCACAGCCTTTCCCTTACCTGAAACCTTATCCTCCAGTTTTATGTAAGCAGTTTTGCCTTTGGAGGTGACACGAAGCCGCCCTGTCCAGTCTGGATGGTCCAGTTTCCAGTCAGATGCCCTGAAAGGAAGAGCAGCTGAGCACTGACCATAGGCAACCCCTCCAATTCTGCCCAGCCACCTCAGCAGAAGTCTCTGCTGCCAAACCCTCAACCCCTGCAGCTGGCTCATTCCACTTCCCTCCCCAAATCAGACATGGGGTCTCAGCTCCTCTCTTGCTGCTGCCAGCTGACACACGACTCTGACTGGCATCTCCGGGCAAAGGGAAAGTGACACAGCTCAGAGAACATCAACTCCTCACCTCTGTAAGTTTGCAAAAGAGGGGAGACAGAAGCACAGAAACTCACTTGAACAGAAAATCCACAAAAGCCACTGGTGAGCATCGGGAAGATCCCAAAACTTAATTTGTAACATGCTGAAAAGACACTCCATTATTCTACCCTATGGCTGTAAAATAACACTGAGTACTTCATAGCCTAGAGGCAGCTGACTTACACCAGCCAAAACACACTCACAGACATTTTGACTGTCCCATCACACTCTTTGCCACAGGCTCTTGTGAAGGAAGAAAAAAAAAAAAGGAAAGAGAGAAAAAACCCAACTACAGCATCACAGAATATTCTGAGTTGGAAAGGACCCAAAAGGATCACTGAATCCAGCTCTTGGTCCTGCACAGAACACCCCAAAAATGACATCATGTGCCTGAGAGCATTGTCCAAACTCTTCCCGAACTCCGGCAGGCTTGGTGCTGTAAAATCTACAGGATTTTATAAGTGGAAACAAACATCCTTGCCCAGGCACAACATCCGCCTACAGTCTGTCAGGTTCGGGGAGTTCACAAACCTGCTCCTCCAGCAGGCCTGTGGGCACATCTTACAAAGTCACACTCTGCTGCTTCTGGCTGACCAGAGAAGGCATTTCTAACTGCTGCTTCTGCAGCCTCTTCTTAAAAATCACCCCGAATTCCCCCTGCTTTCCTCCCGCCACTGCGAGAGCCACCAGGCCAAATCCAACGTGCCGTTATAGCTCATAAGCGCCACATCCCAGGGAACCCAGAAACCGGGAGCAGCCGTGCGCTCTGCCTGGAACAGCAAGCTGTCCCCTCGCCTCCTGCCCTGACTAACAGGGCAGCCCCCGCTCCTCCACAGCAGGAGCGGAGGCTCCCCTACCCTCAGGCGCTGACCACCTGCCCACAAGAGGCAATTCCAGCCGGCGGCTCCTCCACAGCTCGGCTGGAGGGGCTCAGGGGATGGCCGGACCTGCTCGCGGCTACAGGACACGGCTTTCCCAAGGGACGAGGCCGGGCCTCGGCATGGCACGGCATAACCCAGCCCCCGGCTGCCCTGCGGGCAGGGCCTGAGGCAAGCCGGGCCGCGCCGGGGCGATCGCGGGTGCCGCACGCTCCCTCACCTGTACCCGCGGTTGGAGGTGCGCGGCGGGATGCGGTAGACGTTGACATCGGGCTTCACGCAGAGAACGGACTCGTACTCCAGCTCGGCCGCCGCCATGTCGGCAGCGAAGCCCGGCGAGGAGCGAGCGGCGGGAGCCTAGTGACCAGCGGCGCTGCCCACCGCCATCTTTGATGAGGGCAGACACCGCCTGGGGGCGCCGGCGCGGCCGCGCCAGACGCGAAACACGTCGGTGAAGCGGATGGAGCCATCTTGGGTGCTGGCAGCCGGGGCGGGAGGGCGCCATCTTGGAGCCGCCCCTGACACAGCAGCGGCGGCCGGCGCCATCTTGGGGCCGGGCAGGTGCCGCGGCGGGGCTGGCTCGGCCATGTTTGTTATGGGCGCCGTCGCCGGGGGTGGCGGGATGGTTGTGCCGCCACACGGTACCGACCTGCTCGTCTGCATCCCCCGGCAGCTGCTCCCTGCGCCCTGGGGGGCTCAGTGTCAGTTCTTTCTGTGGTGCGCGGATTAGGTGGCTTTTTGGTACAAGAGCAAGCCAAAAAGGAAGTGCGGCGCAGAGCAGGGTTTGCTGCTGGAAGGGATGGAAATGGCAGCTGTGCAAAGCTTAGTTTCAGGAGTGGGTCTTCCCCCAAAAAGAGTGTAGATACTAGTCTATTTGTCAATAATGATAAGGCTGGCAGCATTTAAGCCACTCTTTTAATGGTGGCTTCTCAGAGGAGGCTGGTGTTGAAGTTTAGCGCCGTGCGGCGTCCTTTGCTGAGTCTCAAAAAGTACCAGTGTTTACTCCGAAAAGTGGAAGAAAAGGCATAGAGAAGGTTAAAAATACATAGAGCCGTGTCTGAGCATGCCGTGTCAAGCACTGGAGCGGGCTGCCTAGGGGGGTGGTGGAATCATCCCTGGAGGTGTTGAGGCAGAAATAATCACTGAAACACCACCAAGTTTGAGGTTTTGGTTTGTTGTGGGCTGTTTGGTTTTTTGTTGTTGTTTTTGTTGATTTTTTTTTTCTTGGGGTTTTGTTTGTTTGGATTTTTGTGTTTTTGGGGCTTTTTGTTGGTTTTTTTCTTTGTTTTGGGTTTTTTGTTTGTTTGGGGTTTTGGGGTTTTTTGGTTTGGTTTTGGGGGTGTTTGCTTTGGTTTGGGGTTTTTTGTTTTGCTTGTTTGTTTGCTTGCTTTCCCAGTAGGGAAATAGCATTAGTTAATGCAGATAGAGCCATTCCCAGCCATGTCTAGTCTCTATTCTCTATGTTTTTTCTTGTTCTCTAACTTTTTAAGATCAAGGACCAGTACAGCATTCAGAATTCAAGAAGAAACTTACATTTACCTTTTGGATAGAGTTACTCGTTGTCCTGATTTTTCATTAGAACTTCCTGCAGCGACTGCTAAGTTTTTTCATTGAGCACTAATAACTTACTGGGAGTACACCCCTCCACGTGCATAGTTACTTTTCTGCTTTTCCGAGTTCAGTGATTCACAATTAGCAGTATTAAGTTTCACCTCCCTCTTCACAGTGCTGTCATTCAGCGTGCCACAGTCCTCCTACGGTCCCTCTAGAAGGAGAGCATCTCGGATGAGGGAGTGGCAAAGGGCCAGCTATTATAAGGCATGTGAGCAAAGCCTCACAAGCAGCACCAGAACGCTGGGAATACATCTCCCATTCAATTCCATTGAGACTTAGCCAGCAGAGAACATAACATTCTTCTGCTGGGTTCAAACAAGCATCTCTGGACCAAAAAAAAAAAAAATACAAAGTACTGCCAATAACCACTGAAGCTTAAATTTTTATTTATATTATTTACTTTTCTCTTTTTTTAAGGATTCAGCAGACAGGCTGAAATCTTGAAATAGAACATTTAACCTGGAAGATAGAACTGGTTAAGGACCCTCCTGCAAAGCAGGGCTTGACTGGCAGGTCCCGCGGTGGTGACCCAGCTGCGTGTCCCTCAGCCAAGAGGAGCCCATAGGAATAAGCTCCTATCAGCACTGCCTGTCTGGGCCCGAGGAGTCCCCCTGGCAGGATGGCAGCTGAGAATTAGACGAAGCTACAGGAATTTTCCTGTCAGGCTGCTGACAGCCTGTCTGTCTTTGTGGGTACAGCTCAGCCCTGGCCTGTCTTCCTTTCTCTGGTTTTGTGTTGGAGGCAGCATCTGTGTCTTTCACAGACACGCTCAGGAGCAGAAGTCTGCTCTGTCGCAGTTCATTTTCCAGACCAAAACCAAAATACTGAGGCTGATTCTTGTTTGTCTGGACTTTGTCATTTCTGCTAGCAGTCTTGATTTCCCAAATTGTGAAAGGCAAAGGGGAACCCCTTTTTTAAACATGAGAAATGCCTTGCCCTGGAAGTCTTCCATTTTTATTGTCTTGCCACATTTTGTGCAAATCACCCATTTCAGTTAATCATTTCTAACTTTTTGTCAGTCAAGTTGCTTTTTAAAAAATAGACTTTTAATACCCTGAAAAGTAAAAGGCAGGTTAAAATCCTTTTGTCATGACCAGTCACGGTTTGGTGAGTACAGTATTCTGTATTTGATGAAGCAAACTGTCTCAAGCTGGGACAGAGGCTGATCTGGATTGGTAAAAATCCTGGAAATGAGTTTATCTAGGTGAACGTGCTGACCTGGTAAGACACAGAAGTGGCTACAAGACAATAACAGATCAGACATTTCACAGCGACATTGCAGCATTTGGACTTAGAAATTACTTCCAGCAAAGGTCACACTGTGTCAACAGGCAAAACATCATTCAGTTGTCTTACAGAATATAGTAAAGTATATGTTTGTGATTATAATTCTATTAATATTTTATTTTGAGCACTATTTTATTTTGACAGTTTTGAGAAACTTCCTGTTGTGTGACCCTCTGTTTTATGAGCAGATGATATCTAAATTTTGAAATTACATTCAAGTGAGTCATCAGGGTGAAAGAACACACTTGGCACACACAGGATGCATGCAGGAAAAAAAATGCAGTTCCTAAAATGTCATGTGAGAGTTTTTTCAGTCACTCCAGAGACAGGATTGATGGTACTTGCTCCAACACACTGAAATAACTACTTCACTCAGGTAGGTATCATAAACTGGAGAATTTTGCTTTCCTCATCTACTTGCCATTTATTATTCTTTACTCCTGAAAACCGCTCTCCCTCCTCCAGTTCCCCCTTCCATTTTCAAACCACATTGCAGCCCTTTTAGCACTCTGGAAAATGTCGTGTGGGCAGTGTCTTCTAATTGATTCATGTTTACTTTGGAGTAGGACTTGCATTACTATTTTACAGCATTCCTTGTTTCCCTGTCCTCTTCATACCATTTTCTGTAGCTATATGGGGAGGCAGCAGGGTTCAACTCTTGCAGCAGTGTTCGCCAGTTGTCCCTCTAAAAGTTGCTTCTACATGGATCAGCAAGACCACAGGAAATGGAACAAACATGGGAGAATTTTAAATTAAGCCTCCAGCTTTAAGTTAAGCCTTCCACTTATGTCTTTCATAGCTTTCCTTGCAGGTTACCCTCACTTATTACAAGTCCCTTAGCAGATATTACCAAAACCTGATAAATGACGATGTTTGTTACAATTGTTTTTCTCTATTTATTTTCTTCTTAGTCAAGCAGTTTGAACACTTATGCATCACTCCACTTTCAGACTGCATGTTATGCAATAGTGAGATTGACAATTTAAAATTTTTTTAAATAATATTTATATTTAGTTCTGCATACAACAATCTCTGACTGGTATTTAAATACTGGCATAACAGAAGTTAAAAAAGCGTCAGTTGTCTTATTTATGTCTTCTCAGTTGCTTCTGCAGGCTGTATTCATCTCTTCCATATTCAGTTTCTTTGCATTTTGGTAACATTTTTTGGGACCTTTCAGTAATACAACTGCCTTCATCAATTCAGCAAGGGTTTAGTTAACAGGAATTTTTTAGACAATTCTTTTAATGCCTAAAGGATGAAGATCGGGGTTTTTTCCTCAATTCTATCTTAGGTTTGCTGGTTTTCTTCTCCTTTCTAAATTTACTAGTCCAAGAACAATTGAGCAATTAACATTTTTCCTCTACTATGGCCATAGTTTTAAAATGTCACTTAAGTATGCTGGAGGTCAGCTTCATTGTCTTGCAGTAGGATACCTCATATCTAAAATGGCTGAAGAACATTACTCCATGTTTTCATTTTTATTTCTACATGTAAATATCTGTCTGATCTTCTTAAACATTCAGTTCTTGTCTTTCATAGAATCTTACACCATTAATGTCTTGCCTTTCTCCTGGTCAAGATAAGCTTTCCAAGGAACCAGCAGATAGCTGTAAGAAAAGGAAGTGGTCACTGGCACTTCCCTAAAATACCACTTAGCCAAGAGAATTTATGTCCTGTCTGTTCTATTTGTAATGTTCAGAAAGCGAAGCAGGGTTATTTCAGAAAGACAGGCATTGTTTTCGTAACTTAAATGTACTTCACCAATTATGCCAGAAGAAATTGCTCATTTTAAAGGAAAGAGGAACTAAAAATGCTGATTTGCCTTTCTGAAGCAGGAAGTCAACCAGGAAACACACCTGGGGACAGGCCGTGTGAACAGAGAGCTCCACTCTGGAGACTAAGAAAAACTAGATGGAAATCAAAGGGATGATAGAGATAGGAGAACACAACTGTATAGAGCCCCCTGTTTGAAGAGCAAGCTTACTTACAGGTTTAGCCACTATGAAAATTATGAAGATGTACAACAAGTACACTAGTAACAAATTTGTGTAGGCCAATGCCTTTGTATCCTGACCGCTCTGTACTGTCACCTGACTCAGGGATGCTTCAGTAAAGGTCAAGAGAAGAATTTGGGGAGCAGGATCACAGAATCACTAGGTTGGAAGAGACCTTCAAGATCGAGTCCAACCTATGCCCGAACACCTCAACTCAACCATGGCATCAAGTGCCATATCCAAACTTTTTTTAAACACATCCATGTATGGTGACTCCACCACCTCCCCAGGCAGACCATTCCAGTACTTTATCACTCTTTCCATAAAAAACCTTCTCCTAATATCCAACTTGTATTTCCCTTAAACCTGTGTCCTCTCATTCTGTCAGCTGCTGCCTGGAGAAAGAGACCAACCCCACCTGACTACAGCTACCCTTCAGGAAGTTGTAGGGAGTGATAAGGTCACTTCTGAGCCTCCTTTTCTCCAGGCTAAACACCCTCATCTCCCTCAGTCATTCCTCACAAGGCTTGTGTTCCAAGCCCCTTGCCAGCCTTGTTGCCTCCTCTGGACATCTCAATGTCCTTCCCAAACTGAGGGGCCAGAACTGGACACTCAAGGTGCTGCCTCACCAGTGCCAAGTCAGGGGTGAACAGATGTCTGTTCCTGTGCCCTCAAGATCTCTGTTTTAAAGCAGGCCCACCTTTCCTGGACTCCTTTGTTTGTAAGTGCTGCTTCCCAAGGAATTCTCTTAATAAGTCTCCTAAATAGGCCAAACTCTGCCCTCTGGAAGTCCAGTGTAAGAGTCTTATTGATGTTCCTCCTCATTTCACCAAATATACAGAACTCTATAATTTCATGATCACTGTCCCAAGTGGTCTCCAACCTCCACATCTCCCACCAGTCCATCTGTATTTCCAAACGACAGGTCTAACATAGTCCCTCCCCTGGTGCGCTCACTCACCAGCTGTGACAAAAACTTGTCCTCCACACTCTAAGAACTTCCAGGCCTGCCTCTTTTCTGCTGTATTAAGTTCCCAGCAGATGTCTGGTAGGTTGAAGTCACCTACAAGAACAAGGCTGGTAATCCTGAAACATTCTCCAGCCACTTACAGAATCAGTTGTCCATTTATTCTTCCTGGCTGGGTAGGTGATAACAGACTCCCAGCAGGATGCCAGCCTTGTTGGCCATCCCCCTACTTCTTACCCATAGGCATTCAACTTCATTGTCATTAGTTTCAATACCTATGGCATCAAAAGCCTCTCTAATATAAAGGGCCACCCCTCCACCTCTTCTCCGTTTCCTGTCTCTTCTGAAGACCTTGTAGCACTCCAGCCATGTGAGTCATCCCACAATCTTTCTGTGATGGCAGCTACATCATAGCTTTGCTGTTTCACCATGGCCTCCACCTCTTCTTGTTTGTTACCCATGCTGCATGCATACATGCACCTCAGCTGGGCTGCTGATTTCAGCCCTAACTCAGGCTTACCACCCTTGGTCCTGCTTCCAGAGAGCCCAGCTGCATCCCCTTCCCCCTTCAGACCTAGTTTAAAACCCTCTCAATGAGCTCCACCAGTGCATGAGCTAAAATTCTGCACTTATCAGAGAGATGGAGCCCATCCAGTTCCAGCAGGTCAGGTGCCAAAAAAGTTGCCTCATGATTAAAGAACCCAAAATTCTGCTGTTGACACCAACCCTTGAACCACTTGTTGATAATGTGGTCTCTCCTATTCCTTTCATTGGTTTTCTCTGCCACCAAAGGGACCTGTGTTCCTGCCCTGTCATCCACTTGACCCAGTGCCTCAAAGCCCCTTTTAATTGCCCTGACACTCCTCTTTTCAACCTCATCACTGCTTGGAGTACCAGCAGTGGGTAATAATGAGAGGGCCAAATCAGCCCAGGATTTGGGATCATCTCTCAGTAATATCCCATACCCAGGCCCCAGGGAGGCAGCAGATCTGCCTGTGGGATGAGTCCAGTTAATATATGGGGCCTTCTGCTCCCCTCAGAAGGGAGTCATTCACGACAACTACCCTTCTTTTCTCTTTAATGTTAGAGGCGCTGATCCGTCTGACAGATGAAGTGCAGTTGGGAGGCTTGCTCAGATAATTTTCTTCTACTTCCTCTGGCTGGCCCTCTAGATCCAGGGCCTCATAGCTATTCTGAAGTGGCACCTGGCTAGGGGATGGGGGTCGGGAGGAATTTTTATTACCTGCCCGAGTAGGGACCCATTTCCACTCCCCTTCATCCACCAGGTGTCCTCCTATCGCCTTACAGTGGGAGGCGTGGTAGTCCTCTGACTCCTGGTGGGCCTCCCTCAAGGATGGAACAGCGGAACTCCACCAATCCATTTGCCTTTTACTTTCCCTAACACTCCTTAGCCTTTCTACTTCCTCCCTAAGCTCGGCCACCAGCGAAAGGAGATCGTTCAGCTGTTCGCACCGCCGGCAGGCTGCTTCTGCCACAGCCTCTGGCGCCACTGATAGGCTCAAACACTCCACGACTAACAAAACAAAACCAACAAAAAAACCAAACAAACAAACAAACCACAAAAAACAAAAAACAAACAAACAAAAAAAACCCCACAACAAACTAAAAACCCCACTAGCAGGAGGGAACCTGCCACCCTCCCTGCTTGCCCGCTCCTGCTCGCCGCGCTCCCTAGAGCCCTCTTTTAATCACCCGCCGCTCGCCGGAGGAAAGCCCCGCCCTGCTTGTGGGTAACGAGAACCAAGGATGTGAATTGCTACTGATTTCCTTTCTGTTTTACAGCTGCAGAATGCCTCAAGTTCTGAGCAATAGCAGTTCACAGGAACAGCCTGCTGTGTATTATGCATCAGAATCAATTGTCTGCATTGCTATCTTCACCATCGTTTTCATCATAGGCATCCCAGGCAATGGGTTGGTGATCTGGGTAGCTGGTCTGAAAATGAAAAGATCTGTGAACACTGTCTGGTTCCTAAATCTTGCTGTGGCTGACATCATGTGCTGTTTGTCTTTGCCATTTTTCATTGTTCACCTGGCCCTTCGTGAACACTGGCCCTATGGCTGGTTCCTCTGCAAAGTCATTCCATCAGTCATAATCTTCACCATGTTTGCTAGTGTCTTCCTACTCGTGGCCATCAGCATTGATCGATGCCTCCTGGTGATGAAACCTGTCTGGTGTCAGAACCACCGTGCAGTGAAATTTATATCGCTAATATGCAGTGGCATTTGGATGCTGGCCTTCATTTTCTGCTGCCCTGTCTTCTACTACCGTGAGACAAGCACTTACGATGGCAAAACAGAGTGTGGGTACAATTATGGAGTTGATGATTACATAGATTATCCTACAAATGTATCTGTAAATGTGTCTGTAAATGATTTATGGGAAGAATACTCAACCTACAATGGCAGTGACTTGTGGGGAGATACCAATGAAGGTAATGATTCCGTACCCCTCGCCTCGGTGGTAATAAATGTCACTAGGGCTGTCTTTGGCTTTGTGCTCCCCTTTGGCATAATGGCAGTTTGCTACGCCCTCATTGTTTTCAGAACACACACAAATCAGTTTCACAAGTCACACAACAGGACACTGCGAACAGTTTTGTGTGTGGTGGCTGCATTCTTCATCTGCTGGGCTCCATACCATGTAGTTGGGATGCTCTCCATTGTACCTAGTCTTAGAACAGGACAGATGGAGTCCCTGATCCTGTGGGATCACCTTTCTACAGCACTTGCGTATGCCAACAGCTGCATCAACCCCCTGCTTTATGTTTTTGTGGGACGGGACTTCAGGGCAAAGGTACGGCAATCGGTGCAAAGAATCTTGGAAGGTGCCTTTAGTGAGGAGCTCACATCTTCAACCCTTCACAGAAGCCAGACTTCAGCAGACAAGAACCTGAGCAGCACCTTCTAACGCAGGACTTCTGTCACCGCTGTAGAAAGAACAAGCTATAGCACCGGACATCAATCACTCTCCGCTTAGCAGGTGGTTTTGCTCCAATAGGTTTGATTAATCTGCAGCTCCAGCCCAGGACACTGCAATCTTTCAGCTCATGACAGATAACCCCCTTTATATCCTACACTAGAGAGATGGGAAGTTGGAAGCACCAGGAATAATAATCTGAGGGATGACTGGTGAAGCAGAAGACACAGTATTTTAACCTACACAGACTATTTTAAGAAAGCAGGGCTGGCTACAGATTTGTGGTGGGAATCGTGAAGTTGAACCTCTCAATTGAGATAAGAATGTTATTTTATTTGCATATGTCTGTGTTCTACATCTCCTATCTCTGATAAAGTGCAGATAAAACTAACTTGGATATTGGTTCTCAGAGGGTCATCACATCATTCCTCTGACTCTACTAGGGCTCTGAGGTGTGTGTCGGAATATCTGAAGATTCCCTAGAGGGTACTGCTACATTTCCTTACAGCCATGCACTAGCACAGCACTTGCCCCAGTCAGCTGCACTGAACTGACTTTTGTGGCCTGTAGACACCCAATCCATTCCTTTGTCCTGGCAAATACATCACTGTGTGGTAGTAACTGGTCAATGTACATGCTGTACCTGTGATCATTAGCATGCGCACACTCAGTGTCTCTCCAACACTCCCTCCACCACCAGAATCCCAAATCTTCCTTTTAGGAAGCAGTTTGATATTATCCAAATGCACCTACTGTATTTTGAGATGGCACATGAGCAGAATTTGAGCAGCTGCAGTCACTGATGACTCAATTAGGTGACTGCTGGACTATTAGCCATTTGGCAGAACCCTGGAACTGAGAAGTGATAACCTCCCATCTGACCCCAAGAAGATGGAGAATGACCATGTTGTGGCTCAGTAACATCAAGCTCTCTTTACAAGAGAGATGTGCTTCTTATGTCCTGCCAGTGGAGAAAGTTTCATCCAGTCAGGCTATCTGGGGTGTTCCCAAGGTTGAATGTTTGCTGTCCTGAAAAGCAGAAATACATTTACTAGGTACTCTATGGAAGCAGTTTAAAATATGCTTTTTGTGTTAGTTCTTCCTTAAAAGAGAAAAGCCAGCAAATATTAAGACAAATAGACACTAAGCATTGGTAGTTTTCACTCTGCCTTTCTGGTGCATGAATTGAAAGCCTCTCAGATCTCACTGCCCTGAGAACAGACAGCTGGCAGAACCTTCAGCTCTTAAAATCCTAGGAAGTCTCCATCTCAAGAACATCCAGGTGTGGGCTGTCCACTTAGCCATGCCCACACCCAAATTCTAAATGGGAACCAAGCCATTCTGACAGGCGCCGCTGAAAGAAAAAAATCAATACTGGCACTAAAACAGTTAAACCATAAACATTCACTTTTTCTTTTTATTAAGAAAGCATGCACAAAAATAAACTCGTGAGACCACGCCCCTCTCTCCCTGACCACTGACACGAAGCACTGGGGGCCACATCAGGCTGGAGGGGCCTGCAAGACCCCTCTGTGGGCCAGGCTGGCCCCCCTGCCCTGCCTGCAGGCCGGTGCCAGCGCACCCGCAGAGCTCCACAGCCTCCCATCGATGTCTTACCACGCACTAACAACACACATTGATTTCAGGGGCAGAGGAACGAGGCTAATTTGCACACTGACCGGCATGTATTTACATATGCAAATGAGGCACAACTTAATACGCAAATGAGGCAAATATGCAAATGAGGAGCACTTGGATACGCAGAAGGAGCCATCTTGGTTTGTTTTTCTTCCGGTGGTGTTTTCAGACTTCCACAGGGCCGGCTCTCAGTAATGTCCACTGCAAAACACTAACTGGCACCTGCCATAAGCTGTCTCTCGTTGTCTCTGGTGCCACTTTCCACAGAAACTTATCACACATGCTTCCAAAGCTGTATCATTCCCATCCTGAGGCAGCAGAGATAACAGCTGACTCCATGTTGAAGCTGTCTGGGATTCCTCATTTCTCTTGGAAATGCTCAATGACGAACTCCCCCCAAACACACTAATAAAACAAAACAAAAAAAAAACCCAAAAAAAAGCCAACCAAAAAAAAAATCCCAAAAAAAGGAAAAAAAAAAAAAAAAAAAAAAGTGCTGTTCCCCCCTTCCAATGCAATGAGACTCCGTCCACTTCCCTGACAACAATCCAATTTTCAATTGGTTTATCCCTACAGCAAATTTAAAAAGCAGTGCTAGTTCCCCACCTTCCTGCAGTCAGACTAGAGGTTACTATTTTACTCCTGTGCTCCAGGTCTGTCAAGCAGCCATGATAGTCTATTTCCACATTTGTTCCCTTCACTGGTAAATAGGGAGTAAGGGCTGGGGGGAGGCTTTACAAAATATTAAGAAGAAACAAGAGGTTTGACAGAACGGAGCCATATGAGAAAAGAAGGGGAACACAGGACAACTTTGGGGAGAAAGCATCTAAATGCTCACTCCCGTTCCTGCACCATTCCCATCTTCCTGATTTGCGTGTGCTGACAAAGCTCATCCTTCAGGATTTACACTAGGTTACCTCATCTCCCCAGCTGAACTGCAAGGGGTCTGAGACACCCTCCTCCCTTTCATACTACACTCTTTGGTTGGTCGGTTCAAAACCCTGCCCTGCTTCACCCTCTCTCCCCTAATGCCCCTCCTACAAAAACTGCTTGCAAGGGCCTCTCGATCCCTGACCAGAGGGCTCAGCCCTTGACCAGCAGCCCCCCAGTCCAGCCCCACTCTGCCCACCACGAGCCCATTCACCAAGTGGGAACCGCTGACGGGGGATGTGCACCTACACAGCCAGACTCCTGTTGCTGGCACTCTCAACCACAGGCAAGGACAGCCTCCAAAGAAATATGAGGGGTGAAGGACCAAATAACAATTGGACAAATACTGATAAGAGAAAACTTCCAAATTTGCATATAAAAGGGAGAGCCTCACTACATATTTCAAAAAAGAGCTTGAAGGGGTGTGGGGTGAAATGAAAAGCTCTGGGGAACAGAATTTGCTGAATCACATGACACCCCTGACTGCTTCTTTTACCTGATGGGTATGTAGGCTTCACCTAGAGACTGCAAAAGGCAGTGTAGGAAATGGGTCAGGATTCCCTCAAAATCTCTCAGTCTTCACAGATGGCACCACATTCTGAAACCCAACTTCTCTGCTGAAATACCAGATCCACTACATTCTCCTTTCTCCAAACTCAGGTCTGCCCTCCCAGCTCAGCTCAGCTCTCCCTACCTCAGGGATTACCCTTCTCTTTGTACTTGGGAACACCACTTATTTTCTTGCTGTTCGTGCTGGTGCAACAAAGTTCACAGAGCTAAGATCACCCCTCCAGTGTCCCTTCAGCCCCCTGACCTTTACAACATTTACGAAACAACATAACTACAGGCTCCCAGGGTCCACTAGGCTCTCTCACTCCAGTAGCCAATACGACAGATTCACCGGCCACCTTGAAGGGAAAGAGGGATTGTTAAACGCAAAATAACGGAGGCAGAGAAAGATGCACTCGAGGATTCAGCCTTCCAAGGTCTTTTCATGGCACCAAGGACCCGTCTTCCCGCCCTCCACAGGGCACTGCGCAACACGAAAGAGCCGATCCGATGCGTCTGAGGCCACCGGAGGAGGGGGAGGGCTGTGCTCAATTATTGGTAATAATAATAATAACAATAATAATAATAAACAAAAGAAGAAAAGAAGATAAAACAGGACGCAAGGAAGGATTATCTTCGGCAGCATCTTGCGGTGGCTTCTCTGGCGGAGATAGAGAATATATATCTATATACAGGCAAGGCAGGGAGGCTGGGGAGGGTGGTGCTGACACCGTTGACCCCATGTCCCCCTCCCCTCCCACGTCCTTCATAAAGGACGGGCTCTCAAGTCTGTAACTCGCTAGGTGATTAAGTCCCAGTCGAAATCATCGGGGATTTCCTCATTGGCGCCTGGAGGAGGGCCTGGAGGCCGAGGGACCAGATGATGAGCTGAGCCAAAAACAAGAAAAAAGAAGAAAAAGGAAAGAGAAGAGTTAGAATGTAAAACTACATGCTTTTTCATAGTGGGTCCTTGGGCAAAAGAAATCAAAAGTGATTTGGGCCTTCTCCTTTCCAACAGTCTAACAAAGCAAGAACACCATTGCCATTAATCTCTGTCAGCATCTACCAGTGTCTGGGAATGTTCTGCTGTGAAGTTCTCCACAGCAGCTTTTACACAAGTTAAGTTTCAGCCTCCTTTACTTACCTCATAGCTGACTGCTGATAGAGCACAAATGACTTCATCAACAGAAGCTTCTCATGTACAGCTGTCTTCAAACAACTAACTGAGGGTGAGGCTAAGCTAGAAGACTGTTTATGTGAAATGAAAGAAATCAGGCCTTTGACATCCAAAGAGCTCTGACTTCCCAGAGCTGTAACAGAGCCCTAAATGGAGGGTCCCTTGCAGTCCATGCTCCCTCTCTACCCACAGTGCTCCACTTGAGTACTAAGTGCTTTGGGAGAAATGCACAAAGGGGTTGGGAACCAGTTCTTTAATGTTCATTGGTGTAATACGACTTAACATCACCTTACCTGGGCGATTATATCCCGGAGAGTCCTGGGTAGAAATCTGGTACATAGGAGATGGCCCGGAGAAGAGATGGGGAGGCTGGGGCTGACCATAGGAGTTCACTGTGAAAGGAAATGAATTAACAAAAAAACAACTGTTAATGTTCAGGTCAGAAGTCTTGGCCCTGACTGGGTGGCAGCTCAGCCACAGAGCAACTCACTCAGACCCACAGGATACTGAGGAGATATTCAGCTGTTGAGTCCTAACTCCAAGCTATAGCTTGGTCAGGGATCTTGTTCTTGAAACCAGCAGGAGTTTCTCTATCATTGTAAGAGAAGAAAATTTTCATCCAGAAACACCACAAGCTGGCTCAGTATCATCCATTTAGTTCAGTACTAGATGACACACACCATTACAGTTCTATCAAGACCACCATATCTCCTCCTCAGAATGTATCCCCTTCTCCATTGTACAGTATTTCTAGAACAAGGGTGCAAGAGCTTTCTCCTTTACTGTTCCTGCCATCTGGAATAACAACCTCTCTACCTTGTCATTCCTCTCTGTTGGTCACCTAAAAAATACCTCTCCTTCTCTTCCAGGTTTGTCTTTTAAACATATTCCTGCCTGCAGGCTGGGGGTCAATAGCATGCATCACATGTCCAGAGTCTGTCCAGATCACAGGTATAGGACATCCCAGTTCTTTAAAGCCAGAAAAGGCTGAGTCGCTATGAACAGTTCTGACAGCCTAGCTCTGAGTTGCTCAATGCTGCATTGCCTGGTAAGGCTGCAAGTAATTTAGGATACTCACAGAATTGGGCCTTCATTTGCATGTTATTTTAGTCTCGTCCTAATTACCTTGGTTCATGGATTGCTCCTGTTTGCCACTGTTCAGGGCACAAGAATCAGAGATTCGAGGGGGTTGCTGTGGGCCAACCAGATGAGGGAGCTGACCAGTCTGGGTAAGGAAGTGATTAAGGGAGTCACAGAGGTTG